AGCGGGGCTTTCGCGGTTTGAGGCGTCAGCATGTTTCTTCATGTCATATAGGAAACCCCACTTCATCAAGCCTCCACTTATATCGAGAAGGTGTTCTTACATGCTAGGTGGTTCAAGCTCATCTTTGGATATTACAAATTCAGCCTGGCGAAGGCCGAAGTACTCTAGGTGTCTAAGAGGGCTTCTGTTGTCGTCAATTGAGCAAGGCTTCTGGGCGGAAGATGTTAAGTGGATTACACTTGACCTCACCACAAGAGTAGCGCATGGTACGCGACGAGACGAGGCTTCGGGCTCGGACAGTTGTGCTTGCTTTAATCTCAACGGCTTTTTCGACTTGGCGGGTGATACGGGAAGACTGAAACGATGTGGTTGCCCGCACTTATCGTCCTGAATGGACCATGTACGTTTCCGGATCCCTTGGTGTCTACCAAGAATTCTCTTGAGACGGAGAGCCGATAGACAGACCCAGAAGATCACGACTAGGAAATATAGGGTGACCTCGTCCGCTGCGATCATTATCGGTATCCAAGGAGTCACCCAGGGTATACCTTGTTCTCCTTGCAGTTATCTAGGGGAAAAGTGACGCAGATTTCAGACTCCGAAGACGCAAGCGGAGAATCCATATCGAACTTGTTACTCTTACAACTGGCGTGACTATGGTCTGTTTGATTCAGACCCTTTCGACAGTGCGCACGTAAGTCATGGTAAGATAGTGCTAGCACCTTCACTTCTGACATTCCTAGTCCCAGAAGTCTAAGCAGAGGGGCGCGGAGCTTAACGGCATTGATGCTCTCGCGTTAGCAGCTTTGCCCAAAGCATGTTCCCTCCGAGTCCCTTGTATCGTGGTTCAGGAGTGATAGTTTCTAGATTTCGTAACTTCAACCTCAGCCGATAAAGTATAACGAAGATTCTCAAATCATTTTCGTTCTTGGCCCCGGCCGCCGTTGTCTCCACTGGCAGTTCGGTCAGTCTCGGTCTCCTGCGTTCCTTTGGTTTCCATCTAGCCTCTTGTGCATAAGTCGATCCTCCACGATATCGGCATCCTGCCGATCCTGGCGAGAGCTATGCGCATATTCTCCCCACGCAAAGGACGAAGTACACGAATAGCGGCCCCGCGTAATGGAGTGAGGCCGCAACAAACCCTCTTATCTGAGAAATCTTGCAAACTTGAAGCGTTGAGAAGTGTTGGTTTCACTACCCTGCAAACTCAAAATGCGGGCCGTCCACAGGGTGTTATTTTTAAGATCGAACGGCCAGACAAGGTTATCTTTATCGCATATTGTGCGTTTCAGATGGTGTCAGTGCAGATAACCACAGTCAGAGACCCCGGCAACGGCTTCGCGGTCTTGTGGAGGGTCGGCAAAGGGTAACTGCCGCCAGCTTCTCCACCCCAACTGCAACATCCGAGCCGCGATCAAAGATGCCATGGAAGAATACCGTCATCTGGCATAAGTTCTAGACGTTTCTGATAGTGTGCAAAATCGAGGTAGTAACACCTGATATCTGAGAGGTGGAATCTTTCGACGTGGCGGCAGAGTTTGTTCCACGATTTTCGTAGTGCCGTTTAGAATACTCGATTAGGTTCTTTTTCAAACTTTTTTATCGGGATTAGTACTTGTATTAAGTAGCCACGTTTCTTCGATTCGGCGCAATAGAAAGGGATAATTAAAATCCCCAGCTAAAACGCGGTGAGAGGTCTCTGTGACCAGAGATCATCCTGGTGATCAAAGTACATACAATGTCCGGCTATGGTCGGCCAAGAGAGGCTACTATTAATACGCGCTAGCCTAAACGGGGGCCAGGTACGAGCGTGGTTGCTCATGGCAGTGTTCGAGGCAGTCGATGATCAACACAAATCTTCGAGACCAGGTTTTGCTGAGTACTTCGTACACAGGCAGGGGGTATTCGAAGGCGCCAAGCCCTACCTCGTAGTGCCAACATTTAAGTTAAATGCTTCCCCTCGACACTCTGTCCAAGCATGGCGACACGTGGAGATCGCGAACCTCCGTCACATCATGTCACTATTATTTTCAATGTGCGATCACCACTAGATTGTTGGGGATCTGAATTTCTCCCCCTAACGCCGGAAACATACGAACCACCTTAGTCGGGCTGACCTTGGGAATTCCTCGAAACTCGAGCTATTTTGTGATTATGGCTAAGAAGAAGGGGTGACAGGTTGTTACTGGTACACCCCAGCAGCCTGGCGGTGTAAGATTTTTTCATGTTCATAAATGACAGGGGGTTGATCCATGAATCCATGACCTGAGGACGAAAGACGCAGTCTCCTGCCTCCTCGGGCGACGGATATGCTCTTTGATGTCTCCGCGGGCGGTCGATTGCCTCAGCTTCGAACCGGTCTGAGTCCCGGATCAAGTTGGCTATTCGAAGACTGTTGTAAATGCTAGTGAATACTCTACAGCCCTAAGAAGAACAATTCAAAACAGGAGAACTCGGCTCAACGGTCTCGCCTTGCTCCTGCCTCTGCGAGCAAGACCGCAAGGACCTTCCCGCTTATCCCAGAACTGCTAAGATGGGCAAAACCTACATGCACCTGGTCGGAGTTAGCTCAGGTGAATCAGATGTCAGTGCTCAGAGCTAGAGCCAACCTCGGCCCTTGTGAAGATTTCCGAATCCGGCGCGCCAAGCCAGCCGGGGAAGGCAGATTAAACTGGACAGGACAGACAAGTAAATTTGACAAATTTCCCCTTTTTTTTTTTTTTTTTTTTTTTTTTTTTTTCCTTTTTTTTCGCAATGGGAAGATTATCGGGGAAGTGAAGATCTGAAGTCGATGCCATGCAAAAGGATGGGGATTGATTGTTGGCGATGTAGTAAAGTTTAAAAAAAAAGGGCAAGGGTAAACAATCTCTCAATATCATGATAAGAAGGAGCCCGACTCGAGGAGAGACGTCGTCGGCAATTGACTTTCAAGAAAAGCGCACGACCTTCTTCACCACCCGTGTGAGGTGACAGCCTCCTTTAACCTCCAAGTCGCCGTTTAACAAATGCCACGCGACCGGCTTATGACCTTGGCTTCTGACTAGTGTGATCGAGGCCAGGCCAATTTTGACTCACTGGCTTCGTTCAATTCGTAAATCTTTTGGAAGCCGCCCAACGGCGGCGCTCCAAAGAGCACGGTCGCGCCACTCTGTCACTGGCAGATTCATGTCATGGACAGCGGTACTTGTACCTGACTCCGTGTCTCACCTCCCTCAGGTACTAGTCTAGATCTTCGCTCGGACGTGGCGGATGAGGCCACCGGAGCGTGGTTCTCCTCCCTCTCTCAGAAGAATTTGTCAAGCACCGCATTCACCGTCGTAGTTGGTAAGAACTCGTTGCAAATTACTCACAGACTACGGCCGCAACCCGAGCCTGCCCCCGACTATACTAAATTCGCCGACCTGAAAGAAAGACCGGATTGCCACGGGCCGACGTAAATCACTTCCTTCTTTTGAATTACGAGCTGCAGATTTTCAAGACCCGGCAAGTAGGAGTGTGCAAAGTATCCGTCTTAGCCGTCTCTGAACCTGCTTTCGTGCCTCTCCGGGTGGAGTCTGGGGTTTGGTGCATGCGCCGGGCTTAAATCCTCACAATCATTCCCACATCTGGGGTCATCGTCACTTTCTCGTTCGGTAATGATCCGCCAGGATGCTCCATGATCGTGCACCTGGAGAGCACAATGCGGGGTACCGTACGACACAGACACCTTTGACGATGAGCTGTGGCTGGAGAGAATGCAGGGCTATCCACCCTACCCACCCTACCATGCCCAATTTGTATATCAGACCGATAAGTGGACACAGAGGTCGACGGGGTTGGAAACCTTTTTTCGACTAGGGCCTGTCGAAGGCTGAAATAACACGTCCACACTACTTCGTACTTCGTAAATACTAGGGGCAGATAGACTCCGAGAGGGCACTACACTACGGAGTAGATTGCACTGATCTCAGGATTAGACTTAGCACACACTTCTGTAAGTTCAGGTGTCGAACAAGCTAGTTCGGGTACCTGTTCGGGCGTCATCCTGATTGTCGATCACCGGTAGTTTTCTCGCCTGCCCTGAGTGCGAACAGACAGACGGATACGACTTCGCGCTTTCGCACCTGGCGCTTGAAGTCTCAAAGTGCACGGGGCACATGCTAAAAACCGTTGCATTGCCAAGTTGGCAGGGTCAGGGTCATCACAAGCCGAGGATGAAACGCTATGCAGACTATGCAAGCATCCAAGCACACATCGGGCTACGACGATAACACCAACAAGGAGGCACACTTCTGGATCGGGATACTGATTGATAGGATTTGCGGGGTTGACATGGGTGCTGCTTTAGGACCTGCCTGCCCGACAGAGCTTTCTTTTCCTCACTTTGCTTTCCATGCTGGTCTCGCGTGGCGTTTCATGGTGACATTGGGAGCGGAAGCAGCACGCACAGTTCTCCGGATTCCCGAAGAACCTACGAAAGCTGGTGGCGGCAAGGTATTTTTTTCAACGTCCTGAGCTAGAATTGCTCGTCCCTAGCCACCACCACCTCCGTACAAGTAGCGTCCACACCCTTCTCCCGTCAGACGCCCTCCCTGCATTCCATGTCAATGTGATCATCAAGTGCGACCTCCATCAAGTCGCGATCTTAGTCCGTCTGTCATGCTCACCGACGGCCCTAGCCTCGGCTGAACTATACTAAGACGATCAAGATCCCCTCCACTTAGTCTGGTTCTTGGATGGAGATCTGCGGGGAGCAAATCTAGTGCAGGCACTCTATATTCTTGGCGGCCCGGGGCGCAGGAACCGACAACCACGCGAGCCAATTTCCTATAACCCCACATCCCACCTCTTAGTAGAATCCCGATCCGGGGTCCCTCTCTGGTCTCATATCTCATATTTCTCGTCTCTTATCAAGGTCCTCTCCTCCCTCCCTCCCGCTCCTTGCACAGGGCCTCGAAGTCTTGGCCTTGATCATTGTCTCCACTCTTCCCCAACGAACCACATGGTCCTACTCAAGCGCAATGGATCTCTCAAAGATACCTATTCATGGCAAACTTGACCGAAGCCATGAGTTGTACATCGTACAGATAATCTTCCTCTCCGTGGCGGCGGTCTGCGTCCTCATTCGAGGTTACATCAAGTGCATCGTCATCAGGGCCAACTTGCTAGACGACTACCTCATATATGGTGCTATGGTGCGTATCTACCCCATCCTCTCTCCAGTTAACTTGCCGTCGAGGGCGTTTACTGATATCTTCCTAGCTTGCGTATGCAGTTTACGCGGCCATCATTATCGACGGTTCCTACAACGGCGCGACAGGAAAACACCCGAGCCTCGGCATCAAACCCGAACAAGCCGCGAGATCCCTCCGAGCCTGGTATCTCTGCATGGTGTTATATCCATTCCTCGCCCTCACCATTCGCGCCTCGGTCTGCGTCCTCCTCTTCCGCCTCACCCCGAAGCGATGGCACCGGCTTGTCATCTGGATCAACCTCGTGTCCTCGGCCCTGTTCTCAACCGCCTTCTTTTTCGTTCTCGTCTTCCAGTGTAGCCCTCCGCGGTACTTCTGGAGGCAAGTCTACGGTGAGAAGGGATATTGCCACAAAAAGTTGATCGTTACCTACGGGACGACGGTGTACAGCGTTCTTTCGGCTTTGTCGGATTGGTGCTTGGGTCTTTTGCCTATTGCGATCCTCTGGTCGGTCCAGATTAACCGCAGGACGAAGGCGGCTGTTGCGGGTCTTCTAGGTCTGGGTATGATGTAAGTATATCGACGACTCTTTCATCACTGGGATTGCCTTGGGTCTGATCGACGTGTGTTTCTACAGCGCTGGCGTGGTCCTTATCGTGCGCACAAAATATGTCACGCGCCTAGAACCCGGTGTCCTCTTCCTTTACGAGTCAATGTGAGCCGATCCGATGTCCTTTTTTTTTTTTTTTTTTTTTTTTTTTTTCTTTCTCTCCCCGCTTTCTGGCTTCCATGCTAATAGTTTATTCCTTAGTGATGTTGCGATTTGGTCGTTGATGGAACCTTCACTGGGTATTACCGCCGCCTGCGTTGCCACATTCCGACCGCTGTTCAAGGGCTGCGGGTTCGGCTTGAGCACGCGGAGAAGAGGTCTCACAACTCAGTATCAGGTTCCCAGACCGCGGGATACTTTTGGCGCTATCAATCCTCGGGCAGCAGGTTTCGGCTCTACCTTTGGAGCCATCACTATGAAGACTGATCACGACGGCGGATCGGAGAGGGAACTTGCTATTCTGAAGACTGTGCAAATAGACGTCACGCCCGCGAGTGACGGGCCTCACAAGTCGTTATCATTGAGCCGAAGCCAAAGTACGTTTGGGAGGGATTCAAATGAATTGCCCGGGAGGGCTCTATCTTATGATGGAACGTATCAAATGGAACAGGAGGACATGAAAGTGTATAACAATAATAGGACATCGGTTTAGGATGAAATTATGACATAATGAACACACCCCAAGAAGATGAAGTGAACCGCAGAGTGGTAGCTGAAGATGACCCGTGAGAGAACGAAAGGTAGAGCCTGGCATTGATCGATAGAAAGTGCATTCCTCATTGAGTCTATGCCGCGGAAGTCAAGATTTTATGCGCGAGCCAACGCTATCCCGGCATTTACTTCGTTTGTCCTTCTGCATCTCTCATCTCTTCCGGCCATGGCATCACCGTTAACCCCGGCCATACCGTTAACCACCTTGAGACCTTCTTCTCATATGCTTGTCTGGAACCCAAAACCGGGACTGGCCTGACAACCATATTAAATACATCCGATAGACCCCTCGGCGCATAGATCTTCCACGAACCGCCATCCATCAAGCGAACCCCGTGCTGCGCCGAACCAGTGACCCACGTGTCGATCGCCGCCTCCGTCGACGTGAACGGTTGCGGGCCCTTGACGCCAAACAATTTCTCGTACCACAGGTGCACACGCGCCTGGTTGCGGATTTGCACCTCGACGCCTAGATCGGCGAAGAGATCCGCGCCGGCCCGGATCACAACATCTTCGGCCTCCCAGGAAAGGTCGGACGTGTCGCAGTAGATGAGGTCGTAGTCGGCGATGCCCGATGTCGGTGGCTTGCCTGTTAGGACGTTCCAGATCGTCTGGGAGATGCAGCCGGCCGCGAGATACCAGCCTGGGAGGTTAAGAGTGGCGGCGCGTTTGAGAACTTCGATAAGCGTGGTGTTGTGCTCAAGCATATCCCTGAAATAGGCCATTTGCTCATCGAGAGGAAGCTGGCCTGGGTTCATCTTGCTTATGCCGGGCATACGCGAGAGACCGGAGCGTTGCAGCAACGGTTCGATGGGGTCCGACCGCGAAAATATTTTATTGATTTAGTCGACGCGATTGAGCTGCGAGTATTATGAATTTCTCGGGCCATTCGTTATGTGATGACCCGATCGAAAAGGATTTAAGTTGACCTCTGCTGCCTGCTTATTGTCTTGTCACATCACACCGGCCGGATTTTCTCGGGTGCGGGGTTATCGGAACCCTCATCTCACCTCTTAATCCACCGCTCACTCTGGTTTCTTGCTGTGCCAAGATGAGTGCGCCGCAAGGTTCCAAACAGCTTCTATTGCACCAAGAGCTCTACCAGAGTCTTAAACCCAACCAAACACGAGTTCTGAGGATCCATCCGTCGACCGACGCTGAGTCTCAGATAGAATGCGACCTCGTCATCGTGACGCTCGCGCAGAAGATGGGCGCCACTTCTGCGGACGGCACTACCATCATCCCTTATGAGGCCCTCTCTTACACTTGGGGCGGGCCCGGCGCACCGAAATCCATAACGCTCAATTCCATATCCTATCCCGTGTCAAAGAATCTTCACGATGCGCTCCGGCACATTCGACTGCCCAACAAGGAGAGATATCTATGGGCTGACGCGTGTTGCATTAACCAGGAAGATATCGAAGAAAAAGAAATCCAGGTCGCCATGATGTTCAATATTTACCTGAAGGCCTCTCAAACGGTCATTTGGTTCGGATTGCCTACACCGGAAGATACGAAAGTCTTCAAACTGATCGGGTCCATCAACTCGATGTCCGCATATGAACGCAGTGAAGCCTGTCGAGACCCCGAGACACGCGCCGCTGCGAGAAACTTTATCGAGACGAAGCCGTGGTTTCAGCGGACATGGGTCCGCCAGGAAGCGCACGCCTCGCGCAAAATTGTACCTATGTGCGGACCGCATTCATGCAGCTACAAGGCCTTTGAACGGACCATGGACGAGTTGATGCCAGACATGGCAGACCCTCTGAACAGCTTCGACCCGCATCGCGATCCGTCCGAACCAGTTCATAAAGCCAAGATGATTTACGCCCTGTTCAAGAGGGATTGCGACACGTATCATTTTCCCGAGAAGCAAATGGAGGACATGTGGTTTCACCTGATCATGAGAAGCACGCTCTACGACTCGACTCTTCCTCACGATAAAGTGTACGCCGTTCTGGGCATCGTCGCCAAAATGACCAAGCGCGGAGGACAAAGGTGGCACGTCGACGTCTTGGACTCGACCGAGACCTTTCCGGGAATCGATTACTCCAAGTCCGTCTCAATTGTGTTTCAAGACTTCACCAAACACGCCATCAACACTAGCGGCCACCTCGGTTGTCTCTCGATTTTCCAGGACCGCGAAAAGGTCATGGGTGGCGACGACAACCTACCGTCCTGGGCGATTGATCTCCGACGTAACGCTCCCCGGTTCAAAGTCCCGCTCGAGATGTACAGTCTCAGCCGCTCGTTAAAAACTAGTCTCATTGACCAAAACTACGACGACCACGGACGCCTCCGTTTGTGGGGCCGACGCTTGGGCACCGTTTCTTCCGTCGACTCTCCGTGGAAAGATGGCCTGCAGCGGGAAGTGTCGTGGCGGTCTCGCAGCGGAGGTCTAGAGAGCTGCTTCTCCACAAACGACCGGTGGTTCCCCAAAGAGGGCAACAAGGGTATGGAAGAGACGTTCAAGATCCTAGAGAAGCTCTGCTCTTATGTTTGGGTTGAGGTGGCACCGACTCCTAGAAGGCTGTACGCGGAGCTATCTCGCGACGGCTTCGAGGAGTTTTCTGAGGAGAGGCACAGGTGTTTTGCTTTCGCATCGCATCAGGTGTGGGAAAGTGATTTGATTGTTCATTTATTCGGGGCCGATGTGCCGTTCCTCCTTCGTTACGTTCAAGACAACGAATACATATTTCTGGGACCAGTCGTACTGGTTCTCGGGCGCATCAAGAAGTTGAAGGACAGGGACATGTTCCGGTACTCCATGGCGGACCACGACCCACGAGGAAGTTCTGAATTTTATGTGCTTGTTTAGTAGTTCCTCGCATTGGTAGATACTTAGCACTAGGGCTAATTAGATGTGGCAGGGGTGAATGCGTGGAATAATGGATGATTATCGAGAGTGGGCTCGTCTTCGACTTCGTAAGTCTGAGTGAGTTGGACGCTATAACCGCAGCTGGAAACCATGCGAGTCTAACGACGTCTCCCTTGAGTGCCAGCGTTGGGATTGAGAGTTCTGCAGTCCCTCCAAGTTGAGTTCTGAGAATATTCCTCCAGCGCAATTCCGCCCGGACGACCCTTACTCGATGCGGAATACCGCCAACAAGAACAGCGGTCTGCCGCCGGGACGCGGGTGTTAACTTCATACGATGAACGACTATGATATTTGCGTTTCATTAATACACTAAATCGTATTTTTCGTTAGCCTTGCTTTCTTTTAAGACCCTCCAATATTTCGACCAGTTCGTCATGGCTCATGCCGTCTTCGTCTGCGGCGCCACCGGAACCCAAGGGGGAGCAGTGACCCGCCACCTCCGACAGGCCAGCATCCCCGTTCACGCCCTTGTGAGAGACCCCAGCAAAGCCAGCCAGCTCAGAGATATTGGCGTAACCATCTTTCAAGGCTCATACGACGACGACAAAGCCCTACGAGACGCCATCAAGGGTTGCAAGTCGGCCTTCCTCAACTTCGCCCCCTCTTTTACTGATCTCGCCGAGGAGCTGCGTCACGCCAAGGCCGTCCTCACCGCTTCTAGGGATGCCGGAGTAAAGCACATTGTCTATTCAAGTTCATTTGGTCTCGACGAGGAGAAAGTTACACGCCCAGGGCTGGACCCGGACGGGATTGTAGCCAAGGTCTACAGAATCAAGAAAGATATTATTCGCGAAGTTGCCGGATTCGACTCCTACACCATTTTACGGCCTGCCAAGTTTATGACCGATCTGATCGGCCCCCGAGCGGCCTGGTTCGGAGATCTCCGTAGGACGGGGATTTTCGAAACGGCTCTGCGTCGAGGAGAAGCCAGCCCATACGTTGACCCCGACGATATCGGTGCCTTTGCATCGGCGGCTTTGCTAGACCTGAAGAAATTTGCGGGGCATCGGGTCGATGTATTTACCGCCATGTTGACACCCGAGGAGCTCGTCTCCATGTTGGCTAAGACTACAGAGAAGAAGATGAGTGTTCGCTATTTGTCTGACGATGAGTTGGAAGAGAGGAAGAAGACCAATTTGTTCCTTGAGGCCCAGATCACGATGAGGGATACGAGTGCGATGGCCGATATGGACTTTGTGAGATCTTGGGGGGTTCCGTTAGGGTCGTTCCAGGCATTCTTGGAGAGGGAGAAGAAAGATCTGTATGAGACCTATGTCCAACTTTCCCCCGGACCTTAAACCTCGTGTGGCAGTTCGTCTGTCCGTCGGCTGGAACCCCTTGGGTGGGGAACATTGTATAATGAAGCGGCTGTACTTGGCCTTGCTACTGAGAAAGCCATGAATCATGGGCCATTGTGCAAATTGCCTCACAAGCCTTACTCCATGTTACATAGATACGGGGGAAGCGTTTATATATAAAAAAAAAAGATAATGCTTAACTGAAGCTCGAGAAACGGCCTGCGTTCTCTACATTGTCATTGTTGCTGATACCTCTTGATAAACTAAGCCCTATAACATGCTAAGCGACCCCCCGCCGAAGTTCCCGGTGCGGCAAGCCGATCATGGCTTTTGACTTTCAAAGATCTCGTTCCTCTCGTACGAGTAGGTCTTCGACCTTATCTAACTCGCCCTCTGAGGCACCAAGGTGGTACTCAATGAATTCGACCTCCTCACGGGATAAGAGCCTCCCTATGCAATTGGGGTTTCTCGCAAGGGCGTACAAAGCCACAAGAGCCGAGCTGGGCCTCCACATGCCACCCTTTAACGAGTCCATAAGCGCCTGGGGCTGAAGGAGTATGAACCTACTCACCTCTCCGCTGTTGGACTGCTCGGGATTAAAACTCATACCCAAATCGACGGAAAAGCAAGCTTTGATGCCGGGTTCGATCTGCCCAACAAACCTCACCGACTCCTCGTCCCTGATGTTCGTGTAAGACACGATCCCGTCCATTAGAACCAAGCCGCGCACGCGCTCCGGCACAGCCGGGCCGATCCCCTGCGCAAGACGGTAGAGAGCCGTCCAAAATGTCTCACCCTTCCGGACGCCACCGGCGGCAATCTGATCATACTTGCCCGGGTAGACAGAGTCTGAAGAGCGGACTTGGACCCACATGCCGGCCCGGGAAAAGATGGTCAGGTGTGCGCCGACCTGGGGAATCCCGATGTGAGCCCCGAGATAGTCGGGGATCTGGAAAGCAGGATGGGCGCCAATAACGTTGACATACTCTTGATTCGCTCCGTTAACCCATCTCTGGATGTCTGGGAAGTTCCTCAATGTTATTTCGTCCCAGGTAAGATCACGTAGTAGACCGCTGACCGTATTTGGATTCGTCGACGGAGGTACAATCTTGCCATCATCTGTGAACCAAAAGCCATAAAGCTCCCAGGGGAGTCCTAGAGCAACCTCTTCGAGGATTAGGCCACACGGCTGCAACTCCCCGTTCCCATCTGGAAGGTAGAGTCGACGAACACTGTTCCTCTGGATACTGCCCGCGTAGTGGTTGTAGTTGGCAATGCATTGTTGAGCGATTTCGAGAATGGAGTCGGACATTGTGCCGTGTGCAATGTTATCCTGTCGCGGTAATGTGGATGTCGGTGTCCTGGGATTTGGGGGGGTTTGGTTTATATCGGATCTGCGATGGTAGAGATGAACTTGGAGTAGTGTCCAGTTGAGAACGTTCTTGTTGGATAACTTGGAAGTTGGTTTCACTGCGTCGTAAGGAGGGCGAGGGGTAGGAGGGGTGCTTGGCTTTTATATATGCTGAAGTCAGTATTCAGGAGTTTCGCGATAATTGATATTCACAGGAACTGGCGCAACATTATCCACAGGAACATTCTCCATTCATGGGCCTTGACAACCCGGAGGGGAGAAGGAGCGGGGACTTTCATCGAATAAGGACAACCGTCTGGGGTCATTGTTCCTCCTTTCCCCATTGTCCTACCTTCCCCCGTCGAATCCTTTTGTTAGACTTGATTCTTCTTGAATCGCTAATCCCCGAGGACAATAACTTCTTGCCCTGGAATGATATCCATTGTCGGCCGTTTTAAACATGAATCTCTGGACAGTCAAGGAGAAAAAAGTTCCCAGGGAGACCAAGAACCTGCCAGTGGGGGTGACGCAGGCAAGAAGTGGGTAGTCGGCGGGTGCTCAGTGTCGTAATAAGTCCGTTGAAACTGCGGCTTTGGCCGTTGCCATCATACCTGGTCTGTCTTTAACGGCAGTGGCGCATCCAATCCCAGTTCTGCTCTGCCTGCTCACCCTTAAGCCATTCCTTAGGTTGCACGCTCGGGTTGCCATTATTCATGAATTCATACCTCTACGGATGAAAATCCACTGGCCCCGGCATTGCCATCTATAGAGTATGCAGGCTAGGAATGTCCTGTCAATACTAACGCGCATCTTAATCTCTTTCTATGGAGTATATATATATATGAAACAGTTCTAATGAGACCAGCGTGCAGTAAACAAAGGCACTCTATAAAGACAATCCACAACATCAGACAAACGAGTTCTAGAAGTTGTTCCTAATTCCGGGCCAAATCCCTTCTAGCTTCCTCTCTAGCTCCACCCAAACCCGCCCCTGAACAAGCATTCCCTGTTCGGTGAGAAGAAATGAAGACGGGTCCTTCACCTTGCATTCGCTGAGATATTTCCCGTGCGATTCGGCCCCCTGGGCACCGGCATGAACTAGTGCTCTGCTTCCCTCTTCCGTGGACCTGGCAAGAATGGCAATCATCATTCGAAAGCCTCGCGAGTCCAGGCTATCGGTCATCTCACTATTTCCGTCAGAACCGTGCCATAATTAGCCGGGGATTATTCAAGCCGGATCAAAACTTACGAGTGACACAATCCCGGATTCACCGTACTAAGTGTCACGGGGAACGTCGATGCGGGATACTTTTCCGCTAGCTGTCGCACGCACATTATTTGCATGAGCTTCGAGATACCGTACTGGTCCTGGCCATCCTTGTCTACCCTTTCCTTGTTGTTCAAGGTCGAGAAGATCTTGCCCTCTGGCACTGATGCGAGATCGAACTTGATTGTACGGTGAGCCTCGGACGAAACGATCGTGAACGTCGGTCGCGTCCCAGTTTTGGCGGCGGTTGCCTTAAGCTTAGGAAGGAGAAGTCCCATCAATAGAAAAGTCGAAACGAGGTTGACCGTGATAGCCGAGTCATCCTCTTCGACCAAGACGTATTTAGTGGGATTGAGGCCGGCGTTGGCGATGACGATGTCAAGGTGCTCCAGTTCGTCATTTACCTTGTTCGCAAAGTTCTTGACGCTTTCATAGCTTGCCATGTCGAGCTTCCACACCTCGATGACACCCTTGGCGCATTGAGTTGTGGTCTCGATATCGTCTTTGACCGCGGCACCTTTTTCAAGGTTCCGGACTGCGAGCACAAGCTTACCAACGCCAAGACGGGCATAGTGACGGGCGGCTTCCTTGCCTAGACCCGAGCTGCTGCCCGTTACGATGACCGTCTTGCCGGCGTATGACTCGGTGGGCGACGGGAGTTTCACGAACAGTTGGCTGTGGAGGAAGCGGCCGAAGTCAGATGCAGACATGGTGAGTTTCCGGTAGAAAGATGGATTAAACAGTAGACAAAGAAAGATATAATTGGAACAACTAACAGAAAGAACAACTAACCTCTGAGTTTGAACTGAGAAGGGGAGGCTTATTTATGCAAGCGATGATGGGCGGAGTTCCGACTTGTGATCCCGCCATAAGATTGCACTATGATGGCGATTATAACCAGCCTTAGTATTACAGGAGTACACAATGAACCCCTACTACCAGATGCACTTACGGCGTGACTGTTTTGAGATACTAGCTGTCGACTTCTTGTAAAATAGGGGTATTGGGCCGAGTCCGATTCCCCGACGATGTGGTCGACCCATCCCCGAGGGAGCCCGGACGTCTTGCGAGATCCTCTCGGCCGATTCGGATCGAGATGAGGAGTAAACGATACCGAGACTTGCTAGGCTAACTGGCTATTTACTTTGGAGACTTCGACTACTTCGTTCTTAATTGCATCGCGGATGAGCCTGTATAATTTTATCAAAGTTATCCTCTCACTATTGTGTGCGCACTCGGTAGAGGATGAGATAAAATGGTAATTTGTACTCTAGTAGGCGAAGGGAAGGGTAGACGGGCGGACAAGCTGTGCAAGGCTCTTGACCCCAATGAACTGAAATTGAAATAAAAATCACATAGAATATAGTAACGAGGGTTGGTGGATCCTAAGTCCGCGGAAACCACTGACGCAGGAGTTGTGCGTTGTTGAAGTTATATACAGGAAAAAACCAAGAAAAAAAGGCCTGAGGTTGAACGATATGGTCACCGCCAACTTTAGTCTGCGGATACAGGAGGGTTAGCGACAAACCCAGTCAAATTCGGTACGTTGGGGAATTCTTCGAAGTTGTAGGGCTGATCAACATACCCGGTCGATAAGTAATATTGGTACGACTGGAACAGAGACGTTCAACGCTCGAGCTTAGCTGGGAAGACGCCATTTACGCTTCCCATCGACGCTCAACCACGGCGGGAGCTTCCTCGCCATCTTGTTCCTCCTCCTCCTCCTCTTCCTCGAAGTCCGGGTCCTCCTCTTCCTCTCCCTCCTGCTCCTGCCCCTCCTCGCCGTCCTGGTCCTGCTCTAGCTCACCCTCGTCGTCATGATGCTCCTCATCTTCAACAGCACGCATAGTAAGGAACTTGGCGTCGATAGCGGATTCGTCGTCATCCTCGGCAGCGAGGTCGGCGAGATCACTGGGGACGTCACCCAGGTCGAGGTCGTCCAGGTCAAAGTCGTCAAGGTTGACGTTCTCAATGTCAACGTGGTCAATGTTAAGAGCGTCAACGTCTGTGAGGGCGGCATCATCACGGGGGATGGTCATGGCCGAAACCGCAGAGGCGGTGAAGAGGAGGCCGACGGAAAAGAGGGTGAGCTGCATTTTCGAGAGAGTGGGCGTAGTTTTTTGAGGATGTAGAATGTATGTAGAAGCGAGGCTGAAGTGATGGTGATTTTGTTTGGATGCTATTCTCTTGATTGAGTTCTTGATTTGGAGTCCTAATAACTGGAAGACGATCACGGTTTATATACACGATTTCATCTTCAGCTGGAAGCCTTTCATCATTAACTTCAGACCTATGAAGCATCTAATGCCGAGGATCTCTTTCCCCATCGTGGAAACAAACCGTAAGCATCGGTCGCTGAATCGTTTCGGGAGAGCCGATTTACGTCGTAGCCCTAATCTCACGATGCTAAGAATGAGAGACAGGCCCAAAGATAGACCTGGGGTTGACATTGATAGTGGGTCGGCTTGCCCTTCGCAGAGACGAAACCCCCATCTTACTATCGTCTGATCTCCTTCCCGAGTGCATCGACCTCGAGGATCTAGAGATGAATTGCTCCGCGGCTGGATTGCTTACAGTTTAGTTTACATGTATCCGTGGCGTGGACGAATTCGATACTGAAACGCAGGCTCGTGCTGAAAATATCGCGGAAACGTGGCGCAGTCTCCCGACGTGCAGGCAGCACAATAGGAGCTTCGGTTCTGGACGCGGGGTGGGAAGATGAGCTCTCATAGGCCATGACGCCGAAGCGAGTGTGGCTGTGGGTGAGAGGATCAATGCGCCTGTTTTCTAATTCTGGAAATCAGTGGATATTTTCAGGGTGACATTGGTGAGCGACACCATGAGCCAAATCAGGGGGATCGACAGACGCGATTGTTTCTATTCTAAGCGCTCGAAAGATTAGTCCGAAAAGGGTAATTGCCCAAATCAATTCTAAAATACAAACTTAATTCTAGATGCGTGAGAGATCAAATGTCTTGACCTGCTCAGGGAATAGAACATCTGGTAATTAATGTCGGGACAGAGGTCAAAGTTGCAGTTGAGACTCTCTCTCGGTACGAAGTAATCTATGCCGAGACTCCGGACTGGGATAGCAGACCTGGCCAGAAGTTGCGGACATGGAAACATGGAAGCACGTTAAAATCCCGTGGATACAGATAATCATCAAGCCTGCACATCACATTCATCCGCGCTTATCCTTCCCCTGCCTGGCGTGGTGTGGTGGTCATCCCAAGAGCTGATGCGCACAGCCACCCCGAGCCTACCGAACCCCAATTTTGGAAAGCCCGCCCAACCTAGGGCCCTGGAGTGAAGTCTCCATGCAAGTTGTTCTTTTTCCTACATTTTCTATTATTATGAATTTGGTGGTATTCGAATCGCGTGTTATTTCCCTGCCCACGGACCCGTCCTATATCAAGCTTCTCGGTCCCACCCCACCCCTGGCTCGACAGGGAGTAAGAACAAGACGGGTCATCATTCTTCGACTGTTCCATCGTTCAACGTCGTCTCGAGATCTGTTTTCAGTTTAGCACCTTCCAATTTTAGGCCTCAACAACTCCCCCGACCGTCAGCAAAAAAATGGCGAGCCAAGCAACAAACGCTCTTGCGACAGGATTTCACGAGCTCGAGGCCTATCGATATCCCAGCTCTTGGAACCATCAGCACGGTGAATTGACGCCAAGAGCATTCAATCTCGTCATCGAGGTGGACATGCCAGCGACGGCGGCCCCTGCGTATCCAGGGCAGGGCAGTAATACTATCGTCATCGCTACGACGGTGGAATACGTCAAACACCCATCAACTAGGAAAGAGAAACGTGTTCACTTCGCTCCCCTAATTCAGTGCGATGATTCGAGCGTCGGGTTGTTAAGAGATGAGCTTGGTTCGGTGGATGAAATGGGCGCGACGAGGTGGCATTTCCCGAGCCGGACGTCTCGGCATTGGCGACTCGCAGGCAATATGCAACGTCTCTTTGCAAAAAGGCTGTTCGCTTCGATCGCTCATAAAAGGGAGCCGAGGAGACTATTCCTAGCATCGCAAATCCATTGCCAGGACTGTTCTGGGTGAACCTGGAAAATTTGGACTGGCCAACAAACTGCGTTGGGCGCCGCCCATCGAAAATTGCGCCGTCTGATACAGGGTTTCTAAATCTGGAAGCCCAAAATATCAGTGCAAACGCGACGCTGCATGGACACCAGATCCGCTCCGGGGCCTCCCCTAGAATGGCCTCTCCTGTGCGTTGAAATCACTCACCCACGGACCCATCCGTGGTCTTCTTGGGAGTTTCTGAGAGACAGAAGCTGCATTGGCATGAGAAACGTCCCCCTTCATCTTGGTTCGAACCATGAAAGTTCATCCGTGATGGGGGGATTACTTATACGCATTACCCCTTAACCACTCCCACTCCGCATTCCAACTACGTTAGAATATGGACGGCAGGGGTGTGGGCGTTAAGATTCGACGATTCCTAACTCCTTCGGATGATGGTTTCCTCATTTCGTTTGGGATCCTCAAACTGGGGTGGACATTTACTCGATGCTAGAACGCCTATGGCTTTACGAGGAGAAATGTTTGTGTGAGGAATATGTTAGGTGTTAGTTCTAGCACATCCAGCCCCATCTTCTCCGGAGCGGGTGGGCGAAAAAATGCCGTCATCCCCACGCCAGCAATGGTCCTCGTCTTTCTTCATCGCCGACATATGTATCATCTAGATAGGTCAGGCAAATAGATCTCGAGAACAGAAATGGAATTCTTATCCTTCCTGCGGCGGCAAAGGTAGTTAAAGAGGCAAGCGCTTTTAATGTGAGGGTCTGTAAATGGCACTTCCCAATAGTGAAGCCTACCAGATACCCTTCTCCACCGCCGTCACTACTCCCTAGCAAAGTCTATACACCCAACAGACCTACAACTTAGCGAGTACGAGTACCACATCGTCCATCCGAGGATGGTAGTAGCTGAGGTGTGGCTCCTGGAGTCGTTTACAGGCGTGGATCAGGAATCAGGCTCTGAGTCCTGTTATTCTCAAGCCCTTCTAAATCGGATCAATGGATTAAACGGCACTCCCCAGATCAACCACTAGCGGTGAGAGGACTGGCTAACAAACTGCATGCATGACCGGGACCACTCCGAAGTTTAGAGTTTCCTAGCGCATGGACATGATGAAATCCCGGTACCCCGAACGCATGCTTGACCCCGAGAAAACAAACAAATTCTCGACTAGGACATCCCAATATCTCCAATGCGCGGCCCGGTCCTTTTCCCCGGCACGTTCTTCTCCCACAATTCTGTCCAAGGTAGAAGGTAAATCATGTGGCGTGGAAGCACACAATACTTTGGCGCCCTTGCAAGTAAGGCGTGACTCTTTTGAAGTGGGGGAAGCCCGGAACATTTTACGCTGTCCTCTTGGGCCTCGCCTTTTGGCCATGGCCTAGGATCGTGTGGTTATATGTCCCATGCGGTTGGGCTCTGTTTATTGCTAGTAGATCTGGGTCTATCCTTCGTCCGGAGCGGAATGATGCGATTTAGTGCGACTGAGGGCAAAGGCCACCTGGTCCGATGTGTGTACAAGGTAATTGTGGATAATTATCATGCCAATACAAGTATACGGACTAGAAGCTATGTAAGGGATGAGGTTCTGGGGCGGAAACATTGCCTTTTACACGACAGGAACGGGGTGCTTGAGCCGGAGTAAAATCTCCGCGTGTCAGGTCTAACGTTGACCCCTTGGAGTGCCAGAAGCTCACCAGGTCCCCCAATGTTAATCTCGCCAAGATCACCATTTCGTCATGAATCTCGGAGCAGCGCAAGGGGTTCATGCATTTAATTCACCCGGGTATAGACGGGGCTATGTTCCCCTTGCCACTAACTCCTATCTCATATGGAAATCACTGAGAACGATAGAAAGAAAGAAAAAAAAAAAAGAAAAAAGAAAAAAAAAAACTCTCTAGTCGAGAGTGATAATGTGCGACTTCAAAATAGAGCTCGTCAGCAATATGTGGTTAACTAGCGCTTTCAGCTAATCCTGATTCCTAGACAAGACGCAATCGAACACCTCGGTTCCGAGACTCCAGCCCCGAGCTGGTTCTTTAACGTGTAGGAAGAAGTAATCTACTGATTTTTAACGGGCATAAGATCTGAACAGGAATTAACTTTCCAACGCATTTCCATTCCTCATGTACAATACAGATCTTTGTTTGAGCGTAAACCAGTTAGTATCATCCAATTGACAACGTGCTCACTATGTCTCACACCTAGGGCGTAGGATAGATATCCGAGAGATTCTTAGTGCGGGTACCTGGCGTGGAAACCATCCGAGAGTCTGAGCTTCTTCGAAGCAGAGACACGAGGAAAGTTGGCCAAAGTTTGACCAAAGGTACGCCGAGCCGCTGCTCACCATTGCAGTCCCCGAATTCGCTCAGACTACGCCAAATATAGCCATCGTTGCTTAAGCACAGTAGCCAGGTTCGGATTGACGAGGATCCCGAGTAAACTTTATTTTCAACACAACGCTTTTGGCGTCTACGTCATGGCTGAGACACATTGCGGACAAGGGGGTGACATTGGTACCTCCTTACTAGACGCTTGACGAGCCGTTGGCAGGCAAGTGACCCCTGCCATGGCTCTCCTCCCCTTGAGGCAACATGTTAAAACGGATCAGGCAGCAAGATGTCAAGTTCAGGAATCTGGCTTTTCGTAGGGATTCGGCAATTTTTCCTGAGACAGCCCTGATACCTGATACCTGATACCTTTTGTTCCTCATTCGTTTTCGTCCAAAGACTGGAGCTCTAAGATGTGGAGATCGGGATGGTGATCAGCATGGATAAAGGGAAAATAGAGGGAAAAGCTTAATCCGCAGAGATCGTACGAGACAATCGCGGGTCTAAATATGGAGCTTTGAGTCGAAAGGAACGTGATTGGGACGCAACCTTCGGGCATACCCAATCCACCCTAGGTCCAGAGCTCCCGAACCACTTAGTTTGCGCCTTAGAGAGAACGTATGTCGGTATGTAGCGGGTTGGTACGAACTTGGAACATTGAAGTCTGAGAAAATTCATGACGATGGTTGATGAGCGCAGGATCAGGCTCTGATGCCCATTGCTATTGCCGCTTACTCTATTCTTCGTGTCGAACAAAGTCCTGATAAAATGAATTTGACTCTCTATAAAAGGAGGCCCTGTCTGACTTCTTTTGCACCTTCTTATTCATCCAAAACATTCATCGTCAGTCACCATAGACACAATTTATAGCTTTATACTCTCTTTACCTATAAGTTTGATTACGCTCGCTCTATAAGATGCAGCCAAAGGCTCTGCTTGCCATCTTGGCCACCGCCTCGCTTTCGATGGCAGCGGTCTTTCCCCGTGGAGGGAATGCCGGGATTGCCGCCCGCGAGGATTTCGTTAAAAAGGTAGCTCGGCATCAATATTGGCGCAGGCAAGGCGACGAAACCTCTCCCACGGACGCCACTCCAGCTGAAAGTACTCCTAACGAGACTACCCCTGTCGATGAGGCCCCGACTACTCCTGATGCGACAGCACCCGACGGAACTCCTGACGAAACCAATCCTGTTGAGGCTCCCCCCAGTGAGAGTAGTCCGGTTGGGGCTCCCCCCAGTGAGAGTAGTCCGGTTGAGACTCCTCCTAGTGAGAGTACTCCGATTGAGAGTCCTCCTAGTGAGAGTACTCCCATTGAGGCTCCTCCTAATGAGAGTACTCCCATTGAGACTCCTCCTAGTGAGAGCACACCCGTTGAGAGTCCTCCCGGTGAGAGTACCCCAGGTGGCACGACGCCCGGCAATGGCGAGACCACCACCAAGGAGGATACTACCACCAAGCCTCCCACCACCCAGGAGCCGACGACGAGCGAAGAACCCACCACTAGCGAGAAGCCAGCTACTAGTGAGGAGGCCTCCCCCACCACACCCAACAATGTACCTTCTTCTACCGCAAAAAGTACAAGCACTCCTCCCCCACCCGGACCTACAACCGTCACCGCGACCACAACCTTCACGCCGCCTCTCCCTCCCCCTCCGCCCCCGACCCCGGTCACCAAGATCACCATCATCATCCCTAACCCCGTCACCATCACTGTACTTCCCAACCCTGCCATCGTCACCGTGGTCCCCAAGCCTCCTCCAAATGTCCGTCCCCCTCCTTACTGGGTCGTGAAGAACTACACCCGAACGTGCAACGCCGTCGACACGAGCTGCAACTACCTCTTCTGGATCGAGACTCACAACGACCCCTGGAAGCCCTTCCCGCTCGGCAAGTGCAACTACACCGTCGAAGCTAGCCCGGGCGTCCCCGCGAGTCGACAGAGTGTTACCGACATTTCGTGCGAGGGAGGCTTCCGAGCCAGCTCTGCTTGGAGTGGACAGTTTGGTCCGGGCAACGGCTTTACGACGTATGGTGTCACCAATTATGTTGGTATCATCTGGCCCGCCTATGCTGATTGGCAGGTGAAGAATAATACTCCTGTTAAGCCGGATCAGCTTTACTTCCCTCTCTGGTTCTAAGGCAATGGAGCCTTCACTGGATGTGGATGGATATGTGGTCATACTCATCTGTCCAACACCACGATAGGCTGGAAAATATTTGGCAAAATATACACACAGTCTAATATGAGAATATGAGACCATCAGCATAGAGATGTATATACTTTCCATATATCAGCGCTAACTTGAGTACCGGTATCAAGACAGCCTAATTTATTCATGCCGTGTTCCGTCGATTGATATAAATTTGGATCCTCAGTTCATCCCATGTTTACTTTCAGTAACTTGCCGCGACCACGAAGACGACAGGGAATGAAGTGGGTGTCTATATCGATGCTACAATCTAGCGTGAAGGCAATGTGGAGTGATAATAGACTAGTCATCTCTCTCAAGCCAAGAGCTCCCTTAGTACATCGCAAGTCGCGTTACCAATTTCCACAGTCGTAGCTTCACCGCCCATATCCCTGGACCTGATTTCCAATCCTCCAGATTCTTTCGAATCAAATACGCGGGCCACGGCTCTCTCAATGGCCGACGCCTCCTCTGCCAAAAGACACGAGTACCTCAGCAGCATCGCCAAGCTGAGAATCTGCGCCGCTGGGTTCACCAAGCCCTTCCCGGCAATGTCGGGAGCGCTTCCGTGGACCGGCTCGTAGATGCCCTTGCATCTGTCACTTCCCGGAATTCCCGATAAACTGGCGCTCGGAAGCATTCCCAAACTTCCAACGATGCCGCCGGAAATGTCCGAGAGGATGTCTCCAAAGGTGTTGTCCGTATGTATCACGCCGTTGAACCCTCGGGGATTCTTGACCATGAGTAGGGCCATACTGTCGGCTAACTGATGCCGTAGCTCGACGTTGGGAAACTCACGGTCAAAGACATCCTGCGTGACGCGTCGCCAAAACCGGCCACTTGCGAGCACGTTGGCTTTATCGGCGCTCCAGACAATAGCCGGACCGCCTCCTCCCATGCCATCGCCATTCCGGCCGAGCATGCCAGCGACGGCGGCGCTGACGCGAGCGCAACGCTCCACTTCTGGCGTCGTATACACCCAGAGATCGGATGCACTCGTGGGCATTTCAGTCTTCTCGCCAAAGTAGGCGCCGCCGCAGTTCTCGCGGACGATGGTGAACTTGGTACCTCGAACAATCTCGGGTTTCAGAGGCGACGCATCTATCAGCGAGGGGACCAATATCTCGCAAGGGCGCAGGTTGGCAAATGCGTCGAGCTTCTTGCGGAGGTTGAGGATGCCTAGCTCTGCGCCGGGAGAGCAGTGCGCCCACTCGGGGCCACCCACGCTGCCGAGAAGAACAGCGTCACTTTCGCTCGCCCTGGTCAGGGCTTCTTCTGTGATGGGGACGCCGTGCTTGTCGATGCTGCATCCGCCGATAAGGTCGGTGAATCTTGTGAATTTGAGATTGGGACGGCACTCTTCAATCACGTCGAGCACTTTGAGTGCTTCAGCCATGATTTCGGGACCGACATGATCGCCAGGAAGGACGAGGATTTGGAAAGTAGTAACACTCATCGTGTCTACGTCTGTTGAATACACTCTGAAAAGATGATCAGGCTTGCATTAACCGTACAGTATAGTGAGCTGGTAATAGGCCGTCACCTCTTTGAAAATGATATCAATTTCTACAACGGGAATTATCAACCATTGCCGCTTTCCGAACTTCGGATCCCTTGGGCACGCAGACAGACGTCACTTCTTGCCAAGCATCATGGGTTCCTCCATCACCGAAACTGGGCTGTTTTCGAGTCTGCCGCACCTCCGGAGCGTGCCACTTTCAGAAATGGCAATTTCCGGACCCCCTCCAAACTCGAAAGATGCTCGACTCGTCCTAATCCAAACTCAGACTAGGTTCCTTTCCCCGCACGGAGAGGTTCTGGAGTGTGGAAGAAGTAATGGCGACTTGAAAGATGATAGATCTGGAGCTGAGAGGGGGGGAGAAGGCAATGGATCATGGTGAGGTCCGATCATTACACGTAAAAAAACAGGAATGACCACCTAGCCAGACCATCCGAACACCTCCCACCATTCTCCTGCCATCCACTACGATCAGATCTCTCTCCAACACGTGTTCCACATCCATTCCCGTCTCCATCGTCCCATCCTCCTTTTTTTTTTTTCCTTTTTTTCATTTCTCTTTTTTTTTTTTTAGCAACCATCAAGAAAAAAATGACTCTCGGACGCCTAAATGGCAAGGTTGCTATCATCACTGGTGCAGCCTCTGGCTTCGGCAAAGGCATCGCGATCAAATTTGTGCAAGAAGGCTGCCGAGTAATCATCGCAGATCTATCTCAAGAGGCTGGCACGGCAGTGGCAGCCGAGTTGGGTTGTTCCTTTGTCCGGGCCGACGTGACGAAGAGGTCGGATTGGGAGGAGCTCTTGGCGCAGGCCGTTAAGCAGTTCGGCGGACTGGATATCGTCGTCAACAACGCTGGCGCAACCTACACGAACAAGCCGACGGAGGAAGTCACAGAGAAAGAGTTCGACCTGGTCATGAACGTCAACGTCAAATCCGTTTATCTTTCGGCCGCAGTCATTGTGCCCTATCTGATGCGGGAGTCGCGGCCCGGCTGTTTCGTCCAGGTGGCGTCGACAGCTGCGATTCGTCCGAGGCCGAAATTGACGTGGTATAATGCGTCCAAGGCGGCGGTTGTAAATGCGACGAAGACTCTAGCTGTCGAGTATGGGCCGAACCAGATACGGTTCAATGCTGTCTCCCCAGTTGTGGGAAGCACTGGAATGTTCGTAAATTGCTATTCCCCTCCTCTCTTCACCCCCAGATAAAATCCTCCTGTTGAAGCCTCTGCTAACAAGTAAACTTTGTTTCCACCTCTAGGACCCATCTATTCCTTGGCAAGGCCGACACTGCCGAGAATCGCGAGGCGTTTGTGGCGACAATCCCTCTTGGCCGACCGTCTACCCCAGCGGATGTTGCTAATGCGTGCTGCTATTTGGCCAGCGACGAGGCTGCGTTTATAACGGGAACAAACATTGAAGTTGATGGTGGGAGATGCGTATAATACAAAGAAGAAGTGGCGAATCGGCGATATGATTTGGGTGAGTTGATAAGGCCGTCCTTGGTGACCCGTGGCGATTTGGCCACCGAAACTATCGCAAACATAAGGACACACAAATAGATAAATCTAAATGCCATTTTCTCTTGGCTTCGTGTTTCGTAGCTCTGGCGAGTTGAGCTAGTTTACCCCAAATCTAGCTCGTTGTGGGGGATGTGGCAATACGTCGGAGAGCCAAACCCAATGCACCCTAGACTCTCGGTGAAGGACGAATATAGAATAGCGCTCTGCAATGCAAATGTACCCCGCATGGCCAAATATTGATCAACTGAACTCTTTTTTTCCATTGAAGTCTAGTCGTTCAATCTCTTCCTCTCCTGTATTGGCGATCTTCTTCTCAGAATCTCTCTCGCGATCTCGACGTTGCCGCACCCTCGACACGGATAGGTATTGTGCCCTTTGAAGATGCTAAGTCCGCCGGATAACTCAAAGAACAGCTCGGTAGGAAACTAATAACCATCAACCTCGCCGAATTTTTAATTGCGTGGAACTGACCATGTACTCTCGGCCATCTTCACTCAGCACTCGACCTCTTTGATCCTTTCATGCAATGAGTGCGACCGAACCTTCAGCCGGCCTAGCCACCTCGATCGCCATCGCTTAACCCATCTACCCAAATCTCGTCGCAACATAATACCGTGCTTCCGCTGCACGCGATCCTTCTCGAGACAGGATGTTCTCCTTCGCCACCTGCGCGTCACCCACGACGTCGACGTCCGCGTGAAGAACTCTTACCAGAAATCGTGCTACCGATGCGTGCGGAAGAAGCTAAAATGTGATCGTGCAGCACCATGCGCTTCCTGTACGACGGCAAGCGCTGGGGAATCCTGCTCATATCCACCCCTTGACAATGACTATCGTGTCCCGAGGCACGGCGGATCACAGCTCCTTGACCAGTCGACAACGGACACTGACAATACTCCCATGTCCTACTCTCACGATACCAATGCCTCCAGCACCCCACCGACGAGCGACATGAGTCCGGGGGCGTATGGGTCCGACTTTGCCACCTCTTCAGCCGCTGATACCTTTGCGAACATGGACCCGTCGCTCGGCCCGGGCATGATTGAATCCGACGAGTACCATAGCCCGGTCTTTTCGGTGTTCTCTGCCGGCAACAATATCCTCGAAGCTGGTGACGGCGGCATGTTCGACCCGTCTTTAGGAACTGATAACGGTGGTGGTAATCACTTTGATTTTCGAGGTAGCGCGTTTGATTGGCTCGACTTTGACGTGTCCGATGTTGCGCTTGCCATGGACGGCATCAATGTGGGTGTAGGTGTCGGTGTCGACGTTGGCGTCGGTGTCGGTGTTCCTGGCAATGCACCCACCTCGGGTCCCGTCTTTCAAGAGCTGCTCCCCGGCAGTGAGCCAATGCCCCCTGTATCAGACGCTCCCCCTCCTCCACCCCAACTCCTTGGTCCTGCTCCTCCTGCGCCCCCTCATATTCCGGTTCCCGCCCCCGCTCCCTCTCTCCCGCCACTACCTCGACCATCTGTTCTGCCGTGGCCGTTCGAACAAGGTCAAGAGGCTCCATCCGACAGGTACCCCCTCCCTCCTCTGCGCGATGTCCTGCAAAACTCCGTGCGGTTGAATTCGAGCTCTGGGGGAGCGAAGACAACGGAACTGGAAGGCCTATTCCGGCTCCTGTCCAACCAACACCTCCCTGGACCCGAAGAACTTGTCGATTCAAACATGTCCATGGGCCTCGATCTGCTCCAAAGACTGCTTAATGTATACTTCTCCGATTTTCAAATCATTCAGCCCATCATACACCTTCCAACCTGGAGCATTCCGACCAGCCCGCCCGTCCTGCTCGCCGCTATGGCTTGCATAGGAGCCGTGTTATCTTCTGAGCCCAACGCGGCAGAGCTCGCCGCGACCATCAGCGATTTTTGTTTACCAATGATTACCTGGTTGGTAAGTGGTATCGGAGACACATCCCATACCATCCCTCCCGTTATATTTCTGTGTTAACCGACTTATCCTTTGTCACTTAATAGGGAGTAACGGATACTGCAAATTACTCAAATCCTCTGTATCTCGCAGCTCTCTGTCTGCATCAAATCTATTCCCTCGGCTCCGGAAATCGCCAACTCTACCAGAACGCAGATCGCACGCGCGGAGTCCTGATCGGAAGCCTCCGGGGCCTCGGGCTATTGACGTCTCGCCCCAATCCCAACTCACAAGAAGACAGCGACGTGCACCGGCCCCCATCGACCGACTTGGCTATCCTGCAGGCCGAGTGGCTGGCCTGGGCTGCGCAAGAACGAGACGTACGCATCGCCTGGGCGTCCTTCGAGTATGACTGCAGCCTATGCACCCTTACGAGTCGCCGTGGTGCCGTCGACTTAAGCGAGCTACCGTCGAGATTACCGTGCATCGATTCTGTTTGGGAGGCTCCTTCAGCATCGGCCTGGGCTGCACTTAAATCCAGACTACCTCCCAGCGCTCTGGGCGCACCGCTGTCTGGGGTCATATCGGCCGCGATAGCTGGAAAACCACCGCCCAGGCACGTTTCCGTTTGGGGTAAGCGACTGTGCGGACAGGCTGTGGGCCGTCTTCTATGGGACCTAAAGCAACTAGAAGCTATCGCCACCAACGAATGCTTTGGCGTCCCGTCCTTGTTTACCAGCCATCAGCAATCAAAACTGTCGCTTTTGAGGGGTTTGGACTGTATGGCCGAGTCGATGAACCACCCCATCTCGACGGCAGATCTCGTCAGCTACAAGTAAGTCAAGGCGTCTTCTCCTCCATGCAGCAAACCAAGAATTTTTCCTTTTGAATACAATACTAACTCGAAATTCACTAGCATCTCGAGTCTTCTATGTCATTACTCCCATCTCTACACGGCCGAAGATACCATGGATACAGTCCTTTACATCGTCCGCAATGTTGTTTCGCGAGGTTCTCGCCCCAACAAGGGCCTCGAAGTGGCACGCTGCCGCCTGGTTTCGGCCTTGACAAAAGATCCCCATAGGGCTCGGAGACTTGTCTGGCATGCTGGGCAAATAGTCGCCGTGGCTAATGAATATCTCGTGGCCGCACCATGCGAAATCATGAGGCTGTTCATGAGCTACATCTTCATCACCGCCTTCGCCAAGTATTGCCCACGGCCACACAGGTCCAGCCGAGGAGGTACTGCCGCCACAACCACGACCGCTAGGATCGTCCGGCTAGACATTCCAAACCATGACTCCAACCAAAGCCAGGCCGTTTCGGAATGGATCCAACGAGGTGGCCCCGCCAGGATAGGATCCGCTGAAAACATATATTCCGATGGAGCTACTCTAGCGATCACGCAAGACGCACAGAGCATGCTCCAGAGATTGCAGTCTTGGGGCTTAGCTGAGAAGTTCTCCAAGATACTACAAGTCTTTGAAATCAACGACGGCGACGAACAGAGCAAACGCGGAGAATAATGGCAACTATCGACGCTATTTATGAAACTCGTTACGATCGCGAAAACCATTGTCTTTTGAATGAGAATTTGTACTAATATCATATTGCTACTTAATATCTAAATCTATGTATCATTAGAAAATAGCCAGGCAATTTGGCGGACTGCTAACACCTCCGGGCATGTTGAGAGGAGCGCTAGCCACAAAGAAATCCCACCTACCGAGCTCGTGGCATTTACGGCTCAGTTCCTCGAGGTCGAACAGCTCGCCAACCGCCAGTCCCCAACCGGCAATAAGATACTCATGCATGAACAGCCCTTGCTCCACACTACCATCGGCTCTTGTGTACGACTTCTTCGGAGGATAGACCTCGAAGGAGACAGCGTCGCCTGCCACGGCGGCGAATCCTTCGTCCCAGATCCACCTTAACATCTCCTCCGTTCCCTCGACTCCCGCGTGTTGCGGGTTCGAACTCCTCGCGTAGTCCATCTTATCGGCAGCGCTCATACGCGTATCCCACTCCTTAGTCAAACCGATCCGCACGAATAGGATATCGCCTCGTCTAAATTTCAGGCCTTGTTCCTGCGCGATCTCCTTCAACACTGCGAGAGATATGGAATGATCCGACAACGCACTGTACGCAATACCTTTCCTCTCCGCATAGGCTGCGTAGTCTAGGAGAACTCCCCTCCCGCATATGCCCTCGCGTGCCCAATACTGCATGCCAATCCTATCGCTTGACCGATCAACGATCTCCGATGCCTTCGTGCCGCCGTAGAAGAGCCTCCGCGAGGGTTCTTCTGCCGTTGGGAACGGAGCCGAGAAATGCCGCAGACCATCCCATTGTGACGACTGTTGAGGGTTGAAGATATACACGTCGTCGAAGCCGGCACCACCGAGGAGAGAAGTGATATGGTGTTGGGTGGGTGCGCGGTTGAAGTTGGCTATGTCTAGCTTGGTCAGGTCCCAGTTGAGAGAGACTCGTTGACCCGTGACGATGCAGGATTTAGCGGCAGAGGAGACCACGTCGGGGGTTAGGAGGACGAGTCGGCCCAAGCCTTCCTCGGGAGACCCGGGCTTGCTGGGCCACACACGGCGTTTGTCGGGAAGGGCGTCGAAGGGTAGATTGTGAGGTGACTCGTTGTCACTGGCTGCGAGGATTCCTTGGATAGATCCCATTTTTCTGGGTTTGTTTGAGGAACTGGCTCTGTTGTGTTTGATGGCAAAGAGAGGTACTTCAAGAGTGAGTGTCGCGGATATCAAAGAGAGAGAGGGAGGCTCGACGAAGAGAAGAGCATGCAGAAGCGACAGAGCCAGAGCACCAGAACAACCCTTAAGGTCCCCAACCAACGAAAATAGACTAGACTGGAGTAGCTTCCCCATGAACCCTTGGCCCCATGGGGTATTCTCCACACCCACACGGAGTGTGCCACAACTCCTCGAATTAGTAGTGCGAACAAGAATCGGCCGGCATCTAAACTAGCATCGCCAGGTCAGGCGGCTCCTGGTCCAGGGTCGGCTGGAGATTGAAGGTCAAGGACCAGATCCATGGAGCTGGGAAACTTGAGAATGTCACCTCGGCAGATCGTCTGCTCTCGCATCAGCGGACACATTTAGATCAGACCACTTTCATGCGTTGCATCCAGTCCAAATTTGGTTTAATTTTGTCAGAAGCAGTATCTCCTACTCAATGGTGAAGCATCTCTCCCTTGTTGACAATGTAGCGATGATGCCAATAGAACAGAGGTTTCACTGGGTTCGGAGAGACGGTTGAATCAGGCGCTGAGCCTCAATGCCATTGACTCTTCCACTCTTCTAATTACAACGAACTATGCATTCAAAAAAGAAGAAACTCGAGGGCACCATAAGGTCAAAAGTAAGATAGCTAACTAGCTGGTAGAATCAGAAATTACACAGTGAACCCAGGTGAACGATTGACTCCATCATCCCCATAAATCAGTTCTCGATCCCGGACATCATAAACTATTTTGATCAATTCTTATCAGATTGTGCCGTATCCTCAGTCGTCTTAACGACGGCCTTCTCGTCTGCACTCATATGGGCCACGTCTTGGTTCCGAAGGAAATCATCCAGCTCCTTGCGCTGTGCCTCCGACACGTCATTCACGTGGACGGCCACATCATCGCCGAAGCGGGCCGAGATCTCCTCAAGAGAAAGACGCGCCGTCTCGGGGAAGTAGAAGTACACGATGGGGATGAAAACGATGCACCACGCAATGATGACGAGGTAATACTTCCAACCGACTTGATCGATGCCAATAGGCGCGGTCTGCAGCAGGATGATCGTGGCGGCAAACTGACCGAACAGGGAGAAGCCCATGCCGATGGGGCGGATTTCAGTTGGGAAGATTTCCGAGACGTAGATGTACATCGTAGTATCGCAGCCCGTTCTTTAGATGGTTAGCCTCATTCTTTCTTCTTTTTTGCTGCCCTGTGTGTCGCCGTTATCCGGCGTAAGAAGGATAGGATGCAAACTTACCCTTGGAATGCCAAATACAAGAAGACGAAAAACACGCCAGCGGCATTTCCCGCTTTATTCGTCGTGCCCCCATACTGTGCGATGCATCCCACAAGCCCGGCAGTGGTAAACAGACAACCGAAAAGACCGACAAGGAACATCCAGCGTCGAGAGTTGACCTTATCATGGAGCCACGCTCCTAGAGGATTATAGATCACGCCGGCAGTAGTCAGCCACAGCGCTGAGAGAAGAAGAGGCATTGAGCCTGTCTGGCCCAGGTTGGTGTAGAGAATGACCGAATAGTTGTTCTGTGCAGATGGCGGTGGTCAGCTTGCTTCTCTCAAAGTCGTCTACTCATATCGCCGGGGAGCCCAATACGTACAATCACAAGTGGTCCTGCAAACTCGGCACCCCACTGCGTGAGGAACCCGATCAACATCCTCTTGCGGTAGCTCTTCTTCTTCAGGACGGCCGTCCAAGGCGTGCAATTGATGGCCTTGAGCTTGGCGGAATCCAGGGCAATCTGCATCTTGACCTGATAGAGTTCCTCTTTCGCCACGAGATCGTCGGGGTCCTCTGGAGATCTACGGAGATCTCGAAGTACATTCCACGCTTGCTCCGTAAGCCCTTTCTGGAGGAGCCATCTAGGCGACCGAGGGATCCATATGGACGTGATAAGGAGGACCAGTGGAGACAAGACCTGAACGCAGAGCGGGAATCGCCACGCGAAGGAGGCATTCTTGTCCGTGGCGAAGTAGCACGCGTATCCTAGCCATCCCGACAACATGTATCCAAAGACGAGGAAGATGGCATGGTGACCGACCAGCCATCCTCTCTTATCCGGGGGCGACAATTCTGACAGGTACATGGGACATGCTGTGACAAGAATACCGATTCCGAGACCCGAGATTACTCTTCCTACCTGGAACATACTGATTAAAAGTTAGCACGAACCTGCTCTTGTATCTTCTATTTGTATTGGGAGGGGAGAATGAGAATGGAAAAACTAACGCCAAGTTCGCTGCACCACCTTGAAGCGCACCGCCGAGGACAGCACAAGCGGCACCAATCTGAATTGAGACTTTTCGCCCGAGAGCTGTGGCCGCCCACATGATGAAAAGACTCCCCACTGCACCACCAGCGCTGTAGAGTCCATTGGCTGTTGCAATAGCCTGGGCCGTCTTGGAGCCGTATCCTTCTTCGCCCTGCATGGGCAGATTAAAATATTGGTACCATCCCGGCTGGCCGATCGTGCTACCGATGATGGCGGAGCAGTATCCGTACGTCTGTTGAGTTCCTCGTTAGGATGTAATCCTCACAATAGTGGGCTTTGGTTGGGAAGGGCGGAGGAAGAAAACTTACAAAGGAGCCAAAGGCAACTGCTACCGTGACTAGCCTGTTGTACGGAGTCGTCCGCGACCGGCGGTGTTCAGATTTGGTTTTCGAGACCATTTTTTAGATACCTCCAAGGAACAAATCGATTGTCGTTTCAATTTGCTGACTTCCTCTTTTGGATCTCAAGTCTCTGGAAATCCATTGACCGGAACAAGGTAATGCAGGAGAGAGGAGGAGGCTTCGAGATGGTAAATAAACATGGATGATCTCCTTCAACAGCTCCCCAGATCGAGCACGGATTCAGGGACACACCCAAAGCCGAGCTTCCCCATGGGGCCCCATATTTTCCCATCCTGGCCTAGCGGGATTGCCTCCTGGTCTTGCCTCCTGGTCAGACTGCCCGGAGCGTGCCACCGTCTTGACATTTAAGTCTCCCCGCATGCTAGCGTGGTGGTACCGGAGAGGTGCGTGCACGAGAATGCTAGTGAGGTGAGAACGTGAACACTTCATTGGGATCAAGGTCTTAACTCGGGCCAACGTAGCTTGTCTGATGCTCCTCTGAGAACCCAGGGTCACGCGCATCATCCGATTTCAGCCATCGAATTACGAAGTACCTCACTGACACCGCCAAGATTCACTCATTATGTCGAAAACTGGCCTCACAACAATTCCATTCACACTGGCTGACGACAGTCTTGCCCAATTTGATTCTTTCGTCAATGGAAAGCCGGTAACTGCCCAGTCAGGCAAGCGGTTCGATGTGGTTGATCCTGGCTCGGGCCACATTTGGACCTCCTGCCCCGATAGCACTGATGTCGACGTTAATGGTGCTGTCGAGTCTTCCTACGAAGCTTTCAAAATCTATTCAAAATGGACCCCGAGACAGAGGGCTGAATGCCTGTCAAGATGGCATCATCTTATCGTCGCTGCCAGAGATGACCTCGCCAAGATTTTGGTCTACGAAACCGGAAAGCCGCTGGCCGAGGCCTACGGCGAGATCGACTACGCCACAACATTCACATGGTGGTTCATCGGGGAGGCGGAGAGAATCCAAGGATCGACCATCACGTCCGCGGTAGCAGGTCGGCGGGGCTTCACGATCAAGCAGCCCGTCGGCGTCGCCGCCGCCCTGGTTCCATGGAACTTCCCCATCGCGCTTACTTTGCGAAAGGCCAGTGCTGCACTGGCTGCCGGGTGCACCATGATTGTCAAGCCTTCTCCCGAAACTCCAGTCTCTGCCATCTCATTAGCGCATTTGGCCATCCGGGCTGGGTTTCCGCCCGGTGCGCTGAACGTGCTGACGACGAGCTTGGAGAATACGCCGGTCGTGGCGGAATCTCTCTGCCTGCACCCTCTCGTGAAGAAAGTGACCTTTACTGGGAGCACCCGTGTGGGGAAGATCATCTCGGGGCTGTGCGCTCGGAATTTGAAGAAATGCACCTTGGAGCTTGGTGGGAATTGCCCGTTCATTGTGTTTGACGATGCCAACCTCGACCATGCTCTCGGGCAACTTACGGCTCTGAAATGGAGACATGCCGGGCAAGCCTGTGTTTCGGCAAATAGGGTGTATATCCAACGAGGAATATACGACAAGTTTATCGCAGATCTTATTCAAAAAACATCCATCCTGAAGATCGGGCACGGAATCTCGGAAGGCACTACTTTGGGGCCCGTCACTACAGAGAGGGGACTTGACAAGGCAGAGGAGCTTGTCCAAGACGCCCTCACCAAGGGGGCAAAGATGGTCTTGGGAACGGGTCAGAGGTTGAAGAGTTCCGCCGGTTCCGAAAGTCCCATATTGACAGGTTACTTCATGGAACCGACCATTCTTGTCGACGTGACAGACGACATGCTCATGAGCCGGGAGGAAATATTTGCACCGGTTGTAGGAGTGTCTGTATTCGATACCGAGGACGAAATAATAACCAGGGCCAACAATACTAGCATGGGGCTAACTAGCTACGTATTTTCTAAGAACGTCGATAGGCTGTGGAGGATGTTTGAAAAGCTTGAGGCTGGCATGGTAGGACTGGTATGTCGTTCCCAACTCCTGAGTTTTGGGTACAGCAAGGCATCACTAACGCGGCTAAATTAGAACACAGGAAATAACTCTGCCGCAGAGACGCCGTTTGGAGGCATTAAAGAGAGCGGAAGCGGAAAGGAAAGCGGGAAGGATGTCGCTGTTGACGAGTTTCTCATCACCAAATCGGGTACATTGACGGTGGAGGAACAGTCGTGAAGGCGAGAGGAGAGAAACAGTTCTTCTACTTACTAGAAGAGATGGACTCGGATTCGAAGCTTTTGTTTATGACGGAAATCTGCATTGTCGGCGGCATTTTGTCGACTCTGGTGGTCAAAAGTGTGCATAGCTACCCCGGAGAGTGGTAGGGAAATAATGGCATTCATATTCTTTGGTACTATTTTAAAGGAAAGCAGCTATCGCACTATTACTGCGGCTCCCCAGGCTGCCTCCGCTCATTTCTGCCTTTCATGGCCGAATAGAGGAAATTACTCAGGCCTATGCTCACCGGGCATATTATCCCAGAAATAGCATGATGTCCCAATGCCGTCTTCTTCACACGTCGGTGCCATGCTCCACCAGCAATCGCGCGCCCTCAAGCAGGACCGAATTCACGGCCAGGTTTTCCGGAGTTTCTAAGCCGATTCCTCTCCGATATGGAAACCGATTGGGATAGTCTGATATCGAAGACACTACACCCCAGAGTGGCAATCAAGGATGAAGCGAAGGTCCTAAAACACAGTCAACTGAAACTGTCCGTATACGCAAGGATATCGAGTAGCGAGGGGGATTGGAGTATCGGATGGACTGTAAGAGATAAGGATAGGCACTAACAGCAAGCTTCTGGGATTCGCCTTCCTCTGGTCCGCTGTCCAGCGTGAATTTTGCCAGAGCACTCTTCTTTTCTTGCAACGCGAGGATGTTCTGTGAGGAAGATTAGGACCCGATTGACGTAGCGAAAACTAGATGGGCTGTTTCGCACCTCCTCAACTGTCTTCATGGCAATGTATCTGATAACTGTGACTTTGCGTGTTTGGCCCATCCTGACGGCTCTTGCGATAGCTTGTTTCTCGACTGCTGGGTTCCACTGCGGCTCAATTAGATGTACATAGTTCGCGGCGGTCAAAGTAAGACTTAATAGTTCGTTAGCCCTATCCGGTCCTTCACACATTGTTCATTTTCTTGTCATTCACCCACCCGACAGCGCCGGTTCCTATCGACATCAATAGGACTGATATGTTGGGACTGTTCGAAAAGAGGTCAAGGGTTTTTAAACGCTCGTTGTACGACACTCTCCCGTCGATCCGCAGAAAGCCGGTTTTTCGCTCCCGCAGGATACCTTCCAGTATATCGAGAGTGGATGTCCAATAAGAGAAGACGAGACTGATAGCCTGTTAGCATTATCGAGCCACTTTGCCACAGATGACCTCCCATACCTCTTAGAGCCAACTGGTAGGCCTTCCAATCTTGTTACCACAGTCGAAAGTTTGGTCGAAACACCTCCAAGTGCGGGGTGGGGACCTCCGGGCGTGGACCAGCCGGCATCGACCGTGGCTGCCGATGCCATGGCGGATGCGTCACGAACCCTCCGCGACTTGGCTGATCGCGGTGCGCGGAGCACACTTCTGCCACATTCAGCGCAAATTTCATTCTGGCGCAGCAGTGCCAAGTCATCTTCATCATTGATCGCGCAAACACTGCAATCTATTCCATCAGTGGCCTCAGATGGTGTTGGCTGCGCCAAAAGCGGCGACGACAAAGTCCCATGATTACAAAACCTTCGCAGCTTCATGATGGCAGTGAACAAGATGCGGTATTTCTTATTCTTGTCCCGGGTACTGACGACGTCGTCGATATCCCGCGCGCATCTCGCCATGATCTTGTCATACTCTCGTCTTTCTCCCTCCTCAAGTTCGATACTAGCCTTTTCGTAGAGGGGTTCTGGTAAGCCGAGGTGTTTCTCGTTCCGGCGCAAGCAGGATGTGTGGAGCAGGAGTCTGAGATTTCTAGCCCTGTCAGATGTCTCTGTACTAAGCGGTTTGATAATGTACTCTTTAAAGACTGAAGTACGTGAGAAGGGTTCAAAGCGAAGAAATTTGAGCAGGGACAGCATATCCTCCAGCCGGTTTTGAATAGGGGTGCCGGTAAGACACCATCTCCTCCCAGTGCGCAGGCTTGCGGCAGCGCGGAACTGCGTTGAACCTTGGTTCCGGATCCAGTGGGCTATCCGGAATTGGTTAGTTCATATAATGGCGACTGGAGTTGGTAGAGTATCGTCAAAACTTACCCTCATCCAGGACGACTCGGTGCCATTCGATCTCCTGCAGGACCCGCCGGGCCTTGTAGTCTGCTGCCAAAGTTGCGTACGTTGTCAGGACCATATCGTGCTTGACTACCCCTTCCGGTGATTGTGGCCGATCCGGGCCGTGGAATACGCAGGTCTTCAAGATGCCAGGCTCGGTGTGACTGCGAAAATCTGTAAGCAGCCGGTTGGTCGTGGGGTAGGACAGGAGACTCTTACATCGATATCTCCCTCTCCCAAATATCTAGAACCTCTGCAAAGTGTCAGCATCATTGCAGCATCGTTAGAATAAAGTGGGGATGAGCTACGCATTGATGTCACAACCACTAGCGTCGCTCTACTCTGGCATCCCGATGAGGGATGGACGGAATCCTGATCCTTCGCTGTCGCATGCTCTGTCGCTCGGGCAAGGGAGGCAACGACCGCGGAGATCATCGTCAGAGTCTTTCCTAATCCCATCACGTCGGCTATAATACCGCCCATGAAATATGTCGGGATATCGGTACTACCTCACCCAGTTATCGTCAAATTTCATGGAACACAGCACCTCGTTTGCGGGCCATTGCCACTTACGGGGCTCCAATAATGCGGCGAAGGTTTCTGCTGGCGTTTTGACAAGCATCGTGATTTTCTCTCCGGCGTATGAAGGAAAGGGCTGCCCTCTGGTAACTACGACAAAGTTAGCTTGCTAAAACATTTGGCGAAGCAGAAACTGCTAGGTACATACCTCTTCAACGTAGTGTTTAGGCCGTCCGGCTGTGGATCTAGAGGAGTGTCGGGATCTTCGAGGGAATCAAGGACACGCTCGACCTCATTTGATATCCGTTTTGCAATGGTCTCCGTCTCGGTTGATCCGACAAGGTGTGTCATGCACTTCATCTCTCTGCCAATGTGAAAATACTGGGGATTGAAATACTCGTACCCAGGTTCCAGAAAGAACGGGTGCTGAAGGAATACAGCCATGTCGGAGAAGTTATCCCCCACTTCGTCGGCATCGCCTTGTCTGCCATAGATATTGATGGATAGGGGAAAAATACTTCTCGGCCTATCCTTGACGCCCGGCTGCTTCAGCTTTGTCCTTTCCACAACGGCGGTTGCTCTGAAGCCCTGGCGGCTATGGAGATACAGGAGCGCCCTACACGTGTTAGTGTCGATCATCGCAAAGGGTGTGTCTTTTCCCGATGACAGGCCAAAAGAGTTATTGTGAGGGACGATGCGAAACTGCGTGTAGCGTGTGCCGTCTTGTGGTAGTCCTAACGATTTGCTCGATTTTAAGCTGTTAAATGACGCATAGACATCGCAAAGCTGATCATTTGTTAACCGTGAATAGGGATAACTACACTAGTTAGGCGCTGAGCACTTACTGCACCGTAGCATATCTGCGCCGTGTGGCTTACACGTTTGGCAAGGACCGGATCTATGTCCATTGGAAAGGGGTCTGCGAAAGGGAGGCTCTGGAAGTTGCCATGGCCCATATCCACATCTTGTAAGCCGGTCCCAGTGCTAGTAGTGCCCGGCCAACTTATGCCATCCCCCAACAGCCCGAACTCGGGGTCGGTTGAGGCAGGAGACGGATTTGGAATATGCACTGCCTCCGGGCTGACGTGAATCCGTTTGCGTGGGCATAGAGGTGGATTGAACGCCAGTGGACGTTTTGACGGCTGGATATCCATGATCGGGAAGTAGTTAGACGAAGCCCATTTGCGGATAGACAGCAGTCTAATAAGAAGTCAGCTATGAACTGGGATCCGAGGCCCCTATGTGTAGGGGCGACGAACAATTCCAGTAAATATTGAAGCTTCACAACGACCGATATGCCAATACTTAAATATTTGGCAAGCCACTTTTGCGTGACCGTGAAGTGAATCTGGTCCAATCATTAAAACAGGGCTGGCAGCAGATGCAGGCTTTGCTGCCGAACTTGGTGGCTGTGCTCAAAACTTTTTGCATGGCTTTCCGTGGCAGGCAAGTTGGCGTGATCAGACCGCTTTTCTGTTGCCGACACGACTTCTATGGTCCGAGGAGCTTTCCTCCCACATTGACTAACTGCATTGTTCATTCATTAGTCCGTATTGTCTTTGCTTATTTCTGGTGACATGGATTCCAGCTTCGAAAATGCCCTCATCAAGTTTCGAGCGAGTCTCACGGAAAGGCAAGCACGCGATTTTGCGACCTGCACACGTGAGGATGTCGCGAAAGCCATTGAGGATATTCAAGTACGCCTCGGCTCCGAAAGACGTCTCAGGAATATGAGAAAAATAGCCAAATTCATCGAAGCAATGTCTGAACTAGGGAAGGTGGTGGAGGTCTTTCTGAATGTTGCGAATGCAGTAGCCTTCGTCTGGGTTAGTGCGGTCCTTGAGTAGCCAGCCTGCCAGTATCGGGTAATACGTGTGCTAACCGAAGATAGGGACCGATCAAGTTCGTTCTGGTCGTAAGTTCGGCTTACAAGAACCCGATCTGAAGATCCGAACACTTATAAATTTACGCCTCTTCCAAAATAGGCCGCCAGTACTTGGGTTGAAACCTTGGACCTCTTGCTCGATACCTATTCAGAAATAGGCGAGATTCTGCCAGGGCTAACACGATTTCGAAATGCTCTCGTAAAGAACGAACGCCTGAAGGTTCACCTTGAGAATTACTACTGTGACGTCCTTGATTTCCATAGGAATGCCCTTGATGTGTTCTCACGCCCAGGTAAAGACAGACCACGCTTCCATCCATGTCAATATAACTCTGACTGTGTTAAAGCATGGAAGACGCTGTTTCATTCTTCCTGGAGAACCTTCCAGACAAAATTCGGGCCAATACTCAGCGGACTTAAGCGTCATCGACAACTCATTTCAGATGAGAAATTGAGCGTCGTCATCTCAGAAGTCGGGGAGTTCCGTGAATCTATCGAGGGAAAACTTGAAGCTCTGTCCGTCCAGATGAAGAGGCTTCAGTTACACGAAAAGGAACAAGAGACACTCGAGCTGCAAGAGCAACGTCGCCACCGCTTAGAGTTCATCCTCAGCAAATTTAACGTAGCCGACTACCAGTCGGATCTCAAGCGTAGCCGAGATGAGCGGCTTTATCGGAGCTCTTCCGGTGCCTGGATCTTTGGCCATCGTACCTTCAAAGAATGGGCTGATTTAAAATCTCCACGGCATAGTGTGCTGTTTATGAGCGGCATTCCTGGAGCAGGTCTGTCATATATTGCTTCATTTGTGGTACTTTATTGACTATCGGTTTGCTGATGTTCGTCGAACTCTCTAGGCAAAACTGTTCTGGTCTCCCGAGTTGTGCAGCACCTGAGGCAACTCCGGTCCGACAACTCTACTCAAGGCCCCGATTTCTCCGTTATAAATTTCTATTTCAGATGTATGAAGCCAGATAATCAGACCCTAGACGGGCTTTTATTGTCACTCTTAGCACAACTCGTCCATCAGGACAGCGTTGTTCTAGAGCAAACCTACCAGCGATGTCTAGCCCTCAACCAGCAACAAATTCATTCTTCGGATACGATCCGCGATCTAGCCTCCGTTGCTCTCAATTCTCAGAAGATGTGCTTCGTGATTATCGATGGCTTGGACGAATGCCGCAGCGACTCATCCCGCAGCCCATCCGAGGAACAGGAGGAACAGGAGGATGTCATTAACTGGTTCCGCGATGTAATGGCAGGCCAGGATCCCGAGGGCTCACAAACGTGCATACGGCTCTTTGTTTCTGGACGGCGAAACGGCGTTTTGGAGGAACACCTCAGTTCATCTCCGTTTATTCAGCTAGAGGCGGCGGCAGAACATTCCCAGGACATAGAGACCTATGCAGAACGCCGATCTGTCGAAATATGTAAAAAATTCCGAAAGAGCGATGAGGTAAAGCGGGACCTCATAAACAGAGTGACATCGGCTGCCCAAGGTTAGACACTTGTTACCACTTCAATAGTCATGGATGATCTTTTAACATCAGATCCAGGCATGTTTCTCTACGCAAAGATCGTCCTTGGCAACCTGTTCGCTCAGATTTCGGCCTCTAAATTCGAACGAGAGCTAAAGGCAGAACACTTCCCAAAAGGCCTCGACGAAGCGTAAGTCCGCAAGTTGCCCCAACTTCCCCTGTACGTGCTCTTTCTGTTGACTATCATTTCAGATACAAGCGTGTTGCTGTTCGAGTTTTCGAGAACCCTGAGGAGCAAGAGAGAATAGCAGCCGAGTCTATTCTTAGCTTGGTTATCTGCGCCCAACGTCCTCTTATGTGGAGGGAGATTCAAAGCATATTTTGCATCAACATTGACGCCGAGATAGCCGATGCCGACGAGCAATTATCCGTTTCATGCAAGCATCTGTGTGACTGCTTAGTGGACATTGGGAGGAGCCGTGTCTCTGAATTGGGGCCTGATGACACGGTAGAGCTCGTACATCATACCGCAAAACAGTGAGTGATCCAGTAACTCTCCTGACATACGAAGTAATCGAAATTAAAGGACTCGCAGATACCTCGTCGAGAGTGGAAGGTTGTGCGTAGCCAGGGAAAATGCCAGGATGGCACTATTCTGCTCGCGTTACCTTTCATCTTCGCCTTTCGCCCTCGGCCTCTCCACTAGTGAGATTACGAAGCACGCGATGACGGGATATTACGGATTCCAAGACTATGCAGCGGCGTTCTGGTGGAAACATGCCCGTCTCGTAATAGACAAAGCAGCAGAGATCGGCAAAGACCTTTACCACCTGACCTTGCAGGCGGTAGCAGAAGCCATGACGGAATACGGCGACTGCAAGGATAGACTGTCACCAGACCGAAATAGGTGCCTCACTGATGCTGTGCAAGCTATTCTTATGGGCTCAGCCACAGATGCCCGTGAATGGGAGAGTAACTTCAAGATCGAACTTCGGACGCGAGAGATTAGAAACGGAATCGAGACCCTATTGGGAGAGAGAGGCTCTGCGGAGACAAGCGATTCTGTCCTAATGTTGTACGGCGCAATGCGCTACAAATGTCCCAAACCCTGGTGTCATGCTTTTTCCAACGGATTTGAGAGCCGTGAAGACCGGCATCGACATCTTCTCGAGCATGATCGGCCGTTTCGATGTTCTGTGGAAGGCTGCTATGGGAATGAAATCGGATTCTTCTCACGGGCTGACCTGGATGAACATTCTGAAAGATTCCATCTGAATCATTCAGCTGTGCAGTTTTCCTCACCTCGCCTCTTCAAGCCTTCATCGAAAGCCATGCTGGTTGCTGCCACGAAGGGTGACTTGGCTCAATTGAGCGCATGTGTCTCCGCCGGAATCCCTATCGACGAATCAAGGACAGGGCGTGAAGGGAATACTACACTCTATCTCGCCGTGGAAAATGGACATATACATGCCTGCCAATATCTTTTGGAGCAAGGTGCGAATATCAATTCTCTAGTCAACGACCACGGAAGAACAGCTTTGCACGCCGCAGCCCTAGAGGATAACGCGGAACTCACTCACTTCCTCCTTTCGCGACCTCAAATAGACTCAAAACTCAAAGATTACGACGGCTACACGGCAGCTGGACGTGCCGCACAGCTGCACCGGAACAAGTCCCTGTATGTATTTATCTGCAGGGGCCTCGCCTCTAGACTGGGTCAAGGTCGAAGTCAAAACCACACGTGTCTAGACATAGCATTAGAGTACGGCAACCTGAAAGGTGCCGAGCTTTTTAGTAACGCATCGTTGGATCTTAACAAGGAGAGCGGACTTGATTTTCTTCTCCACAGAGCCTCCAGATCTGGGTTCGCTGCGGGGGTAAAATCGATTTTATGCAGCGGGAGAGTCGACATCGACGCTGTGGATGGCTCCGGTCGACAGGCTTTACATCACGCATGCGAAAGAGGGCATAATTCCGTCGTCGAGTTACTGCTTCCCCACATTAATGATCTCGGCATCGAAGACGAAAGTGGGAGAACGGCAATGCAATACGCCATGGAGGGAGGTCACGCCGCCGTCATTAATAATTTGTTGCTCCGGAAACATTTTGGCCCTCACTCCCCGACCAAAGCAGTGGGGACATGCCTGCCTTGGGCGACTTTCGGGATGGACAGTCATCTCGTGAGGGAATTATTCGAGAAGGGTGTTGACCCGAGCTCGACGGATGGTCATAACAAACCTCTATTGATGTGGGCTATTGAAACCAACCAGATAAAGTTAGTAGATCTACTGCTTGATAAGGGCGTTCACCTGAACTTGGACGACTATGGCCCGGCGGTGTTATGGTGGGCAACTCTGAACGAAAGACTGGAGGTGGTGAAACTTTTGCTTGAGAAAGGCGTTGACCCCAACTTGAGGGATCACGGTAATCGACCTATATTCAAATGGGCCATCGAGGGTGGACGCTTGAAGAAGGTCGAATTTTGACGACCAGGGTCAGACTGTATTAGGATCAGAGACTATGAATGGAAATGTGGAGGTGAAACTGTTGTTTTAGAAAGGTAGTAGCCCGAACTTGACGGATCATCATGGCAGAACTCTACTTTTACAGGCTGGGGAGGCTGGATACGGGCCTCATTATTAATTCTACTGCCCGAAGAAACTCGAGGGTGGTAAGACAGCTGCTTCAGCAGGGTGCGTCACCGCCGTGGGTGCATCAGGCGCATCAGGCGCATCAGGAGATGATACTAGGGTTACTAGTTATGCTGGGGGCAGTACGTAAACTGTGATGGGGGAACTTAGTTGAAGCTAAGGTGGCAATGTCGGTCCCTGCCTTTGTACAGGAGGCCAATTCCAAATGACGAGTGCTAGTTTTGATAATCTCGTCCATTATTATCGGAGAATACATTGTAAAATATCCATCTCTGCAATTGCCGTTCCTTTCAAATAAACTGGCCGAAATCTAACTTCACCATCTCGCCATTCTCTATACCCAAAGCTTTGGTCTTCGCGTCGATCCGGAGAGAATGATTCTGGGCTAAAACGAGCCATTCCTCGGAGCCATAATGGATGGCAAACTGGGGGTCCGGGAAGTCTGTAAAATTCGTCCCGTCAGGCTCGAATTGCCATGTCTGGTCGGCGGCGAAACCCGACTTTACGAGAGCGTCCTGCCAGGGGAGGAGAGGCTCGATGTGGTCATTCTTCTTGGCAGCGCCGTATTCTTCTAGGATTATTGGCTTGTTGAACTGGTTTGCTCCGGTATTAGCCAACATGAAGCACCTGAGGGGCAGAGATAGGGAGAAGGCATTCTTATGGAGAGATTCCGTGCATGGAGGACGTACTTGTGCGGCGAGCTTGTCGTGGTCTTCTATCCACTGAACACCCCATTCATATGGATATGCCCAATGATCCGGCCAGACTATTCCACGTCAGAGACCCGGACAGGAACTAAGAAAATAGAAGAGTCGGTATCAACTTACGATGAACAGTCCCGTAATCCAACGTCTCAATACCCATGATACTAACCCAATCAACCCCATTGATGCCATCATACCCATGGCCCCTATCTCCGTACCCCTCTTCTCTTTCCCGCGGCGTCAACCACCCCTCGTCTCCCATACTAACCATATGGTCCGGATCAAGCTCCTTGATGTAAGAACTCACATTCCTTGCCCAGTCGACCAGTCTTCCCATCCCCTCTTCCCCACAGCCTTCGCATCTAGGCTCGTTCCCCAATTGCCACGAAAACACCGCCGGAGAATTCTTATACCTTTCGACTATGACTTTGACATAGTCTCTGTACACTTCCTGTGCCTTCGGAAGGTCGATCCACTGCTCGGTCCATGTCTTAGAGTAGGTTGCGATGTACAGAGGGGCTCCGCCGTAATCGGGCCAATAGTTGAATAAAGGGAGGACGAGCTTCAAGCCGAGATCCTCACAGCGACTGACCAGACGGTCAAAGCGGTCGAGTCCTTCAGGGCCGTAGTTGATATAGCCTCCGGTCTCATTTAGATAATGAAAGAAGACACTCATCGGCGCGGGCTCGGATGCTTTTGGGTTCGGTAGCTCGTTGATTTCACCAAAGGCCCAGACTCGAATGAGCTCGTACCCGCTCTAGTATAAGCCAGAGCATGTAAGCACTCCCACTTTAACGCCTTAGACTCTCCCTCTCTTTTCAGTCTTCCTATTTCCGACAAGCAGTGCTAAGCAAAGAATGAGGGGGAAACGGGGTAAAAGATGGAAAATGCGATTCGGGAATGGAAAGGAACTTGCATCTTTAATCTGCTCCAGTGTAATCTCCAAATCTCCTTCATCAAGCCGATTCAAATACCAGGCATTCGTCCCCGTCAAATACTTGGCCGTTCCGTTGACTTCGAAAATGCGCCCCGCAGGTTTCGCGAACGGTTCGTCGACATGGCCTATCGGGTACTTGGAGGGAATCTGGGGGTCTTTCGATGACCTAAGTTCAGCTCCCACTCCTCTCAAGAGAGAGAAGAGTTGGAGGAAGCCCGATAGTGGAAGCAGCCTCATCGGGTCACCTCACCATTGCTCGTCTCTGTCATGAGAGACATCCCGGACATGAGACTCTCCCATGGTGACATCTGAATATAAATATTATTCCAGAAAAACCGAATACCTCTAAGAACGGCACGTAAATGACCGAACCATGGAGTATGTAATATGAAATTGTGTAGGTGGGGACGGTGCGCCTTCTTCCGGTCACTTTTACCGAGCGGGGATATTGCAAAGTGATTTTACCACTCAAGGTGCCTCCTCTTGTCAGCCATAAGAAAGGCAAGATTGTTAGGGAGTGCAACGTGATTTCTTTCAAACTTTCTTGTTGCAAAAAATTGGGGGACCGGCAAGAGTTCTTCGATTCTATGGCGAGCCACATGTAGGAGAACGACCAGTGCTCAAAGTTTGAAAAGGAAAAAACGGGCTGGAGCAGTGTTTAACGGAAATGGAGTAATATATTAATATATCCGAGTATTCCATGTACATATTGCCTTGACCATTTAAGCTCATCTAATATTGAATGAAATCCACAGTGTTCCAATACTATCTAACCTGTCCTATAAAATAGAAAAGCAAATCTCTTGGTGTCTGTTAGAGGCCAGCTTCCTTGAATGCCCGGCTCACTGCCAGGCCAGTAACGCAGTAAGACATAATCATGTCGTGAACGCCGTACTTGACAAGCTCGAGGCGAATTTCACCCTTCGTGGTGGCCCATACCGTCGTCGATCCGCCCTCCCCAAGACTTGCTTTCTTCTCTTCCAACCGGTCCAGGAAGCCGGCATCAGGTTCTGCCACTAGTCCCCGTCCTCCTTCAGACACGCGAGCGGCTTCTCGGAATAGCCGTATAGAGTGTTCCATGGGGATATCACTATCGTCCTCGGCATGGATCAGCGTGACATAGTATTTCGCTGCATTTTCGATAAACTCGCCTAACCGCCACATATTATCCCAGGTACTGTGCAGCCTCCTCGTGAAGAAATTGAAGAGAGGGGTTAGTTTCGCAATGGGAGAAAGGGCTGGGATAACACCTCCGAGTCGATACGTGGTCGTCAGCTGGGCCACATCGGTGAAGGATGCCGTAATGACGAGCCCGGCAAAATTGACAGGAGTTTCTCGCTTGGAAAGTTCGTGAGCTAGCGCGACGGCGACGGCTGATCCGAGACTCTGGCCAAAAATCACGATCTGCTCAGGCTGGATGTCGGCTTCATTCACGGCCCAATCCATGACAGCCAGGGCGTCGGCGATCAGACCTGGCTCAGAAGGCCGTCCGCTTGATTCGCCGTAACCTCGATAATCAAAAGTGAGGACGTGTGTATTGATTGGGTCCACGGCATACAGGGCGCGATAGCTGGCTGGCCGAAAGCCGCTGGCCATAGTGCCGCTGGTACCATGGAAGTACAGGATCAAACGCGCATTTCGATTTCCCTTGAGGAGGCTGAAGTTGAGGGTTTCCTCGAAGCGTTCTACCAACCCGGCTTCTGGTCCCTGCGACACTAAGGCGTCCCGTTTCTCTTCGTAAAGCGCTATGGGCAAGACATGCCATGCATGGAGCTTCTCCCCATCCGACGTAGGAATGTAGAAGGGTGTGACTTGGTGATGCGCGAAGCCAAACTGCTCGGGAACATTGAGATCTTTGAACCAAGTCAGGCTCACCTTGTGAAGGTATATTGCATGAGCTTGGAGGGACGGTGCCAGAACTAGTGTCCCCAACGTCGTCGCGTAGAGCAGTAGCGGGAGGCCAAGTGAGATGCAAAGGGCCAGGAGAGTGGCTCGCAAGGCCGAAGGTCCCATGTCGCTTTGCGCTTCAAAGAACGTTGCGGACAATGTTCAGGCTAGGGGTAAAGGATTTTCGTGCGGTGGTTCAACGGACCCAGCCTCTCACTGCACAGAGGCTTTTAGGATTATAGACTTGGACCATGAAAGGCGGGGAAAAATAGGAAGACATAAAAACGCCAAACCTGCAGTAAACCCTTGTCTCGAGCTGGGTCGTGGGTTACACGTGCCCCGCTCCCGTTCCTCCATTCCTGAAACGGCATGCCATGTCTGGAGTCCCTTCAGAGCCAGATGCAGGGTCCTTCACAATCGTACACCACCTTTCAATCGCGTCACTCGAGACGGTGACTGTAGCCGTCGCCTTCAATTCTCTGGTCACATCCGCTCTCCGGTGGATAAAACCGAAGATTTTCGCGTCTGCGTCATTTGTTGGCCCTCCAGCCGTGACCACTCGACACAGGAAAGTCATTGAGCAGCTTGCAATGGAAGAGACTAAGCGTACTTCGTAGGGGAGACTATTGTCCAGCACATCCTCCGATTGCAGCGATAAAAATGTCTGCCATCGATTTCGAAGACAAGACCGGCTCATCTGACGCCGTCGGAGGAAATTACCAACAAACGGACAAGGTATCAATTTTTAGTTTCTCGTTTCGTTTTCTTCTAATGTATATTCCTCCAGGATCCGACGATAACGCCACTCAGTCTAATCCGAGAATAGTGACGGGCACACTCATTGTTCCAAATCCGCCTTTTTACAGCCCATGGCGTCTAATCCATGCCCTTTTTCTCCTGGCGATACTCCCGTAATACCTTAGCGCAGTAGGCGGAACCAAGCCCGAAAACGACATTCCCGACAAAATCCAGAAAAAGCCACTTGGTAAAGACTCCGCGACCCGGTCCCACCCCATACCACACGTTGAAAGCCACGTACGGGATCATGGCAAGCCCGAAGCAGGTGAAGCTCCTCTCATTCATTGGCGCCGTGCCCAACAGTAGGCCAGCTGTCATGGCTTGCGCACCAAAGCAGCGTGTCAAGAGATCCGTGGTTGCATTATGGACGGCGTAAGCGGGCGTTAAACTGAGAGAGAGCACGGACGAAGGGTGAAGAAGGCACCTTTTGGTGAGAATTCTTAGCATCCATGGCATATGTAGAAGATGCGCATACTAACCACGCTCCCATGGCTGAGTACCCGATAGCCATGGTGGCTTGTAGCCGTTGGACAAAGTGGAGTCTCTGTGGTGTCGTCATTGTGGTTGAGCTGTCAAGATTGACACGGATGATGGAGGCAGTATAATGAGACGCGCATTACGCGATCACATCGAGAAGAAATGGCAGGCGCTAGAGCCCGGAGAGCCCCGAATGGAACTGTGGCTTGAAATAAGTATCTCCATTTGACGTGTGGCGTCTTTGTTTGCATTGGGCCCTGGGGAAATTACAGGGATTTTCTATCAGGGAAGCGGGTTGGTGAGATTATTACACGAACAATTACTGCCGGGGGAGGGATAGTCGGACGAGAGTTATGCCTCGAGCGATCAACTGGATAGTATCTTGGTCTTGTTCGTACGAATCTAATCTAGGTCCAGAAGCATCTTACCATTTCAGGCTTCCTGTTTCGGCAGCCCTTATCGAATCCAGAGAAGTAGATTACGAAGTAAGCCGGAGGGTTTTGCTTCCAAGCGAAAGTCACCCAATGATGGATAATAAGGGGGTAGAGCCAATTGGAGAAACTGCACATGTCACCATTTTCGACGAGCCATGGTTCCCATCTTCTCAGGGTCGTAGTCGACCCACCACCGGGGGTAACACGAAGAGGTTATTTGCTCATTCCTCGGTGGCTCTCGGCGCTGTGAGCCGATTTCCGTCGTGCTGGGGTCTTGCGGAAGGATCTGCAGCCCATTTATTTGAGAAATTCCCCGATCCTGAGTCTGGTCCAACCAACTATACCGACGGCTCTTCCCTGCATTTTCCGCCTCTCGGAGAGTACTGCGAGCAAACCACTGGCAACGATGTCTCAAGTTCAGCCCCAGACCTACGCGGTCGCCGCTCCGCCGCCACCACAACAACAACAGCCTGCAGCTCCAAGCAAGTCGTCTAGCGGGGTCGCTGCCTTCCTCGACTTCCTCGTCAAAATCCTCGCGGTCGCGGCCCTTTGGGCCATCTTCGGTATCCTTCTCGCGATCCTAAAGGAGCTGCAGCATATGAGCGGCAACGACTTTTTCTGGAATGTTCAGTGGTCGGACTCGCGCAATGTCCGCGTGAGGGTGATATCGGACTCGCTTAATCCGATTGTAGTGAGAAGTACGAATTGAGCGTCCGGGACAGTCTTTATTTTCCGGAGGAGGAGAATGGGCTGTCGAGAATCGATGCTCTTGGCTTTTGGGTTGGGGTTTAGAGGGATGGACATGAATGTTGGCTTTAATCCTCCTGCGACATTTGTAATAGTGGCTAATTGTCCTAAGGCAGTCACGGAGCGAGTTTTGGAAAATTCCATAATACTTCTTGGGCATTGATTGCGGTTTCGACTAATAAAGAAAGCAATATTCCCCTGATTCTGTTTCATAGCACGCATTTGCGGTTTTAAATACAAACGATACCCAACTGTCTCCTTTGCATATCCCTGCATATCCGCCCTGTTACCTCCTAGCCATTATCCGAGAACCTTGAACCTAGGTCCAGTCACACCAATGTCCCAGCGAACTTCGACACGATACCCAACACCAACGTACTCGACGCCGATGTGCTGTCCAGTGGGGCAAGGAACGGTAGGCCACCCCTGATAGGCCTGGACCCAGGTAGCATTCCCGGGCTTGGGCACCACGACGCGACCGACGTGATTATCACGGCTCAGGATCGATGCGAAGCCCGAGACTTGCTGGAGGTTCGCAGGCGGATCGGAGTAAGTGAAAACGTCGAGGGTCTGGGTTCCGGTGGAGACGTCGCGGTCCCAGAGCTCGAAGATGAGTTCGCAAGTCTTGCCTTGGGTGCTCGCGTCAAAGTCGAACGTCACGATTGTCGAGGTCTCGTCGGCGGCGTTGCCATTCTTGACGATGAGGAGCTGGTCTTGAGGGTCTTGGACGATGGTGCCAGTTTGGATCCAGCGGCGGTAGGTTCCCGCAGGGTAGATGATGTCGTTGATTATCTGGCGCTCATTGACGGCGGGTGCGGCGAGCACGAGAGCCGCAGTGCAGGCAAGGAAAGCGAGGAGCTTCATTTTTTTTTTCTTGTCTTTTGCTGTTATTGTTTGGCGATAATTCTTGGAGAGGAGAGGCAGGACTTGGATGGCTCGAGTTTTGCTTGAACAAGGACAACGTCGGGATCGGGGTGATGTTTGCGTTGGGACGGAGAAAAAAGGACCAAGTGAAGGTTAGCTCCTCATCTTTTTATACATCAGAGGAGCATCTCTATGCCTCCATCTACGTCATAAGCCGATCGTTGAACACGAAGAGAGACCAAAGACATCATCGTATACACGACTCACGCCGGCAGGTCATTACACCGAGTTCTTATTCATGTCTGTCCCAGGATGGAGACAGCCAATGTTCCTAACCCGGCTATTGGTCAAGACTCTATGCCGATCCTCGTATGCTTACAGCGGGCGGAGCAGTGTGTTTGCGTCAAAGCATACGTCTTCCCGTGACCGAAAATTCCTAGACAAACGTGGGAATCAACTGTTGATGATCGAAAAGCTGTCAGCCCTACCTACCAGGAGCATCCAGCTGTCCAAGTTCTTTTGACCAAGCTTACGTGGCGAGATGGGATCATCTCGACCAGGAAGAGTCGAAGGGAGAGGGACCAAGTTTCCAGCTTAGGTGATATTCATGAATGCCTGGTTTGATATTCACCCGTTTGCTTTTCTGAGTCTGTTTGCTCACAGCGATTGGTCGCCCTGGCCCATGCCCAACCATGGAAATTGTCAATGGTGTTTGGCTGGAATGCGACCAGCACGATGGTTTGTTGCTATTTTTGGAGACAACAGATTCCTGCATCTCGTAATATGTCCGAGGAGATGTAGGCCAAGAAAACTGTCATGCGCCAACGTCGTTCTTCAAGGGAATACGACCTGTCCTGCCTGAAGCCAGCCATCTTGGCGATCTGATCCCCCAAAGGATGGGTAGTGATCGACCCCACCCATGATTCTCGCCAACCTGCTATTTCCCAAGGTAGTGTAATATCACACATAGACGCCTAATTGCTACCAACTGACGGCAGTGGGAGGGAACAAACATTGATGCTCAATAGTTGGTGTGCTAATCCATCGAATGTTTTTCTGACCGAGAGAGGTTTCAAACCCGCCCAATTGTATCTCTTCCTACGGTAGAATTTCTTTGAAATTATACGTTGCCTTACCTCGAAAATATTGAGAGAGGATGTTACGGAATTTTCGCGTCCAAATGCCCTGTCGATTAAGAATCTCCTCGACGAGACTATCGAGATCAGGATGCATATTTCTGGTAGAAGTCGCGACTCGCGACTGGTGACTGGTTGAGGATTCTTTTCGCGGTCTACATCACGTGCCACGAGGCCGGGGAACCATCAATTTAGTGTATGATGAGGTTTGAGGACGACCTCCACCCCCACGACGCTCCACGCGACGATACCCCGCCCGAAGCTTCCAAACACCGAAAATCAAACGCCGGGAGTTTACCTCCCCCTGTTGGCGGCCCGGCCGGCTGCATGGGAGCTGCTGCCTGGAATCTGCTGCCGAACCTCGAACCAAGTCAGCATCGTTCGTTCGTTTCTTCCCAGAAAATTCCTTTCCTGCTCAACAACACTAGTTCCCACCGCCCCCTAGCACGATGGCAGAAGTAATCGGCGTCACCTCGGGCCTGATCACTTTAGTGGGATTCTCCTTCAAAGCCAGCGAGTCGCTGCTCGAAGCGATACGAAGCTTCCGCACCCAGCAAGATGCTGTTCGCCAGCTCGGAGAGGAGCTCGAGGCCTTTCGCGGGGTCCTGGCATCGTTGCGGGACGCCCTGAGCGACTCGAAGATCGATCTACCTGCGCTCGAGCTGCCGATTCTTCGATGCGGGAAGGCGTGTCAGGAATTCGAGGAGCTTGTTACGAAATGCGTGGCGGCGAGTAAAGGGTCACGGATGGGCATCAGAAGCTGGATGAAGCTGCGATATCTCGGCGGAGATATCGACAATTTCAGGCGGATGCTAGCTGGGTACAAAGCTACCATCTCTATTGCCCTTGGAGAAGCTACCCTGTAAGTTTTGAAACTTGGCCCACTCAAGTCGCATAGCACGGTAGATATAGATAGTTAGCTTTGAAAAGACGCTAAAAGGAGCAATGGTGCAGACGCAGCGCGACGACCGTTTCAAGACACGTTGTCACCGAGTACAAGGACCTGATAGAGGCCACGACCGAAAACTTGGAGGTCCACCTCGAGGACATCGATGACCGACTGCAAATGCTTTCGGCGAACCCCACGGCAACCTCCGAAGACGATGTCGAACTGCAGCAGGCGCAAGAGGAACGCGAAAGCACCAAACGCTGCCTCGAAATCTGCGTAACCGTTTTCGCGCAGCTCGAAAAGATTCAGCTTCAGATCCCGCGCGGTAGCGACTCTAGCAGCGGCTCCTCCTCCCACGGTGGTGGTGGTGTGAGCGCCAGGGCCGGAGAAATCACATTGACCGCCCTGGAAAGGTGCAGAAATACAATGGTCGAGGCAAAAGTCCAACTGGAGAACCACTTCAACTTCCTCAGCAACCAGCTGCAAAGTCTGGCATCGCAGGAGCGAGATAAATCCGAGGAGATCGAGTTCCAGAGAGCTCAGGACGAGATGGCGAGCATAAAGCAATGCTTGACGATATGTGCTCGGGCAGCCGAAGAGGCGGCTAAGCACCGCGTCAATACCGTCGAGGACGTATCTGCAGCGGAGGATAGCCACCAAGTCGTCGTTGCGACCTTGGGAGATTTGATTTCCATGAGAAAGGTCAAGGCGGGAGTCCGGGCGGAACAGTGGCTGGGGCAGATGTCAGATAAGTCACTTCAGCGACTCTCTGCCGACCGGCCTTCATCGGCGGCGAGTAGCGCGAGGATGACAGACGAGCCCCATGAGAGCTCCGCCACGGATATCAAGTTCGTTGGCCGCTACGGAACCGGACGGCCCCTGGCGACACCCAAGCGGCCCGACGCGTAGTGGAGAAGGAATATTGTATTATACTTTGCATGTTCTACGAAAGGTACGCGGTTTTATCACGAAACAAAACGATAGAGAATTATAACGAATAAATGTATGTATACCAAGGTACTACGCAACTGTCTTTTACTGGTTTGAGTCAGAGACCCTCAACGAAGAAGGGATCAAACCAACACACACACACATACAAATATAAACACAAGTGAAAATAGCCAATAGTCAATCCATATTCTAATGAAGGGGTGAAGCTCAATTGACTCTCGCAATCCTACCTTCTAATAACTTAAAACTTAAAGCTTAAAACTTGTACCAACGCAATCTTCGAAGGAAACGATGGTAGGAGAAAGCTACGACTGTTTTCCTTTTTAAACTGTTGGAGAGGAGGAGCCAGGTAAGGCCATGCCTCCGCCAATGCCAATGTAACGGACTCGCCGAAGGATCCGAAAGGGACCAGGGTAACCCAGGGTACATCAACGAGCAATCAAATTAATTAAAGAAGAAGAAATCTTTAAAATCAACATGAAAAAAGACGGAACGGTTGAGGAGAAAAAGGATTAAAACGCCGTAGGGCAGAAACAGGGCCTGGGAGAGTGCATAGACAACGCCTGGCTGGAAATTCAATCTTCACTACACTTGATGGAGTGGAGTTGATATGCTTCGGTTTCGGTCAGCATGTTGACCGCCCAGTCTCTAAATTCCGTTCATTTAGGATGGGTGCAGGGTGCAAGGACATGCTGCGTGCTTCTCAAATCGTACCATTGTAGGGATGGTGCCTTGTTTGAGCGCAGGGACTGCATTGAAACGGGCTTTTGTGTTTATCGCTTATTATGTCGCAGAAACCTTACAGCGCACGCTCCAAATGTCTCTAATCGGCTTTACTTTAAACATTTATTCTTATTTTGTTTTATTCTATTTTTCCCGTTCCCACGCCCCCAAAGAAGGAAAGATGAAGACGCATTTTGTAAACACACGAGAAGCCAGTGAAGAAGCCCGACTTCTACCTCGGCAGAGTCCAAACGCTAGCGAATCATCGGCTATAGACTCCGCTCCGCAGTAGCCGAGAGAGGGGGCGATGGGGCATCCCGGCTGTGTTTTTTAAAGCAGCGTCGGGCATCATGCATCCCAAATCCCAATATTGATGCGACGATAGGTGGAAATTGCCAAAGGCAGCAATCATGGTTGTGAGGATTTCGTTCTCTGGGGTTCGAATCGTCTTTAGTAGTGCCCTTCTCTTCGGCTTCGGGGCCTTCGTCCGGGGATACCTTCGCCACTCTGAGTTGGCGAAGGCCTTGACCGCCTGTGAAAACCAGCTTCCCGGTGATGGCGCTGCCACCTATCCACAGGATGCGATACCTGGCGGCCGAAATGTAGAGACCCCTTATGGGACTATTCGGGTCTACGAATGGGGACCCGAAGACGGAGAGAAAGTCCTACTCCTCCATGGAGTGTCGGCTCCCGCCTTGACTGTGAGCGGCTTAGCCGATGAACTGGCGCTGAGGGGATTCCGAGTCCTGATGTTTGGTACGTTAGAAACGGACTCGTGTCAATCAAGAATGGATGCATAGATGTTAATTCGCCCAGATCTTTTCGGCCGCGGATACTCCGAAAATCCAGCTGGACATGATCATGACATCCGCCTCTACACAACCCAGATCCTGCTCGCCCTTGCCTCCTCGCCCCTCCCTTGGCTGGGAAGCGAGTCTTTCCATTTAATAGGCTACTCGTTCGGCGGCGGGCTCTCGGCGGCCTTTGCGCGGTTCTTCCCCGCCACCATCAAGTCCTTGACGTTGATCGCGCCTGGCGGTCTTCTCAGACAGACAACCACGGATTGGAAGCAGAGGCTCCTCTATTCGAGAGGGCTTTTCCCACAACGCCTGCTGCAATACATAGTCAGGAGGCGCTTAGCGCCACCGAGTGACCCGTCGAGACCAAAATCTTCAAACCTATCCGAGCCATCTATAACAGTACCGCCTATGCGTGGCGGGCACGACACAACCGGTGGGGATAGCTTCGACGGCGCCGGAATCTCCAGGTTCCTACCAACGGTGACCGTGGAGCAGACGATGGCGTGGCAGGTTTCTCAGCATCGAGGATTCGTCCCCGCCTTCATGAGTAGTATGCGTCACGGGCCAATCTTTGAGCAATACGAGCTGTGGTCCGCGCTCGCCGGGAAGCTCAGATCCCGGAAGCTGGAATCGGAACAGGGAAGAGTCTCGCCCCTTCGTGGTGGTAAGGTCCTGTTCGTCCTTGGCCAGCTGGATCCGGTGATTAAGGAGGAGGAACTGCGGGCGGATGCGAACGTAGTGTTAGGAGATGACTTGGTGGAGTATCTCGTCATGAACGCCGGTCACGAACTTGTCATGACAAAGGTCCACGAAATCACAACTTCGCTTGTAGGCTTTTGGAATGGCCAAGGTATCTAGTCTAAATATATTCCTAGAATTAGATAGTAATAAAAACAAGTTAAACTACTTTGGTAATTATTTATTGTATTTTTATTATATAACATTAGTATTTGGACACCCACCGCCGGTTTCGCTTTGATGGATGACCATTGACGGCCATCTCCAAAGCACTAAGACCACGCTTGAACACTGATAAAAAGGCCTGGACTTGGGTCAGACCGCCCATTAACGCAGAGACTCGACGAGGTAATGGTCTTGCTTGAGCACGCCCCTAGATAGCCGTGAGCTACGGTGAAACCACCTAGTTCTAACCGTTGAGCTTAGTCCTCGTATCTGGGTGGCGATCGAAGACAAATCTATGGTTCCAGACACGGCGTGAGGGATAAAATCTTGGAGATGATACAGAAGATGGGATTTTTTGGGCCCCGCATTCTAGGCTCGTGCTCCATCTTTACGACCCGCATAACCAAGCAGGCAGGTGGAGGCGTCCACTTCTAGTTCCAGCGTTCCAGTTGCGATGTTAGGGTGCGGGACATGGGAGTGAAGAAATTTTGAAAAGAACAAACGACTCATGCTCATCTTCGCGCTTGTCATTTGAGATTTTGATTTTTGGGTCAATCTGTGATGTGGCTTGGGTGGCAGGTTGCGAACTTAACGACAACAGCTTGATCTGATTCGTCCAGCATACCAATGCAGAGAATGTAGGCAAGGTAAGATTGATGCTTGGGCAGGTGGAGTTGAGGAACTGATACTACCTCCTCGCCGGCTCTCACCAGATCCCAGTCTAAGATTCACGAATCACAACAATGGAGGCCGCGTCTCTCTGCTCGTTATGCCGGACCATTCCCTTCGATTCCCTCTTTGTCGCTCCGCATGATGATTTGCGCCTCTTGACACTGAGGGACTTGTGGTCTCGAGACCAAGACGCCTGCATATTCTGCCACCTTCTCAAGCACACGCTTGCCACACACTATGGCGCCCAATACATGGCATCGCAGGTGGCCAGCAATCCAGGGATACTGCTACACGCGAGTCAGTCACCCGTGGACCTGCGGTGCGACTGGATAGCGGCCAAGAAAGGGAAGACCACCTCCACATTCCACCTGGAGCTGTACGGGAGAGGCGGGTACCTGGAGCGAGTTGAGAAGAGGACGGGGGATGAATTTAGCGAGTCAGACTTTCTGCCAAGAATCCAGGTCCTCCGTCTCGGCGTTGACGTCGCATCCGGCAAGGTGACACTCGCCGAGGAAATCGACTGGGATTACGTGCGTGGCTGGCTCGAGAACTGCGACGGCAAGCACGGCATGGTAACATTCGACAAACTCGTGCCTCACCCAAACGTATTAGCCATCGATGTGGAGGAGTTGCGTGTTGTGCCCATGCCCCCGACTCCAGTTCGATACATCGCACTCAGTTACATGTGGGGAAAGGACCAGCGCGTGAAGTTGCTTAAGGCGAACTACGATATTCTCACGACCAAAGGCGCCCTAGCAAAAGATGGCCTTGAATTGTCAAGAACCGTCAGTGACAGTATCAAGGTCGCACAACTCCTTGGTTGTCGGTACCTATGGATCGACGCACTTTGCATTATCCAAGACGACTCCCAGAGCATCCAGACGAATTTAAGTGCCATGAATAAAATCTACGCCGAAGCGTGGCTAACTATCGTTGCTGCGGCTGGTAATGATGCCGATGGTGGTTTGCCAGGCTTGCATACCGATCTGCCACGCTCAGAGCGTCAGTTGAGGGTTTCTATTCCGCAGGAACACGGGAAGCAAGCCATTGCTCTGGCCAACATGCTCGACACTGCCAAGGCGGCCCTCAACTTTTCAACGTGGAATACCCGCGGGTGGACTTACCAGGAGCGTGTCTTGTCCAGGCGGCTGCTCTCATTCACACATTCACAGGTCTACTTTCATTGTGACCGCGGTTGTGACTGTCGCGAGGACATGTATCCTCTCAGTAACAACGTCGCTGATCTCCCTTCTAACTATGCCGAAGGAGAAGAAGATGAGGAGTCTGATGGTTCGTTCAAGGCCGGATATGAACTCAGCTTCAAGTACGATGACCTCTTTACTATCTACGCCTTGGCCGTAGCAAGGTATTCCGTGCGGCTCCTTACGAACCCTTCAGATAAAATAAACGCCTTCGCTGGGCTTCTAACCCGGTTGTCGGACCCCTTCAAGGGTCCCTTTGTGTATGGACTGCCTGCTACCGTGTTTGACGTCGGACTACTATGGGAACCCGTTGGCCTATGTTCGAGGGGTGGGCGGGAGTTTCCAAGCTGGTCGTGGTCTGGGTGGGATGGGGCAGTTCGCTATGGCTTTAAAGATAGCTTGGCCAATCTATGCGAGTGCACTTCGAGCTTTGCCACCGTTGAAACTTTGAACGGCGTGCGTCTCTGTGCTCCGCCTGATACTTGTCATGGCTCACGCTTAGGAGTCATAGAAAGTTCGGGGGGCGCGTGGGCGCGTAATTTTGACGAGGACACACTTGAGGTCTCCTATGCAACCAAAGACCCCCGAGGTGGATCGTACAAGTATCCGCGTCCTCTCGCCCCACTCAGAGACGAAACTGGGAATCTACTTTCAGTAACAGGAAGTTTTCCCAGTAATATCCTGCGCGTCAAGGGACTTGTGGCCACGCTTCGAATCTCCGACCAGCACAGTTTCGCTCCCCCAGCTCTCTCAACCTGCCGGCGCGGGAAACACATCCAATGCCACATGGCCCTGCTGGACGGAAAGGATCGGGTCGTCGGGCATGTCCTCCTCGACAACAGAATAGTCGCTGGCCTCATGATGAAGGAACACCGTTTCCTGGCGATCTCGCGCTGCACTCTCTTTCGAATCGACGAAGATCCGTCGTGGGATCCGGAAACGAAGTCGTTCCGGTCATGGATGCATCCCGAGAGTGGATGCCCTGCTTCTAGCGAGGATGAGGGTAGCAGTAGCGAGGAAGAGGAGGGTGGTATCGGCCCGCGGATATCTTTTAGACATCGCGAATGTTTCGACCAGAGCAAGTTTAACTCGAGGGTGTTCTGGCCCATTTTGAACGTCTTGCTGCTCTCGGAACCGCAGGAGGGAGGGGTTGTGGAGAGGGTTGGGATTGGGAAGGTCCATGTAGATGGGTTTTTGCCCATTGCCAAGGAGGAGGAAGTTTTTCTAGGATAGCAAAACAGGGTCCTTGGATCCTCCTTAATGTCATTGCCCGTCCTGCCTCCCGTTCGAGCCGCATTCCAGAGAGTTTTACTCTCCGTAAACATGCTCCGAGATCATCGTCTATGTTTACCACACTGGGCAGTCTCAGAGACCACTGGCACGTTTATAAATTCGGGACCATGTTACCAACTCCGCCAGATGTCCATGAAGCTGGGTGGAGAACTGACTGCTGAAATTGAGGCAGTTCCTCAAACCATGCAATATCTGCGCCCTTGCAACTTGCATCCCAACCTCCAGCTGATCAGCAACCCCAGTCAGGGGTGGGAAACGGGAAACATCAGACTGGTCGCCTGCTTTAGCCTTTCCCTTATAGGTTAATCCGGCATTTAGTTCAGGCACATACGGCCATAGCTCGCAGAATATTGAGGGTCCCGTCCGCTCCCCTACACACAAGCTGCGAAGCGTCAGACTAGTAGTTGGGTCGGTGACGACCAGCGAATCCCTGATGTTGTATGTTTCATTTTTGGCGGTCGTGACTTTCTTTCTTTCTTTTTTCCTTCTCTTTTTGCCCAAGTTGTGTTTGTGAGATTTCGGCTCGGAGAAGGAGATCCCTCATGATTGCTAAGATTCGTTGTGCGTTGACCACGAATTTTACAGACATGCACGTTATCGCTCCGCCTGGAACGGGCCCATCACCATTGCTCCCGACATTTCTTTACGTTTAGTCATCTCCCTGGATCCTCGATGCCAGGCTCTAGAAATAAACCGCGCCGAGCAGTCCGTACAAATGAGTGGCTCATTTCCTCCAACACATTCGTATTACTATAGCCTCGCAAGTTGGGCCAGCCACCTTTCCAGATCAGCCATGATGTTCTCCCCGAACGTCTCATCGACAGCACAGTCCGCCCAGTTAGCACTAACACACATCCCCTTGCCAGCGACGCTGACCGGGGCAAACTCGATGGCGGCAGCGGGGATCTCGGCGCTCAGGCCAAACTGCGCTCGGTCGATCGACCACCTCTGAGCATTATCGTCGGACTTGCCGTCGCCGCCGGTCAGGGACCGTGTCGTGGTGGTAGTGTCGCTCAACCTTATCGACGTGTTGCCTTCCAACACACCGATGTTGGTGACCAGCCACGTGAATTGACGCGTCTTTTTCGCCATGTTGCTCATCGTCTGCTGCCAGTCCGTGACGTACTTGAACAACCCGACGAGGTCGTTTCGCAGCCCGGCTTCCAGCTTGTCCACTATCTCCTGCCGATTCTGTGCCGATACGGCCCAGAGCTCGCGTTGGAGGTCGGCGGACAGATCTCTTCCCTCGCTAGCATCATCAGCCAGTGGCAACCTGGAACGGATTCGCGCCACTAGCTCGGTCTCGTATTTATGGAGACACGGCGTTACGTAGTTTCCTACTACTCTATCGGACCGAACCCACGGAGCGTCCGATGGAGCCGGAGGCAGATTCCGACGGTGGTCCATGATGGTAGAACTTTGAAAGGCAGCGGCGACGGTGGTGTCGAGGCGCGACGAAAAGGCAATGAGCGCTAATCCGTTTAGCAGGCCGGTGATGGTAGTCTTGTGCAGTCGGCAGAGGGCTAGGATGGCAACGAGAGATGCGTTATCTACGAAAAAGGTCCGGTACTGGGTTTTATACGGAGAGGTGCGAATCGGGCACCAGGCTGCCCGGGATACCTCCCGGTTAAGAAATTGCGGTCGGGTTTCCTCCCAAAATGCCCTAGCGAGGACCTTGAGATCTACTGGAAGACGCTTTAAGCACTCGAGGGGGGTTGGAAGCAAGGGCGGGGCTTCATGTAAGGTAAGGATATTGCCATCCAAGCCCAATGGTGTCTACGGCAGCGACCCTGACCGCCCCCTCCAGTTGGGCCCGCGACTCTGCCGGTGCAAAACGTGGCGGGATCGTATAGCGACGAGAGAGACAGGCGCCGCGGTACTGGTCTATTAGATACATGGCTAGTTGGTACGTTTCGCTAGACGCGTGGTCGTTGGTTAGATGCCCCGAAATGCCACAGTATGTCATAATATTAAGGGCTTGATTCCGAATTTGCGTAGTACCGTCGCGCCCGTCGCCTCCGCGCCATGGTTCAATTTGTGCCATGGTTTGTTGCCCGCGTGGAGAATCAAGAAGACACGAAGCTGGTAAATACTTGATTGCTGCGGGAGCATTGCGCTTAATAGATATCGTCGAGTCGTGATAGCCTCGATTGGAAGCTGGCGGCTGTCGGCGGTTTTGGACGACGTAATCGCGGACAGTAATATGTGAGAAGGACGGAGGAGCGGAGAAACCAGCGGGCGGTTTTATATGCCTTGACATGCTTCTCGACTTCATTTCCTCATTATCACGCTGACCGCAGGGCTGACTGCAACGCTAGCTAGAAAGGGCCCTAGACAGGTACTTATGTATGTACTGGAGTGGTGGGAGGAAGACAACCGACGGCCAAAGTCTTGAAGACTATCACGGTTTTGACGTTTAACCCCATCGAGCTATAACTGAAACGAACTAATGATAGCGAGGAAGAAAAAGAGAACAGAAAAAGGATCACGATGCATGGAAGGGGATCCCCTATTAGAGATTAGGCAGAGGGACTAGAACTTAGAGCATCTAGTATCAAGTGTACAACAGCAAAGATGCTAGAAATAGCATATTCCCGACTCCCCAAAACCAGGGGATACTACCAAGGTATAAAAAGCCGGCCCGCGAGCGTAGGTCCATATCATTAAGGCCATCCCCGGGCGATGCCGCATCCCAAGGCAGAGGCGGAGGAAACTCCCGACGCGAGTGGGAGTGTTTGCGACTTGAAATGGCCATGGCTGTGTTCTCCCCTGATAGGCGGCGCGCTACGAAGTACAACGTTCTGGACGCCTTGTAATCGCTGGCAGGCCAGTGACCGCGAAACGTAATAGGGCTGATGGGTGCTCTGAGTAACTGCCTATGAAAACTGCCTGCGCGATCCACGTGCGCCACGCTTGGCAACCCGCTACTGGCACCTCGAATTGGCCATGCCATCCTGTAGAACCCTCCAGCCCATCAGATTTGGTACCTGAGCCCTTGTTTTATCTCCCTCAAGTCTGCTAAGAGTAATATTGCATAAGACAGGAGTATTCAACGAATATGGATTACTTGCGCCACACACCCATCGCCATGAGAGGCTCCATCGTTATTGTTTGAAATGTCGACGTCGAAGAAAACGAGGGCGCGCATGATGTTCTGACGTGAATTTTTGGCAGCCTGCGGGTTTATTACGACGCCTGGCAGTCTTCTGAACTTTGTTGACAGTTGATTGAGAAGAGATACAGGGTAGCTGTACTGCGACGAAGAGTCGTTATCTTGCCTTCGTGCGCCTTGGCGTTGCTTCAAGCGTTGTTCCAACATCACTCAACTCTCGTGGCAGGGTTAGGGTTTACAGAACTCTAGATTTACCCCAGAGATGACGGCCAGATGGGTTTAGAGTAGAAAATTCGGGCCGGGATATCGCGGCACTTCATTTCCGATATCAACACTTCGGCTTGACCGGGGATGGCCCACAACATGGGTCACTTCCTGCTCCGGCGCGGAAACGCTGGGGACCTAAAATAAACTTTTCCGATTACTAAGCGGAAACATCTTTTAAAATTCAAATGTATCATCAAGATTCAAGAGCCAACTTGGATTTGTTGAGCGATGTCTGTTTTGCATCCCACTGCTTTGCACACACACAATGCCACGGGAAACTCTACACCGGAGGCACCCCAGAGCCTCCCAACCACGTAGACACAGAGCGTGTGATTCATGCTTTAAGAAAAAGGTGAGGCTTTTGGTATTTTTCAACAGCCCCGTTTAACCAATTATCTCTGTATTCAAATACAAATGTCAATGCCGCCGTCCGCTTCTCTTGCTTTTGTAACTGTCTAAGAACCCCGTTGGATTGCCGTTTCGTTTCCGCCAGCCTCTTCGATCATCCGCTGAGAGCTCACCTCCTTTGACAGATACGGTGTGACGCCGAGTTTCCTCAGTGCAATTGGTGTAAATATCACAATCTTGCCTGCACATACAATAGACTTGCCAAAGACAAGAGTGGGTATGTGGATAGCCTAGCAGGTCCGATGGTTCCGATGGACTTTACCTACTGGTTTGCCTATGGTCCCGACCCGACTCTCCGCCGAGAGCAAGCAAGCTTTCGGGAACCTGTTTACTGACCCTTCGCAAATTCTCTTGGCTTCTCAAGAGGCTATGATGGTGCTCTCTCTTCTGCTGAGCCCTCAAGCATTAGGTCGACATCTACTGAGAGTGAGCCGGATGCAATTGCTCAAAGTTGGACAATACTGCCTCAATCACGCGGCAAAGTTCCCCTTTTCGAAGCAAGTTGCAAGTTAGAGAACCTCGCCTGCTTCAACGGGACCCATCTCTTCTCCTCGCGGAGCCTCGAGTGGATTGAATCCTGCACGGGAGAAGAGGGTGTTTTCGAAAAGTTTCGTCAGTTGGAACTCTCCTGGAAAAGTATTCCCCGACAGTCTCTCGATCACCTCTCGCCGTCGAATCGAATCCCCACGCTCCCTAGCCGAGCAGTTGTCGCAAAATATGTCGCCCGTTATTGTTCCTCGTTCCGGAGCCTGGTGTTCCCCTTGGTCAGCCGCCCGCTGTTCGAAGAGACCATTGACATGGCATACGGACCGCCTGATGCTTTTGGGTCTGCGAGCGCCAAAGCGTGTATTTACTCTTTTTTATCCGTCGTGGCTCTTTTCGGATTTGATGAGTCGACGGACGAGGCATCTACTGATGGCGCATTCTATGCCCTTGTCACTCAAGAGATGATTCCCAAAATCGTCCAGGAGATGACCACTGATGGACTTCAATCACTCACAATGCTTGTACGTAAAACGTCATATTGCTTCATGTATATATCACCGACACGAAATTGTCTTCCCCCTTCCAATATTAATCAGGCAATACCAGGTTCATTACCAATACTTCACGGGCAACCTACAACCCGCTTCAATATCCCTGTCCATGGCCATCCGTCTGTTGTACGCATTTGAGGCACATAAGGGCCCGAATAGTGCGGGCACATCAGGCGATCAAAGCAGCTACGACAAGAATAAGCTGAAATTCCACCTACGGGATCTCTTCTGGTACCTTTATTCGATCGACAAGGACATATCGTTAAGAACGGGACAGCCACCAACCATCAACGACGACGATTGTGACCTAACTCTCCCGGAGAATTTCGCGAGGGAGCAGGACGTTAATCTGCAGCGCACGTCTATTTCAATCGACAAGCGAACACTTCCCCTCTTCCCGTGGGACCCTCGACTCTCCAAGATAAAATCCGAAGCTTATTCTATGTTGTACTCTTCCAAGGCCCTCCGAAAAAGTGACTCCGACATCTTGTCAAGCATCCGAAGTCTCGACGATGCCATAGAGCAGTGGAGAATGTCCTTGCACCCCGACTTTCGCCCGACGTTGTGTTTCTCTGACGGCATGCGTATTAGCGCCCAACCGAACACCCAGTCCACGATGCTGAGGCTGGCATACTATCATTGCATCACCGTCATCCACCAAGCATGCGGAAGATGGACGCTATCGAGCCCTCCTCCCGAGAGCCAGCTTGATGTAATCAGCTCATGCATAGCCATTGCAGTCAATGCTAGTCTCTCAACACTCTCCTATCTCAAGGTGGCACTGCCCGTAATTGAAGGCGAGTGCTTTTGGTAGGGCTACCTCCCCCCTGTTTGAATTGATCGGAACAAACTAACATCCTCTTCGTTAAATAGGGTCGTCCATTTCTACGTAATAACGGCCAGTGTAACGGTGTTCCACAACCTTATCTGGGTCCCTCTCAACCCCGAAGCCGAACGACATCTGGACATTTTACGCCAAGTGCCCCAGCTGCTGCGCCAAATCCCCGTCCGGAAACTTACACTGGGTGAGGTTACGCACCTTAGATTTCTCGACGAGCTGATTGCCGAACTTGCTCGTCTGGCGGGATGTGCAATATCCACGGCGCGGCAGTGTGAGGGCACTGAAGGGAATCTCACTGAACAAGTTTGAGTCGAGGAGGGAATTTCGTAAACTGCTAACGCAGAGCAATGCGATCTAATAGTACAAGTATTTCTATGCGCCTCCAAACTGATACCGGAATTCGCCAGGGGAAAAGAAGAAACAGGACTGGGTCTAGGAGATGCAATGGCTCACGCCGGCCTCAACAAGCAATTTGCAGTATTGAAAATGAAGCCATACGACGGGGCCCGGGAACATGGGTTTCGTGGAATACTCGACGGCGTTGAAGAAAATGTTCTTCAGTCGGAACTCTGCCTGCCCGGTGTTGGCATCGATGTCGACGGTGATTTCAGCAAGGTTTTCCTTTTCCTGCGGATTTCCTGGTTCCATCGTCGGGGACGGTCCGCCGCGCATGATGATGGACCTGGGGGATTTTTCGAGGACCACGAAATGGTTGGTTACCACGGTTCCTATTGTCGATGTATTGTTCATTTAGTACTATATTAATCTCTACTCTTATTCGAAACATGAGAGGAGGACTAGCAGCTGCCACTGTTGCTATGGGTCAGAAATTTGTCTGTATTAATAGGATCACGAACCTTTTTCGTAGCTATTGTTGAGCAGTTCGCCTTTCTCCCAGAGCATGCTTGAATTTGACTCGTTCTTCCAAAGTCGGTTCAAGATTTTCCGTTGGATTGCGTACCCTAATAAGAGCATCAGCTCAGTACTGATTGCAATTTTCGATTTCTTTCCTCCAGTGATTGCCTTTGTTTTCCCAAAAAGGAGAGTCCCTTAGAGAATCACGTACCATAACCGCCCCAAAGGCCACCGCAGAACTTTTCCAAAAGCTTTGAACCTCCGCTCAGCGCATCTTCCACAAGCTCGGGCTGTATCTTGGAAAGCGCCACCTTCCTCACACACGAATCGTCTAGAGAAGGATGCTTGCCCGGGTTAAATTTCCGATAGTACTCGCTGTGAAAGAGAGCATCGGTTTCGGGTGAGAACGGCTCGAAGAAGCATTTTCGCGACCACAGCTTCCAGGCGCCGAGACCGGCCAGCGATGTTGCGGCCGAGAACTGGAGAAAGTTGATCAGGCGCGATGATGACGAGAAGCGCTTGGCGAACCGTAAAGACGACATCGTCTGGACTGAAAGCGAATGGCAAAACAATGAGTTTCCTAGTAAATCAAGGAAACGATTGCATATAGGGGAAGAGGAAAGAAAAAGAAAGAAAACCCCGTAAATTCATTCCCAACGTGAACGCGGTTTGAAAGTTCTTCGAAATTTATTCTCAGGGTCTCAGCCAAGAGGCCCAGGCCGTTGCTGTTCTCCGCTTATTCAGCGGACTCGGCAAGTCTATTCATGTTCCAATCTAAATTACGAAGTAGCAACTGCTGTATTAATTCCGGGAACCCCAGACCCAGAGAGCCGATTCCGACCTCGCGGGTCTCGTCTAAGCTCTATGTGAACAAGAGACGCGATCGGGTTTCTAATTCGAAAAGGCAGCTGCTAGCTGGTGACGCGGTGCCAGGTTTTGTTTGACACGAGAGCTCAGCCACTCCATTCTGGTGAATCTCTCTCTCATCATACTACTATTATCGCCAAAGTCGGTCACGCCTAGAGCCAAAAAGAATATCGCGCCTTCGCGATGAAGGTTCTGGCGCCGGGAATTACTAACCTCGGACTCGAGCATAGCAGCCATATCCGACGGCACTTCTTCCATCGCCTGACTACTAGTCATCCACTATATGGAGATGGAAAAGCCTTCCGAGTCAATTTAATTAACGGCAGGAATCATCTCAGCTCCGCGTTTTCTCCTGCGGAGTCGGAAACATAAATCTCTAGCGCTGGCCGAGAGTCGACTTCGTCCGTCGGGGTCCATTGCGTGTCGACACGGCCCGTAATATCTATTCAGTCTGAGTTCATGGGCCTCTGCACCAATAATAGTGATTTTGGGGGAAAGGGGGGGTACAAAGAATTCCAGGGCTCCAGCTGCTGTGGAACAGCTCCTCATCAGGGTTGTTCAACTTGCCGCCTATGAGAGAAAGAAACCAACCTCGTCAGAATCGCCCGTGGCGGTCCAGGCTTGGGTGAGAGGATCTAGTGGGGAACGAATCGCTACAGCTCGAAACAGACCTCGAATCTAGGACCGCGCGGGCTTGGTCATCCCTTGGTGCCATACGTTGGGTATATCGTAGGTCGGCAGATCATGTGGCTTTATTTTGGGCAGAAGGGATTTTCTTACGCAAACAACGAATAGGGCTCGCGCGTCGGCGTTGTAGGGACGCCACTCGACGGTCCTTGGTCCGAAGCTTAGTTGTCTACGCCCACTTACATTGGTCCTTTTTTCGCCGCTTGATAGAGGGAGCAGCGATTGGCCGATGCTAAATGCCCTTGCATCTGCATCGCAACATCCAATCCGACATCTCATCCAAATATGCACATCTTCCGGACCAGACGTGAGAGAGAACGACGATTCGAACCTGAGGATCACAATGCGTTCGAACAAAGAGCGTCGACGCTCTAAATTCAACTGGGCGACCTCCGGGCTTTCAAGCCCATCTCTCGAATATAAATAGACGGAAAGGCCTCCCTGTTGCCTTTCCTGCTTTTCTATGTCTGTCCAAGCCAAAACAACTCTCTAGAGGCAATTCTATATCTTGACTTCTTGTTTTAGTCCCAGATGCTTCCCTTTCGTTCTTATTTAACGGGTCCTCAAACTCCCCAGCCTTTCCAACTCCGATCTTCCCAATCTCCCCAATCTCCTCAAACTCCCCAATCTCCCCAGGCACAAAACATGAGCAGCATCCCACAGGACTTGATCGACCCAAAGCAAATCGCCCTATTCGATGCCATAGACAGGGTTTCCGGCTTCCAAGGCATTGATCCCCCCGAACTGGTCGTCATCGGGGACCAGAGCAATGGAAAGAGTTCAGTCTTGGAGGCCATTGCTCGCTTCCAGTTCCCTGTTCACGATGGCCTCTGCACACGGTTCCCAATCAAACTTATCCTGCGGAGATCCAAGGAAGAGCGAACCTACATCTCGATTACCCCTGAGCCTTCGCGAACAGTGGAAGAGAAAGAACTGCGTGAGTTTGCCCGTCAGATCCCGCCGCATGATGATCTGAAGGCATGGATCGAGAGAGCCGCGACTGTGATGAACGTGCCATCCACCGTGAAGAAATTCTCAGACGATGTTCTTGTCATCAAGAAGTACGGGCCAGATCTCCCCTGCCTAAGCTTACTGGACCTGCCCGGTCTGTTCCGAGTGGAGACGGAGAACCAAGACAGGGCGAGCCGTGCTCAAGTCGAAGCAATGGTTCAACGGTACATTAAATCACAGCGCAACATCGTCCTGCTAGTTGTCAGTGCCCAATCGCCGTTCAATACACACACTGCCCCGGAAACGGTGCAGAAACTCTTGAGAGACGACCCAGGCTTGGCAGAGCGAGTGGTTGGTGTTCTTACCTGTCCCGATATGGCACAGTCCCCCGATGAGGCTATCAGTCTCCTAAAGGGCCAGGTCTACTCGGAGCTATCAAAGCACCCTTGGGTAACCGTCAAAAACCAAACAAATGACGAGAGGGAGTCGCGGGAGACCCTGGAGGAACGAGACTTGAAAGAAGAAATGTTTTTCTGTGAGGGAAGGTGGCAGTCTGTTCCTCAAGCACAAAAGGGCATCAAGGCACTGCGAACGACCCTGAAGGAAGTACTTTGGACGCACACCCGCCACGAGCTGCGAGGCCTCATTGACGAAGTACGAAGGGAAATCGCGAAATCGGAAAACGCCATCGCTGGGTTTGGTCAGCCCAGAGACACCAGGGAGGCTCAACGCGCGTATCTCTCCAATATCGTCGGGAAGTTTCAGAAGCTCGTGAGGGAGGGCGTGGATGGGTCATACAGAAATGAGGACTGCAAGAAGTCGCACTTGACCCAGGAGAGTTGCCCGGATTGCACGCCCTTCTTCCCCCGGTTCGGAGACAACAGCCCCGAGAGCCAGGAGAGGAGACTCTGTTCTAGGGTGAGAGCGTTGTGCAGAGCTTTCGCAATTGCTATGCGAAGGTTTGGCAAGACAAAGATTGTAGTCTACGACGCTGAAGGCGGTGGCGCGATCGACGGGGCAAGTAATGATGAAGAATTGGGAGAGCGGAGCCTTCTCTCTCCTGACACGATCAAGGAGTTCTATACCCACGAGGAGCCCTCCCGCACCGACCCAAGGAGCTACGAGCGATATGTTGACGATCAAATTGAGCAATGGCGCGGTGGTGAACCACGAGGAGAGTCAAGCCATAGAGTTTATACAGGCTTGTTCGAGGAGCAGTCGGACAAGTGGCTCAACATCGCCACAAAACACCTCGTGGCCACCTGGAAATCCGTCAGGAGGTTTGTTGAGTTGGCACTCGCCGCCGCCTGCAGTGACTCTGAATTACGCGATTCACTGAAGAAGCACACCATAGACCCACAGCTGAAAGAGCTAGAGCAGGAGGCTACCAAGGACATGAAGAACCTCCTTCATTGTCATGATCATGGCATGTCAGGCTTCTACGACAGCTTCATCGATTTCCAGCGTATCCAGCCGCACACCAGAGATTTCGCCGGCCGCCTGGCCCACAGCCTCCTAGACGGTTACGAAACCGCGGCTGCGGGCAAGTCGGGTGGCTTTGACAGCTGGTACCAAACTATCGGCGAGGCGCTTCTCAATACGATCTTGCCGAAGAATGGTTTGTTCATCAACGATGTCGTTAGAGGCGAGCTCGTTGGAATGGTGCGGGGCACGTTGGCGCAGCTGGCGGATACGTCGTCGAACACTAGCCCGATGGCTGAAGGAGCGGCCATCAAATTGGCCGCGCAAGTTGGGTCAACCGCTTCCAAACGGGTTATCGAACACGTGGAGACGTACTACGAGGTAAGATCTCGGTTTTCTGATTCTTCCTGCAACTGTGCCTCGAAAGCGATGACTGGGTGAAAGACTAACGGATTTGGCCATACTAGATCAGCATGCTGGCTTTCGTGGGATACGTCAATGCCCTTGTCATCGGGAAAGGTATATTGCAAAAGCTCCCGGACACCATTCTCACTCACGAGCTCGTTGATGGTCTCGACGCTGAGACGCTGAAGTATATCGCGGGAGAGACAACGGATGTGACCGAAAAGCGGGAAAAAGAGAAGCAGAATCTCGAGGTTTTAAAGGGGGTCTTGGACACCTTGACGGCCTTCCATGGATAGGCGCAGCAGGACTCACCGAAGGAGATTCATTGGTACTGAACCGCTGTGCTCGAGGGACATCTTCTTGTCCCCTTTGTTACCATGATTATTAGTTCCGCAACGAGATATCGAAATTGATGTGCAAGTATGCCTTTACAGAACACGCTCATGACGCCAAGCATTTTGTTAAGATCTAACACCACTCTCTTCAAAAGAAGGGGGTGGGCTGAAGTCCCGCCAGATATCACGATAGAAAAGATGTAGCCGCAACCCTGAAAAAGATCAGAATGTAATTGTGTAAATGATTTTACTACGAAAATCAATAGAAGCATCCATTGCGGATCACCAGAGGTGCCGCCCGACATATGTCAAGCTGTGGCATACCCAATACCCCTTAGCACTGCGGCAACTGTCCAAATTTCTCTCCGGTATGTCGCGCCGCACCTTGTCAGGCGCGTCTATCTCTTGCTCCCTGTCAAGTCCCGACCCCGTCTTGTTCCGTTTCCAATGGTGATAGTGAAAAGTTGGGAGCGAGACCTTGCATTCTTTCAGTCCCTGGAATCTTCCGACCATAACATCAACCATGTCCAGTAGGATATTGGTGGTTTCCAAGAAGGTAGATTGTCGATGCCGTATGAGCAGATCGCCATCAAGAGACAGGTACAAGTATCTTAAGTTGGGTAGGGTGTCGGGTAGCATTTCCAACAGGGTTTGGAAACCAGACATGCCCGCACCGGGAGGAAATCTGTACTCGCAACCTGGCAGCGGCTCCCCGAACGGGTGGATATTCCAGATCAACTCCACAGATGTAATCGCGTGCATGATAGCCAGCGCAAGCCAGTCCGACAGGTACCGACACAGGTAAGTCCTGCGTATGTGCAGCGTGTTCGTCCCGTAGAGCACATCTACACCCTCGGCGTATGCACGACGGCACGACAATAACCAACCCAGAGCGCCGATGGTGCAGGGGTTGGGGACCGCCTCGGGGACCGCCTCGGGGAAATAATCCTTCCACCAGGATGCATGCGGTCCCCCGCAGGTACCCTCGGTCGGCTGATCCAGGTGCAACCTAAAGCCTGCGTAATAAAACCCCTGGGAACTGGTAGTGCGGCCGCAGACGCATCCCCACAAGCAGGTCTGACCCCGAAGGTCCGAGACCGTATGGTCGTGGAAAGACTCCGGCTCTCGGGCACCGCTACGCCTCGGCTTCCTCTTCTTCTTAAACCTTGGGACAAGGTCTATGTGCACGGTCCTACCTCCGAAAGCATAGAAGAGGATGAGATGGCGTATCTCTGACGGGAGGCGCTGGAAGAAAGGGCTCTCTAGTGTCGATGGGGGAATGGGTTTGATTTCAACCAGGGACTTGCAGCGCACCGGCAGCGGAGGGAAGAATTCGTTTGACTCTTTGCCTTGTTCTCGTCGAAGCAACTTAACAAGTTTGGGAGCCATGGCGACTGGGCGGCGAGGTTGAAATCCGAGTCGTCATGGGAACAGGGCAAAGAGCAGTGATCAACCCTGGACGCGGACGTTAGTAGAAGGGAAAATGCCAGTCTATGTAGGAGCGGTCATAGGATGTGCATGAGCCTGTTTGGGCTTCAAGAGGCGTTCGATTGGCGAATCGTGTCGAAGCATCAAAAGTCCAAATCGTCCAATCACAATTCCAGTAAATGAGAGGGCAGCCACAAGCTTGATTGGGTAGAAGTTAGGAGCTCAACGATTTTATCTTTGTTTTATTTTCTCTATTCTAGTGATTTTTAATTTTTTCTTTTTTTTTAGCTAAAAGTAAGTACCGCGGCGGGCGAGTTCTCAAACAAACGTATAGACTCAGGACTGGGCTCGAAGAATTGAACAGTGTCACGGTTAGATTCAGTTTCTTCGTGATACCACTTGATCCTGATTCGCCATCTGAACTATCTAGAAAATACATGGATATGTAAGGTGGAAGTGGCATTCTGGTGATAATCTCAATGTCCCGACCAAATGCGGACTACGTTCAGTTCAGATGCAAAGTGTGCGGTGAGGTGAGTGGCTGTTAAGTTGGCGTTGGCTTCTGCCCAGTAACGACAATCCTTCGAAATTAGTTAGTATAGATTTCAGCGTTGGGAATAATACTGCATGCATGGTTGCCCATTCCAGGGCCTCGGGATATCCTTACATCTCGTTGTAAGAATGAACGGCTGGGTTGGTGAGCTCTCCACGGAGCTTGACCAGGTAGAGCTGTGCTTCCTCGTATGACCACTACCAAACACACCATCAGCATGGGCAACTCAAGCATGGAAAGTGACAGCCCCCGAATAAAGTCTCGTTCAGTTCTTCTCCGGGGAAAGAACGTGCCAGACTTACCCCCAAATGTTCTGTTAGCCCACGGATTGAGAACCCCTCGAGCCCTTGAAGAATAAACTGTCGGTTCCAGGCGCCCCAACGTTTCAGATCTTTATTTTTCGGCCATGTTCCAATCGGCATCTTCAGCGTCCTCTTCTTGACATTGACAAAGCCGGCCTCCTTGATGACTTCGCCAGCCGTCTCGGAGATGGCAAAGCTCTTGCCCGTGACCTCCCCAAACTTCCCAAACACCTCGGCCCATTTCCTTTGTGCGGAATCGGGCTTTACTGTCTCATCGTCTGAGCGGGCGATGGTTGAAAGCTCGACTTGCTCAACCCACCCGCCCGGCTTTAAATGTCTACGTTGTAAGTTCAGTCCCATTGCACACAATATGTTACGAGTTAGATGCCGGAAAGGACCTTGCTAACATACTTGAGGACCTTTTCATGGAATTTAAACCAATCTGGGACACAACCCGTCATGGTTCGGATATGGATAAAGTCGAAGTGGTTTTCGGGATACGTCCATTCCTTGGTTATGTCGTCGATTTCAAACTTGCAGTTGGACGGGACAAACGGAGGCTGGATTGGTGACAAGTCCACACCGATGACTTCGGCAGACGGATGTTCATCAGCGAACTCGCTATTGCCGAGTAACGTCAGCAAGGGAAGGCGCCAGAAATCATTATGGAAAACTTACATTGCCCACACGCCCGTGCCGCAGCCAACGTCGAGTGCACGCTGTTAGAAAAAGGGGAAATGAGAGTTAGATAAGATGCCAAAGTGCTACGGCTGGATTTTGAGATTATAATAGTATGTACCTGAATGTTCTTCTCGAGAGGGGCTTCGTACAGCTTGCCGTCGAGCACAATGCGATACATTTCGTGTCTTCAGTGAGAGGCAAGGTCAGCGCCACCAACTAAAGATCGAGCCGGAAGTCACCTGGGCTGTAAATAACCCCTGGGACACCTACACTAAATCTTCTGCCTCCTGTTGCCTCTCGTCATTCGGGGCCCTGAACCATATAGCAAATTAAGTGTTGGTCCAGCGGGATTTCTCTCCTGGGAAATTGGGGAAGAGACTACGCGTACCAATAGGCACCATCTTGGTATGCGTGGTAACGGCGACCATTTTCCCACTTGTAGTTCAGAATCGAAGATCTGAGGCTCGTCGTGTCGGTAATAGCACTAAGTTCATCATGAGTAAGTCTGCAGCGGCCATCGATCCGGGGTAATCGGGGTCGAGTCTCGGGACTTACGATGAGGCGTACACGGAATCGGCGTCCGCGGTATCCTAGTTAGACGTGTCTTAGAATTATGTATTTGATGATGGAACATGGGGAGGACAAGCTCTGCGACAACACCTACCACCTCGATAGCGTCATTCCCCTGGTCGCCTAGGATGGGAGCCGCAACTTCAGCTGGAGACGCCTCAGGAAGTGTCTCTGGGCTACTCATTGTAGGGTATTTCTTTTCGGATTTGATCAAAAGAGGTTGATCTGTCTTTCCTGACAGAATCTGGAGTTAGAAAGGACAGCTGTAGGGCTGGCTGAAGGTGCGTTGGCGTGACGTGACGTGACTTGGTCAACTGGACGAGGACGGACTCGCGACTGATGATTAAAAGTGCCAAAAAGTGAGAAAAATAGGAAAAGTGTCTAAATTGCTAGTTTAATCGAGGGACGGACCGAGGGGAGCGGGGGTTGTGCTACCCTCTCCATCGTATCCACTTGGCCGCATCTACGAGTCCGTGTACGTGTAGTATTCGGTTCGCCGGTTCTGGGTTTCCGAGGGGTCTTGCGTCTCCCAGTCTCCCATTATATGCGAGGGTGTGGGGTGGGCAGCCCAATCCTTTAAATGATGTGGATCAAGACGTACGAGTTTGGAATCCCCCCCACGGCGAGCATGGGTGGGCAGACCCATTCTCAGCTCCTACGTTACGTTGGTGGTGCAGAGCCAACATTCACAGCAACATTGAGGAACGAAGGGTGGCAGAGGCCGCAGTACAATGAGAGTCAATGACAAACGATCCAAGCACGCCAAGTCAAGCCAAGCTAAGCCAAGATCGTGTCAGTACTCCCAGACATATCAGACATAATAGCTATCTTGAACTCTATTCCTTCCGCCGTTACTCCATCCCGGAAAGTAGACCCCCAAGCAGGCCAACTCGCAGACCAATTGAGTATGATCTTCACTGGCTCACTCGCCCCCATGGCCAGGGACATCATCGGTACTGATTTACCCCAGATAGACTAAGTCTTCGATCCCGGGCGTCTGGGTCTCTATCGATTCCCTTATCTCGTTGATCAATACTCGGAAAACAAAATGATACACTCCGGCGACATTGCAGTCGGCCGTCCTTGTCGGATGACTCGGTGGCTCCGCGTCCTTCGGATGCCCCAGAAACTCAAACCCTTAGTGTGTGGATAAATCCATCGGATTTAATCGAGACGCATCACATCTAATATCCATCCTAGGAAACAGGGGAAGGATACTCATATTGTGCTAAAGCAGCACGTCGCTGTCGAGCAAACGATCTCCTCAGTCCTGGCCTGAGGCTGATATCACGAAGAGGAATGTTCTCTGCCATGATTTACTAGATTCAGGTGGTTATTTTATGATGGTTCTACGGATCGCAAGCGGTGTTTGAATGAGGAGTAGCTGTGAGCATATAATAGTCAGACTCAAAGGCTCGTGGTAGGCAAGATTCAATCGCTCCAGTTTCGCCCGCTGACTACAGCGGATCGATGTCCTAACTTGGCGAATCGGTACTAACCTAACCGAACACACCCACAACAGTTTCCGTGCTAACAACATGTCAAGCGAGGACGTCGTTGGAAAGCACTAGTCTCCAGCTTCTGGAAATCGTCTCCGTTGACAGTGGCAATATTGAGATCGAACTTCAATCCTACCTTTTCGACAGCGAGTTAGAGTTTGATGCCCATCTTCGTACGTCTGGGTCCAAGAGGACCCCACCGCACCCACTACTTGCAGTAAAGACGCGGTGTCACACCGAGCCTGAAGGAGACACTCAAATGTTCATACCATTATCGGCCTCCGCCTGCGAGACATCTGTGAATAGACGCCGTATGCATCAGCCAAAACGACAACGAGAAGAAAAAATCCCCTTCCCAGACTGTCTTCTGGACTGGTCCGTCGGAGGCGACTGTAGACTGTTTCACGGATGTCGCGTCGATGCTCTCCCACGGAATCAAGCACCCCGGGGTGACAGAAACTGGCTGTTTTCTGCCCCCGGCATACTATCAAACTCGCAACTGTGGGCCTGTCTGGGCAGGATTAAGTGAATCAAGCCCCAGTGAGAATTACATTCGGCGTGTTAATACTCCGCAGACAAATCACACCCAGATTGGGTATTGATTGGCATATACCAAACAGCAATACCGGGGTTTGATTCCGGTATATTAGGAAAACTCTAATTCGAGGAAATATCTATCGAAGAATAAAGTCCATTGTCCGCAGTCGTCCCTTGTCATATTCACGTTGGCACCATTTCGGCAACATGTTATCCATGTTCGTGAGCGAGCATGGTCCTACGACCTTGAACGTATCGTCGCCCATCCACCTCAGGAGAGTCGGGATGGGACTTCCATGTAGCATACATACTACATCACGCTCCCTTGCCGAAGCCGAATAGACATTACACCAGTCGGTGAGGAAAATGTTACCATGCCGATGAGGGTCGGAGCGGGACTCGAGCCACGGCTGCGGGTCCCACCGAAACATTTTGGAAGCGGTTTCCCTCCGGTCAAAGGAATTAGTCGTTTCTGCGAGGTTAATGGGGAAATAGGAGTATTCCTCTTCGGGGCCCTCGGGCCTCCGATTAAGATCGATCTCGAGGGATTCGAGGATCGCGTCGAAGTACGGCTTATTGCGACTGAACCTTCGGGCCAGTCGTATCAGATTCACCACTCCCACCCGCAGGAAGAAGTCCATGATTCGAGTGGGAATCAAACTAGCCATCCACATCAGGAACGTTATTAATCCGTTCTCGGGAGATCCGTGCTGAGATTTGAATATGTAGATATTCGCAGCAGACAGCGTGCCGACGGGAAAGCCAGTCACTCTCAGAAGCCCTTGCTCCTCCAAGAAACTCGCCACTGGTATTGAGGGCCGCCCGTGTTCAGATAAAAGGCTTCATACCTCAACTTCCGGCCGCACCTCAGTGTAGAGTCCCTCCAGTCCGGAGTCCACGAGGGAAGGCCGGCGCTCGAATCCAGGTCGCCTACGCAGTGTAAGACATCAAGCCGCGCGCTCGCCCGGATGATAAACCAAGCCAGGCGCGTATAAGTCTTATCAACGCTTTCATCGTAGGAGGGCTCGAACAGATGGCCTTGAAGCTTATCGAAATCTCTCAAATCATCGGCAAGTCCAAGGAGACCGTACACCTTGTCCCGATCGTCCGTAGCCTCAAGGTAGCTGAGATCGCAAAGCAAATCTAGCACCCTGACTCCCGGGAGAGAAGAAGAGAGATGGTGACGACGGAAAATGACGTGCATCAACTCCGTAAGTCGCTGGAACCGAGTTTGAGCATAGACGGTCCCGCACATACTGAGCGACACCCTCATGCGTAGACGGTAGTATGCACCTTTGAGCCGGGTCCACGGAATCGTGTGAGGACCTAGCATGACGATGGCATCGCGCGACATGGCGATCTCTTGAACCACCCAGACCCGACTGAACCACGATCGGCCGAAAAATTCTGCGAGTGCCTCTACCGTTTGGCTATCCGGTTCTACCCACCTCTCCTCGACTACCTGGATGTTGACCCATACGCGAAGACAAAGGGAGCATGTTTGCGCAAGAGTGCTGCCCAAGATCCAGAGCGGCGACGTGAGCCTCCATCGAGGCTCCTCCAAGATGCCAACGGCGACTGCTCGGAGAAATACAAAGACTGCTGGTCGGACAAGAAGGATGATGAGGAGAAATTTTAGAAGATGGAGAAGGGAGTCCGAAAGCGATATGAGAGATCGCCTCGCTCTCGCGGCGACCCCCTTGGCAACGAGATATTCAAACTCTTGACTTAATTGCTCGAGGTGGCGGATGGCCAAGCTGCTATCCGGGACGGCTTCTCCCAGCCAGATGACCACTTTCGTAGCCCTCTCGTAAATGACCCGCATACGGAGGACCTCATGGCTGCGCTCCTGGACATCTTTTTGGTTGATGCAGACGGCGTTGATCCAGAGTGTACGGGTGTGTATCGGTAATCGTAACGCCTGCAGCGCCGTGTGGAGATTCGGTGTCACCGATATGGGATTCCCGTCAAGGAGGATGTCCCGAGGGTTCGCGTTATTGCCCCAGGTGTAGGATAATGCCTCGTACCGGATCGTGTCGTCGTCGATGGAGGCGTGGACGAGGTTGCAGGCGATGGGAGACTCCCGATCTAGTGCTAGGAGAAGCTGCACTAAGCGAATCTCATTTCGGAAGCGGTCCAGGCGTGGGTAAACGAAGTTGGAGACCATTTGCTGGTAAGATAAACGGACGGGTCAGTTTCGAGTTCGGCGACATGAAATAAACCAGGTGTATGCAAAACGCGTGCTAGAAGCTCGGGTCTTTAGCATCAAATTGGGGGGGCCGGTGTTATTTATATTAGCCAGCCACTAGCCACCGAGCCCTCAGGAAACACCGCATCTCAAGAAATTCTGCATGCTTACTCTCTCCGCCAAGAGAAGTGGGTGGCAGTGCATCGTCAACGTCGCGTTGGACGTGACCTGGCGATGTCGGATTAATACAATTCGAGCTGCGCCTTCTGACCCCGCCCGGTCGGATTCCGCGCCCAGAGCATCAAAGATTTCTATCTACATCTGGGTGAACAAACTCTTGTGGACTCGGGTTACCCGCTGGCCACGAACACTTGATGAGTAGGAGAGGGATTGCCATATCGGATAATCTGGACCCAGGATTGGACGAGGTCCGAATAGGTGTGCCCAGTCGATCCGGGACAGTTCCCTGAAGCCGCTGCAACGCCCCGAGAAGAACTGACGAGTGTTGAATCAGTCGATCAATGGAATGCAGCAATAGGACGGACCAAGGGAAGTCCTTTATGGAAAGAGAACAGAATATGGCTTGGTGAATGTCCTTACAGGATATACAGCCACACCAAATGAACAGAGAAGTTGTGGAATACTGCGTCCCACAGGTTTAGAACTGCTGCGAACGTAAGTCAAAGAAGGAAAAGAGGCAAAAAGAGAAACCTCGCAACTCGACGGCACGAAACAACCTCTTCCCACTCATATTCCCAGCATTCCCCATCGTATTCCGTTCGGTATTTCATTTTAGCTTCCATCTCTCACAAGGAACCAATCCGTAATAGAAACCAAAAAAAAAAAAGATGTAAAACCTCCACAGCCATAAGCGGCACTCAGCAGATACAGTCATTCCACTCCAGTGAAGAACAGCTCACAACCGACCTTGGCCTACATGAAACGTACACCAAGGTGGAAGCTACTTATTCGAAAAAAAAAAAAAAAAAGGTAAAGTACTATGAAGTCACTGTTTCGGCTTACAAGGTCTGCTTGCCAAACGAAATGCTCGAATTGCTACAAGATGTCGGCGTCGCCTTTTAGCGAAAGTTGCTGGCATGCGACGGCAAGTGATTCAAGAAATGAGATAGCTTGTTTCCAAATTTCTGCCTCTGCTTTGTAAACAGGGCGGGAATTGAAATTAAGATGCCCGCCTTCTATATAAGTCGGAGGGCGATATATACGGGGGGATCCTCCACCTCTGAAGCTCGACGTCGTCTTCAGGCACTTGCTTGTTCTGGTTCGAGATATTCTGCCATCCCCTGTGACTCGCCCTCGTTTTTGGAAAGGAAGCGGTCGCTGCCAGTTCGTCATGGATAAAATCTTCTGCGCTCTCTGCGGAGTTGTGCTCTCCAGATATGAGAGCCACGCACCCCCATCAGGGAGGAAGTTGCCATGGAACTTCGAAATGCGCCGAGTAAGTAGACTCGCGGAGAAGTCCGTCCTTTCGCCCCTCAGGGCGCCCCTTTGCACGATTAACTGGCTGTCACTAACCGATAGGCTTGCCGCGACCCCTGGCACTCTTGTAGTTCTAAGGCCCCAGTATGATCAACCTCCAGAACTGTATGGAGTCGGTATTCTCATCTTCTGGTTCATATTCTGGGCCAGTAAAGATGCGACAAAGTCGTACACTGACGAAGAAAGCTCGATCGAGGCCCATGACTTTTCCAGGCGGCCCACCGAAATATCATCCATGGTCCTGGTCCACGACGCCTGTTGGCGTCTCCTGCTAGCGCGCCTGGCGGCTGAGTACGTCCAGGGTACGGCACTTCGACAACCTGACCCGCTATTATTTATTACATGTGGCTCAAAATCTATTCCATATCCTGCACTGCTTCCCTCGTAGCTTCCATGGTGTGTATCTTTCCCAACATGGCTACGGGGGCGCATCCAAATTCCGCAGAGACTTCGCTTTCCATCTGGGCGGCTACGAGGGAAGTCTCTCCGACCTGGGGAAAGCTCTCATGGCTGATCCAATGGTAGACACTGCCAGCATTATCGAGACGTCTTCTTCTGCTGAATTCATATTTGATTCACTTCAGCTGGAAGACTTGTCCCGTCCCATACAGAGCCAAGATCCCTTCGGACGGCTTCCCTTAGACATCATGGATATATTAGTCACGAACTTGACAACTACCGACATCTGCAGTCTTCGCATCGCATCTAGGGAAGTCGTAAATTCCTGTTCCTTCATGGCTCTGTCCCAGGCATTCTGGAGGAGCCGGTTCACTTTAGGGCGAGAGATGGATTTCTTCCTCGCGGGGCTATTCGACTCGCTCCTTGCGCGACGAGCAAAGGTCGATTGGCGCAAGTTGTATGTCTTTCTCCGGCAGTCTCTGGAGGATAACTCGGCGCACCAAGGCATTCGAAACAAGAGACGCATATGGGGCGGCCTGCGTGACTTTTGCCTGACGTTAGTTCCTCTTCTAGATCCCTCGACCCAGGAAAGAATTTCAGGCACTGCACACCTTCCAGAGGGCTATGATAATATCCGGCCCGTTGTGCTAAGCCACCTACACCACGACTATGCCCTTTCCACACGGCATGTTATTTTCCCACAAAACACAGGTTTTCGTTTGGCCGTATCCTTTATCAACTTCAATTGTAGGCGTTATGTTTCTGGAGTCCGTCTCCAAGGCTGTGACGACAACCATCGACGAGACGACCAAATTCCAGAGCTCAGCCAAGCAGGCCTTATTATAACGGAGTCGGAGGAACATATAGATGTGGCGCCGAGTGAAATCATAAGGTTGATCAGAGTGAATATCATCCGTGATGGAATAGTCGGATTCGAGCTCCACACAGGCTCCAGCTCCGGCGAGACAACAAAAGCTACAGTGCTGGGAGGTTCGTTCGCATCTGATCCGGATTGCGCAGTTGCCGAATTACTTCCAGATATCTCAAATTGTATCCGCGGGCTCGCTTTTACCTTCGACGTATGATATGACTCTCTCCTCCCCTCTCCTCCCTCATTACAATGTGTTGTCTACAGGCTGATTTGTTTACCGAGAACCCTTAGGTTTGCAAATTCGTATCCTTTGGGCTTGTTCAGATAGACCCCAACCATCCATTGGGACATTCAATCGTTGAATGCCCACAAAGTCAAACAATCCTGTGGAAGCCTGAAGTTCCCAGGCATGGCAGCACTGAATTACATGCCGCAAATCGTAAGCTCCCCGCCAATTATCGTACCCGAGTCCATTTAAATATGGACTTCGGAGGGTCAACCGGCGACAAACTATCCCAACTCAATCGAATAGCTGTTTCTGCCCATGACAAGGTTCTTGGTTTGGGATTTTTTTTATGACGACGGCAGCCACTTTTGGTATGGCTCACGGCATTTTACGGACTCATTTGGTCGCCGGGTACCCTGTCACGAGATGTCATTCTGCATAAATGGCAGACTCGAGGAACGAATAACTGAGTTACAAGCTCTCACATGTGGAGATCAGAAGATCGGACTACCGGTGGTCCTAGGTTTTAAAGTACAACACTACCCTAACTGGAAGAACCCAGATATAGATGGTTTTGGCCTGCTCATCGCACTTCACTTAGTTCGCAACTAATGCTGGATCGCAATTCAACTTGCCGTGGCCGTTGGCGAATATCGTACCCTTTGCAACATTTCAGTTTACTTCTGACATGCCACTCATTGGCCTCGTGGCCAGGATCAAGGTGCGATATTTTAGCCTTTCGAGCATGTCTAGCGAATTATTGACGTAGTACTAACAATCGCCCCCCCTATTTTAGGGGTTTGATGGGGTATTGGATGCGATAGGGGTAGTTCGTCCGCGAGTTCCCGTCCCTACCGACGTTCTGGTCCCATCTTCGACTCTCGCTTTGACCAGTCAACCGTCGGTAACAGTTTCTGCCTCATGCGCTTTGTCCGCTTCGTCCCCTTCATCCCAATCCCGCCCATTTCTAGTGCCCAGCCTCGTGGAGGATAGGAACTCCTGTTCTTTCGCTGCTCTCCTCTGCGATGTCCGCCGAATAAGATTTTCATGTGGTGCTAGACATCTCCCGCGTCCACATGACACCGTGTCAGGCCTCTTCCTCCAATATGACAACCCACACGAGGATAGGTATCTTGGGCAATGGTTTCAAGGAGTGGACTCTCTAGATATCGAAAATGGTGATTTTGTTGTGTATATCAGGGTGTGGTATACCCAGCATTTAACAGATACAGGCCGATTCGGGCAAGTTAGCGGGATTGAAGTTGCAACCTTGCGGGGGTTGAGAAAACGGGTTCTCTACGGTGGGAAACACCGTACTTATGATTTCGAATACTACGCCAATCCCTTAGAAGACCTCGTGAGATACTCTATATTCATCCCTTTTTTTTGGTTCCTATATATGGTGCCGTGCCCCTATTAACATGAATGCTTGGCCTTGGGGTAGGCCGCGATAGCGTGGAGTTGTACTCCTTATTGGGATTACCTGCAAATCATTCGGCGACCAGCTAATGCCCACTACATGACTCTCTTACGACGCACCGATTCACTTTGGAGGGCTCGGGAGGTCCACGACGCGCGGCGGTTTCTTTGGACGGATTTTGACAGTTCTGGCAAAGAAGTACCGATGTTATCAATAGAAGCGTTCTTTGCTGAAACCCATATGACGGGTCTGAGATTCGTGTATGGATCCGATACCGAGAGACGCGTCGGCTTGTGCGAAGGTGAGAGGACATGCTTCGATTTTGGTATCGGTGAGGAAATTGTCCACATGGGTGTCCGTCCCGGCAATTGCTTTACCCCGAACTCCGGGTTAGAGGTATGCTTCCTTGACTTTCAAAGGAAAAGAGAGAAAGAAAAAATGAAATGATTATGTCTATTAATTACTGATGCAGCTCCGTACAAACCTTTCGCGGGAGGTAATCCTGTGCCATTCTAGCGCCCGCGCCCAGTTGAGCAAAAAGGAGGATATGCGGCAGAACCTTTATTCATTCGATCTTGAGTGTCGTGAGAAGGGCAGTGGCACCGGCAGTACGGGTAGAGAGATCTGCTGTGGTATCTGGACGCACTGTCGGCCCTGGAAGGTGGATTACATTGTGGACATGGGACCAATATTCAAGCAAATAGACCCAAATAGCTAAGTATTTCTGGATGTTAACAGCTCTTCAACCTTCTATCAGTCAAAGATGTTGTAGCTGCCTAGCTTCATGTTGACAACAAGCCATCTCGACACATCACTTGCTTTCTTGCGTGGACCTTAGAGCCAACGGCACGACGAAAAGTACGCTATATTGGGCTGAAGGGCTGAAGAGCGTTCGTGGCCTCGACTAGCTAGGAACTGACGAGGCAAGATTCGGAGATTTAGTGGCGGGGGAAGCAATTCTGGAAGATGTTCGCGGTGTCTGTGAAGTGGAGTGCTTGTAAAGTTAGAATGACCACGTATATTACACTGGGATGGAATTAAGAGGGGGCTTGAGATGCGTGGATAGTACCACCGGGGAATTGTCGAAGTTGTTAGCCACTGCCACTATCCTTGGAGCCGCTCAACCGAGCTAACAGTCCTCTCCGCTGTGATCAGAAGGGAATACGTTTCGCCTTGGATAATCTAATTCTCGCCCTATTCCCAAATACCCGCTGCAGCCTTTGTGCCCGACCCTCCATTATCCCGTTTCATCTACTTCCTGACCTTGTAGCAACCCAAGTTGACAAAGTCGGGATTAGCACTCGTGCGATGCCAGCACACAGCCTGACGCACAGCATCCTCAATCCTGAAATTCTTGTTCCACCCGTCGCTGCCATCTTGATTTCGGAGTGGGAACTTCACCCTGATTCCGTTCCCCCAGTTGTTGGCGCCTTCTTCGATACTCTCCCACGTGGGGTTGACGCGAATGGCCATCGCCTCTGCGTCGATGTGCTTGGCGACCTCGACCAGGAATTTCCTGGCCCAGCGGTCCGTTCCGATGGGCGAGTAGCTCAAACCGCACGGCGCGAACTCGACGGTGTACAAGCGCCAGATGGCGGGGGGTTCGTCCTCTGGGTCCAGGGGGGCGTGGCTGCAGTCGACTAGGACATGTCTGGGACGGAAATACTCGACGGGTTTGCATGAGAAGTCGTCGGCAGACTGGGGCCAACGGGGATTGGTGTCGGCCTTGGCCTGGAGAGAGAAATCGGACAATTCTCCATCGGCTACTTGGGGGCTGGTGTCTTCGGAGGCAATGGGTGCAGCTGTTTGGTTCTTCGCTAGCGATAGAGCCGAGTCCAGAGTAGGGCGGGGAATAGAGATGAAGGGCGAGACGTCAGAAAAAGGCGAAATGGATGTATCTGAGGCTTCATTTGTAGATCGGACACATTGAGCGCTGGAGGTGGCTGAGACAGGCACCGTGAGGGCCATGGAGAGGGCGAGGGAGGCGTAGAGAAGATGCATTTTGGATCTGCAGTTCACCGCCGGAACCGTGATTGTTAGCGAGTTTCAGCTGAAAGCAGTAATGGGAAGCGAGTTGGGATCGATATCTAACCTAAGGCCCTTCAAACTTTTATTGACAGCTAGCCAAGGCGAAGTTTTTGTGTACACTGCAGGTACAGGATCTATGCGTTACGAGTATCGCTTCGGGTTCCTTGTGATCTCGATCTTTCTGGAATGGGAAGAGGGAAAGATTTTTTCCAAGATGTTGTGCGATTTAGAATAACAGATAAAGTCAAGGTTTTATATGTTTACACATTTTACGTAGGAAAAAGTTCTGTCAGGGCTTGCTAGAGGAAAGGGCACCGCGTCGTTGCTCCAGTTCCAGTTATTCATGTCTTGTGAATCACTCCCATTTGACTTTGAAGTTTCAGTGTAGCTCCAGTACTTCCCATGTACGGAGGAAGGAACGGATTCATCCTCCTATTATTCCTTCCATCCGACTATTCCAAAGCTTGAAATGTCTAACAACATAGATAAGGGAAACACCCAGCCAGTCAAAGTTAACAACCTCATTCCCAGAAGATTTTCAGCGCGGTAAGGATCTTTCGACATTGTAACTTGTCAACTACTACGGCGTCTCCTAATGTTTCAACGTATTCTAGACATCTCACTTGAACGAATGACATGGATGGTAAGTTTTTCGACAGGCGCCAAGCTACTTTGTATTTCTGAAGCGTAAATTGACCAAAAGTGACTAGGATCACTCCGCGTCAGCACAGCACCCCGCCTTTGGCGAATCAAGCATGGAAGCATCGGAAGGGGGTCGGGCCTCTAGGATATTGCATTTTGGTGGACACGCAGCTTCTCCCTCGCTTTCACTTGGGAGCACCCTATCGTCGCCTCGCTCAACTTTATCACCCTCTTCCAAAGCATCCTCGTCCTCGTCACTGGATTCAAACGTTTCTCTATACTACCATGGAACCGGAAATCCGAGCCCCGTTAGCAACGCATCAAGCATGCTTGAGTTAGGTAACTCAGGAGGGAAGATCACATCGAAGTCTCTGCGTTCACGGGGCGATTCATCCACAGCTGCTTCCTTGTTAGATCCCACGAATGCAATTATGGAGTTATTGATTTGACCGAGTAGGGGGCCCCGGCCAATGTGATAGTCCACTTCTTCCCTTGGCCTCCCTGCTACAGCCCGCATGTTCTTCAGTGAGACTGGTTTTCTCTCCCATATATCCCTGTAGGGGCTGAAATACCAGACAGCCAGAGAGGCATCCGCACGTACCGAATTGCTGGGATCCGACCGAATTGGTAAGGGACAGGACCCTGAAGGTGTCGGCGCTAGTAGGAAATCTAGTAGAGGCTGCTGTTGGTCATCCCGGAGCTAAAAGACACGATAGGTAACGCGCTTGCGAGAGGAATGGATGTACACGTTCGGGATCTCTCCAGCTGATTCAGCTCTACGGTCGAACACGATGACTCCGCCCAGCATGCGATCCTCGGTCCAATATCCCACCATATCGGCTGCTCCCTCAGGGTAGACATAATAATCGACGTACTCGAGGTGCCGGAAAAGAGTGGGCGGTGGATTCACACCGGGCGTGCCGTCTGCCCAGTTAACTATGGAGTCAACGTCCCCCTGGTGGAGCTTAAACCCCATTTTAAACGCCTGCGCCCCAAGTTGAGGGTTACCTGCAGCGACAAGCTCGATTAAACGGATGTTAAAGGTTCCGGATCCTTCAGGTGCCCGTCGATATGCTTGAACAAGCTCCTTGTTCTATTAGGTCCGTGAAAGGTGAAGAGACGAGGAATAGAGAGGCGGACAAAGAGAAATTCGAGGAATCGGGAAACTATGAAGCACGGAACACCACAATTACTTTGGGGTTAAACTTGAGGGTGGAGCCATCAAACTCCCTCCGAAGTTCCAGAGCCATTTCTATACAACCAGGGCAGAGCTCCTCGTGCTCATCTAAGGGATGGTTAGAATCTAGGCCATGGCACCTCTGATCTCATGCTAATATCGCCGATGGGCAAGCCATCGATAATCTGCGCAAATGCCCCGAGAGCCGACTCCGTCGCCAGCAAGTGCTTCATCGCGAGAACGAACATCTCGTAATGAGTCGCATCGAGGCTTTTGAGGGTGATGCGTTGGGAATGATCATCCTGGGCAATTTCGCGGAGATGCTGGACCAGTCTCTTTATTTGCCCATTTGTGAAGCCGACTCCGGGTGGTCCCCAATAATAATCGGTTTGCCCCGTGAATCCCCGCGTATCTCTTACGGACTCCGGAGCTGACATCGTGATTAGGTTTTGGTGGGCTAGTAGATGATAGGGGGTTTGAGAGAGACTACTTGATGAAAAAGAGGCGGCTCAGGCGAGCACGGAAACACAGCATGAAACATCATTGTTCACAATCACCAAACATGATGATGTAAGTCTCGGAAGGATGACAAGCATAATCTATATATCCGCAGTATGTAATTGCAAAGAGTAGCCAAGACGATTTATCGGGGGGATGTGTATACCAGGGCGGCAGGCAGGGAATCTGGGTGCCCCATGTTTTAGGCTTTCTTCGGGCGGTTAGGCAGCGACCGGGAAGAAAAGAAGCGAAAAGAGAAAAGAGAAGGAAGAAGGAATAAAAGCAAAAGGGCGAAATACATAATGATTTTAATTGCATGAAATCCATATGATCTCACTGGTCCTGCCCCAAGTTGGATCCCGACCACTTCTCGGGCTTTCACGAGGTCAGTAACGCTCGTCACGACACACGTTGCAGGTTGTTCCTGTGATTCCTTGAGCACGACATCAGTGTGTCATTACAGGGGCGAAATCGGTGACTATTCGTCAATGGTGGTGCATGGCAGGGCGACTTCACAGGGGCGAATAGCATCAAGAGCTTTCTGGCCGGCGGCATTTGGGGTCCAACCGCACATTGGCCAGCCTCAAAGAGAATCGGAGCGTCAGGGACGCCAATCCGGTGTCGACATTTCGACTTAGGACTGGGTCCTCAGGCACACATCGCGCGGTCAGGTAAAGCTCAAGCTCCAAGCGCCAAACCCCGCCTCTAATGTCCCTTCCGAAGGCTTGAGCGACGAGGAGCGAGTCTTTAGAATGTTTATCTGTAAGATGGGTGTAATACTAGGCTTCAATTCATCTAGTCCACTACCTGGGCTTCCCCTGGCTGTCCTGCAACGAAATCCCCACATCCCATCCTGTCCTTCCCTCACCTGCATCAGGGCCCATCCGCCGTTAGACTTCTGGGTTAGCAAGGTCACCGGCGGGGGCGTTGGCAATGTCCCTGAACGCGGCCATGTCGGCCTCGAGCTCGGCAATGTCAGGGGAGGGCCCGGGCCCCGGTTCTTGACCGCGGGACGACGGAGTGCCTGCGCTGTAACTGGCAAAGTAGGAGCGGAGGCGGTCATCCGCCAGAGCACCGCCGTCGGTCGCGTCGTCGGTCGGAGGGTTCGTAGCAAATCGAGTCGGCGGTTTGGCTGGTTGCTCGCTGCCGAGGGCACATCAGCTTTCTGACATTTCTATATGGAAACGGTTCGAGTAGTCAGTGCATACCCGCCTTTAACGGCGTCGTTGGTTGACGTGGACATGGCCGCAATCTTCTTTTTCGCGTCAAGGAGTGGTAAAGGGAATCAATTGTTGCGAAACTCGTTGGGAGGAGATATGAATCCGCCGAGAAAGGAGGAAGCGCCTATCCCCGCAACTATTACGCAAAGGAGAGTCCAGTAATTCGCCAAAGAAATTTGTCGTTATCGAGTTGAATCGATCTGGATAGCGTCGTAGACCCCAAAAATTTATGTTGCATGAGGGACAAAATGATCGGTTTTTAAGGGATGGGAGATGTATAGTCTCCAGAACGTCGAAAACGCCGTGTTGGAGTGCACCACCCAGCGGAGAACAGGTCTCTATGTCTCTCTGTAGCCCCTATGCAGTGGCGGGCTTTCGACCCGAAAGTGACATGGACCATGGGCAACGACGGCCAGTGTATCAACGATCCCAATAGTAGGGACACCACGTGGCGGAGTTAAGAGTTACAAAATACTTCTCCGTCGCTGCCAAATCCTCCGAGAGCACCGCTAAGCCCGGTTCATAGCAGTTGCGGTGCTTTCGAGATCAGAGATCTAGGATGTGGCTCGGTGGCCCGGGTCGTTGTTGAAGCTTCCCGATGTGTGCCATCACCCACGCTCGTCGACGGCCGGGGCTGTGTCTGGTGAGTTGTTAAATTGAGTCGCAGTCGAAGTCGAGGCAACGCGGGGGCTACAGCAAGACGGTGACGATAGTAGCAGGCGTATTTCTCATTCTCCCTAACCGTTTCGATGGTGAAGTCCGACAGCGGATTGTAGACCAGGAGTTTCTTCCTCCCTCTCCCGGCCAGGCTGAACCAACACTCAAGTAACCAGACCCATGGTCATGGGCCAATTCATGACGCGGCATTGGAGGAGTTTGACCAATTAGCGGAAGTTGCGGTCTATATGGTTTCTTTGATTTTTTCCGTTTCACGACGAATCCGAACTGCTTGTTAGAAGCCACCAAAAACGTTCGAACTCGTTCACGAACGGGCGGTTCTCGGTCGTCGAGTCCATCACGAGCAGGGAATCTATTCTTCTCGTGGCTCTCGTCAATATTCCATGTCAGCATGCAGCTCTCTCCGTCCATCGGGCTTGTGTGACGCTGAACGCTAAACAATGAACGGTTGCCGGCTTCGAGAACACATTGTCGGAGGTGGAGGATCGGCAAAGGTCTTTGGGGCCTCAAATCCGCTCGCGCTGGTGTCCTCTGCGACTTTTTCTCGCTCGGAAAGTCGCTTGGGGACATACGCTGCCTCCACGAAAGGCGCATCAGCGCCATATAACCATCGCAAGGTATGGGAGGACTCCGGAAGACCCAATGCAATAAATTAACCAATAGCGGTGCAAAAGCACGCCAAGAGTGTCCTCCTTTTGCTCGCCTCGATGTGATATGGACTGCATGGTGCAGAAGGCGGAAGCATGCTCTCAGCGAAGTGGAATTATCACTCCAGGAGTTCTGAGAGACGTCCGCCCAGAGGAGAGAAGAGTGGTTAATAACGAACACCCTTATGCAGGCGCAGCAATTCGGCCCCGCAGGCAGGCTCGTATTCGCTTTCCGTCTTGCGTCGGATCGAGAGGGTGAGCAGGGAGGGGAATGCCGCTTTGGGTGTCTGCTAGGCCGGGCTGCAGGCCAGTGTCTCGCGGGGACGAATCGCAGGCGTTGCGGAACGCCATCGAGGCGCGCGGCGGGCGCAGCTTACGTGTCGAGGAGGGGTCCAGGTACCAGGAGGACATGTCAGGGTCAACATGATGCCCACGCTTTCGAACATTTTCTGGTTCCTGCCAACTCGCCGTTTCGCGCAGACCCGAACGAAGAATCAGTGTTGGGAAGGTGAAGATGCACAAAATCGGTCGTGTTTTGGTCACGTGAGAGACACGTGATTAGATGGGTGGTCCGTGGGTTGACTCCGAGAAGGGGCACATTTGCGGCAGTTGGTCTGGGGGGGGGGTAAAGTGAGTATTAAAACGAGGGTCTTATGCCAGGTTGGTCTAGATGACGGTATCGAAAGTATTAAGGGTAGAGAAGGTTGAACCATGTCCAGCATTTGAGGCTTGCGGATAGTTGTTGCCGAGTGTTGGGTGCAAGTTTAAGCCGCATTTCGCAGACGGGGGCAGCCCAATTTATGTCCGGGGGCATATTGTACTTTTGTTCATGGAGCTTTGCGTGAGCTTGACCAATTAGCAATGAGATTATCAGCCATGGTATGCATAAACATTTAAACATTGGAAGTTGTGCACGAATAATAGCTGCTCCTGTGGCGCTTTGGTCCTAACTCAGCCTGGTCGTTGTCGACTTTAATAGGGTCCCGGAATGACTTGTTTCCTAATATTCGCTCACGTCCCATGGCATAGAGGCATCCTAAGTGTCCTCCACACCCGATCATACCATGGAGCCTGCGACCGAGAGTGATTTTGCAGACTTCGACCTCAGATCAAACGACTGGGAATGCCACAAGCATATAATCAGAGATCTCTATGTCGAGCAAAATCTGCCGTTGGCGAAGGTGCAGAAACAGATGTTGGAACAGTTTAGGTTCGAAGGGACGTATGTTACGGACATTATCAACATCATCACCACAGACTAGCAGCATCATAGACTAACAAACAAATAATTCAACCGGTCTAGTCAACGGCAATACAAGCGACAACTGCAAATATGGGACTTTCGAAAGAACATCACCGAGGCAGATATGCGCGTTCTAGCGCGGATCTGGCAAGAACAAGGACGGAAGGACATGATATTTCAGCTCCGGGGCCAAATTGTTCCACTACGCAAAATTGAGAGGTGGATCAAAAGGCGGGAAGGAAAACCTGATTCAAGTCAAGTGGAAAACCATGCTTCTGAGGGTATGATTTTTCGATGCTAATGGAACAACGTGACATACTAGATCCATGCTAACATATTTTTACGTCGCGGCACTAGCCGATACTCTAAATCACCTTAAGTACTGGCCTCGAGATAAACTGAAAAATGGCTCTCAGGAGCAAGATGAAATGTCGGATTGGGCTTCCGAAGACGAGGACCATGATTATCCAGCTCGAGGAGCCGGAACTCCTTCGACTGACGGTTCCGCGAGGTCATTTTCACCAGCTTCCTCCGGACCTTGTAAAGAAAGCCGTGAGATCGCACCAGAATCTGCTGACCGGGATCTAAATTTTGAAGATGGGGCCATGCCCGAGGCTAAAAATTTTGGAATTTCGCAGTCTACGGACTGCCAAGCATCCGGCAGCCATGGACGCGTCGCCATGAGCTCACCGAATGTGACTCGGGTAGATAACTGGGAATCAAAAGGACTGACAAGGAAACGGACTCTCGAGAAGACGGATGATACGAATAGCCGTGGGGGACGCGCAGACGGCCACCATATCAAACAGCAAAAAGCCATCAAATTCTCATGTCCATATCGCAAACGGAACCCCGTGGCGTTCAATGTGCGGACGAATAGAACATGTGCACTGATGTCTTTCCCAAACCTTGCAGAGCTCAAGTAAGCCAACTTCTTCGTTCTCCTCTTTTCTAAATGTTTTCTGATTTTTCAGGCGGCATGTAATTACTTCTCATAAGAGGAGGCCTCTTTGTCCGAGGTCTGGAGAGCAGTTCTCCAGCTCAGTTCAGTTGTTTCAGCACCAGCAGGCCCCTCAGCCATGTTTCCTGAGGATGAATTGGCCAATTCCGGGTCCAGAACACGGAATAACCCCCGAGATCGAGACCACACTGAAGTCACGCCGAGCCGATTCCAAAGTGAACACTTGGGAGCAGCTCTGGAAGGTTCTTTTCCCAGACGACAGGGACATACCCGAACCAGGTAAGAGTGGAGTTCGTTGCTGTACAGCTAGAGACTGACTTGTGTTACCCGGGTTACAGATTTCCAGCCTCCGCTTGAAATGAAGGAGGCAGGTAGCTTCTTAATCAGCCAGGTAGACCAGTTTATATCTGAAGTCATTGGTCTCGTGATGCCTCTGACGCATCCCCAGGAGGAGGATCTACATTCGAAAGTGAGGCAAGCATATGAAGCCTTCGTACAGCGTCAGCTGCGAAATGTTCACAAAAGCATAAGTCCACCTGAGCCTGCGGAGGACGGGATCCTCGATGGAGAGACCCCAGAAACCCTCCGGGATTGGAGGCCAGTGTTGACCCAGGGTACGAGCGATTCTTCGTCACTGCAGCGCATGTGCGACAATGGCGAGAGCTACGATATTAGAGATTTTCTTCAACCCGATATCCGCTGGAACGAGTCTGACATTGGGTGAGGCCATAAACCTTCTACACATGGAAGCTTGCATTTTGTTTGCCGGGGCGGTTACGCTTCTCAGATCTTCACCTGGTACGTATTCCAGACACAAGCGGCTGCAATACGTACCAATACCTAAAAAATGTACCAGGTAAAGATAGACGTATTTTTTCTAGGAAGCCGAATGCATAGAATAATGATAACCTTTGGGACCGTGGTAGACAGAGGCGTGTGGATGAAAAGCATCGCTGCCTTATTGCGCGAGAACCCCGAAAATGCTACGGACAGTAATGACAAGATGAGTACGTAGCACTCGATGCTCATCGTAGCAACGCGAGGTAGCTCGATGGCGCGAAGTGGCATGACGACCTCGGAGAGCGGGTGACTTCTCCCGAATACAAATACCAACCTAGATCGTAGCATTTCCTCTCATTCCAACCTATCCCAGGTGCCCTATTACGAAAATCAAACCGACGGAAAACCCACTGTTGACGTTAAGTTCGAATACGCCAACATCGAAATTATTTCCGGCCATAATACTTCTTTCATTTTCGCAATTCAAGATGTTATTTTTTTGGACTTGGCGGAAAGATGTAGTACGCATACATGCAGTGGCGGTGTGCCCTCCAAGAATGATACGTGTCCGCATGCAAGCTAGCAGGGGCTGGAGTCGGTATCGTCAACACAACACTGTCAAGGCCCCTCGAAGAGCAGGCGCGGTAGTTTGTGTTGGCCTGTAAAATCGCGGTGGCGAAAGTCCGCTGTAGCCCAAGAACTGCACTCACCAGTTCCGGGCACGGAGTCGTGCAAATTCTTCTACCTCGGCTCAGTTCATGGTTCATGATTCCCCGACTACCCTGCTCAGACTCCTTTGCCAGCTGTCTACGCTATCTCGCCATTCCAGTAGACCATACTCTCTCCACACCATGCGGGACTGGAAGGATGGCGGATGCCTTCCCTGTTCTCTATGATCGCCCCACTCACCTGGATAGGTCGATCTCCTATCCCACGTACTACTTGATACATAGATACAACTCTAGAAAACTTCCAAGTTATGATGCGACGGTGTGTACACAAAGTTTTCGCATCAACTGGATGGGGAAGGAGGTCCAGCGGGAAAAAAAAAAAAAAAAAAAAAAAAAAAAAAAAAGCCGAATCTAGCTCTGGATGAAGTCCCTTCTCTGTCTGTTTGCGGGTTCTTTATTTCTCTCATGCCGTTGGTCGGCGAGGGGCTTTCCAATAAGGGGTAGATACCGCAAACTTCTCTTGGACTTCATAACGCCGTCCTCGGCGCTATCAGGCCTCACAGATTCCCGGATCTGGGGTCGGATTGGGGATCCTGCTCATCCACTTCGGTGGCCCCTTTAGAAATCATAAGATTTCGTATTGATTCTACCAGCGGATCGTCGAAGTCTTCAAAAGTCCTGTTTAAGATCAAGAGTGCAGATACCCTCGCCTCTGGATAACGTCTCTCCCAACCCCGTGGCCCATTGTAATCGTCGATGACGAACTGAGCTGGATCTGCTCCATAATCCAGGAAGAGCTTGATTGTCTTTAACCATCGTAGTCTCAGGTCATACATAGCTTCGGTGTTTGCCCAATCGCCGCTAAACCGCGCACAAATCTCGACGAGGACGGCTTCCCAGACAGTCCATGTCCTACAATAACGTATGCTATTTCTGTCGGGGGGTTCGAAAGACTGATTTGGGTCGCACTTTCTCTTGAGGAGTTCTTCCACCATGGCTGGATCGAGTGTGTCTCTTTCGAAATCCGTGACGGCGTAACCCGGAGCGAGACTGCAGGTCGCATAATGAAGGAGGGGTCGGCCCGGCTTCGAAGCTGGGTTGTAGCCGCGGTTGAACTTATCGATGACGGATCGCGTCATCCCGATAGTTATCAAGTATGAGACATAGTCACTTAACCACTCACGGGGTTCAACCCAGTCCGCATATCGATCCAGTGTCCAATGCCACTGTCTCGACTCTCTGATTTCATTGCCATATTCATCGTAACCGGATATGCGGTCGGGACATGGAGGTTTGTGTGCCATTACTAAAGTATCCAGGGCTTCAAGGTACGGCAGCTGAGAAGCCTTGGTGATCCGCTCCACTTCGAGAGCATGGAACATGATCATAAATACTATGCCGTCCCTTGTCGCGTGACAATAGGCCATAGAGTCAGAGCTATCATACCTGTTGATTTCGGAGTAGTCATAGAGGTGAAACGATCCGGTAGCCCGAAACTGGCGTAAGCAACACGCCACAATACGAAGGTGGGCGTCGGCGTCTGGTTGTGATATTTGAGTCGCGAGCCAAGTTGGGACACTGTCAGAGCGGAGAAACTCCTTGACTGTCAAGTGCAGGTACTGGATTCTAGAGGGTTCCCAAGAAATTTGTTCTATCTTTCGGGAGATGGATTCACTGGGAGGATCGCCCTTATTATTTGTGAGCCAATTGCTCCCATGGCTTTTGCGCTTTAGTGGGCTGATTTCTGTGAGACCGGCAGTGCGGGCCTTCAAACGCTTTGCAACTTTTGAATGGCGGTCTGCTATCTCCTTTACCGAGAAGATATCTCCTCCTTCCAAAAGGGCGTCTCTTGGATTGTCCTCGGCAAAGGACATGGCCAGCGGGGAGAGTGGCTGAGCTGTGGATTGGACCATGCGAAATATCTGGGCAGCATGCGTGTGGTAAAACGGGTCGATTTGCTCGACCATGCGCCTATACAACGGCTCGAGGCCTGCGGGCAGGACCGACAGTCGCTTTTGAAGAGTTTTCATGTCGTCGCCGTTTTCCAAACTCTCGACCAGTGACCTGACGACCAGCGTGACCCATAAAAAGACCTAGATTAACGAGACGTTAGTATTCAAAATTGTACATGATTGTGAATAAGGAAGAGCATAAGACAATTGAGGAAGGGCTTACGCCTTCGGCCTTTTGCAGTATTTCGTCCACAATCTGCTTAGTCGTGATCGGATCCTTGGTTAGCAAGTCTTTAAGTTCTGGGATTTTGTCGAAGTTTGTCGTTACGTAGATTTTGATATCATCTGCCGACAGGTCCTGGACCCTGAGATGTGTATTTCGCAAGTACGCCTTCTCGAAGACGACCAGCGGGCGACTCGATACGCAGAGTTGGACCCGGACAAAAGAATGGTCCGATGAGGGCAATAGATCTGCCAATGCTTCGACGATATCCTGATGTCGCCCCGAAAAATTCGTCAAGTCCGTCAATCAATAAACAGAGGCGCAAGCGCAAGACCTTTTGCGAAGCAATTGCTTTGAAGCCCTCTTTGAGTTCGGTCGTTGACCAACTTGCCATCATTGGGTTATAGAAACTTCCCCCGGAGAGCATACCCCGTCTCATCGCTTCCCATCGCCTGGGCAGAGTAATTGGTATTAGTTGTCGGTATTCGGAAAGAATGCTGTACAGAATGGCCCGGTAGAGCCCCTCTTGAGACTTGAGTAGCGGGTTCTGACCGCGGTCGTGAAAGAAGAAGCTAGAAAGCGATGTGTTCTCAATGTCCTTTGGGAGGCTCTCCAGGGTCCTGTTGTCTTCAAAGAGAAGCTTCATCAAAGTCGACTTCCCGCACCCAGCCTTACCGGTGATCCAGTAAATACCCTTTCCAGCTTTCAGCCAGTCGACAAACTTCAACTCCCGTCTTTCGTAGATCCACCGAAAGGTTTGCTTATGGGCCTCGGCGATATCGTCATACCTCTCGTTCATGCCAGAGAATTCCAGCTGGTCCAAGACGCCTGCAGCGGTCAGATGGGAGCGCCAGTAGAAGAGATCTAGATCGTACCATTCTCGCAGTCTCTCCGCAAATTCGCATTGTCTAGAACTGCATAACAGTGTTTAGCAAAACACCCGAGCTACTTTAAACCTAAGAAACGAAACTGGATTGATGGTCCCCGGTGACTTACTGGGCATAGTGGGCCGTGAGATAAAATTTTGCACTTGCGCATGGAAGATTGGTTCGTTGACATTTTCATTCTCTAATATCTCAAGATATCAACAGCTGAATCCGTTCCTTAGACGATCTAATCATCCTTACCCATGTTGAAGGTTTGGGTCTCGGCTTGGAATTGCTTTCCAGTTCCGTAGTTGGCCTGGAACTTTTGGTTTCCCAAGACATAGTTATTGGTCATGGGCCCGTTGCCGAAATTGTTGTTCGTGACCAGACTCTCCTGAAACTCTGAATCCGGGATCGAAGGCTTGATGGTAGATACATCCTGGATCGCCTTTGTGGTTTGGTCGATTTGGTGAACCGTGGCGGATTCCAACCCATGCCGACTCGCTAGGAGCAGCACATCATCCAGCAATCCTTTCATCAATGTTTCTACTTTCCCCCCTTTGTTCAGTGTCTTCACAGCACTAACGTAACGACTCAATCTCGAGGCTTCCTCAGCCGGGATAACCCTTTGGAAAATCGTATCGAGCATCTTCGCTCTCTCCTCACACCTGGCGATTAGAGGCTTGATTGCCTTGCACGAAGCGGCATCCAACTTTCCCTCGCGTATGGGCTGTTCTGCAGAACGGAGGATATCCCTGACTATTGGCAGGCGTCCCGCCACCTCGCGAAAAGCCTCTGGAAGGCCTGCTGCGTTTGAAGCCGCATCGTAGAGTTTTTTGGTCCCATCGACAATTGCGATGATCGAAGATATGACACCGAGAACCTCGGCGCCGGACATGTTTATAGATTCGGGAGGAACACCGATTGAAGGATCGGTCAACGATTGCACAGCTGAGGGGATTCGTATTCGCGCAAGAGAGTTCCTGTTCTCAAAGATGAGCAAAGCGAGCCCGGCGGCAAATTAAGAATTGGTGGAATCCGCAAAGACCGCCTCGGTGCGTACGAGATCGGGCAGTAGCAAATATCGGAGGAAGCAGCCGCTGATTTGAAGCGTTGAAGGCAGATCAGGAACTTGTCGCTCAGCAGAATGCGAGAAGTCAGCTCGTGAGGGGCCGTCAGGCTCCCGGTGCCTGAGGGATTTACGAATTCGATTGGTAGGGAGTGGCTGGATGCTTCAGCTCTTCAATCAGCTTCTTGTGACCATTCCGCCTCATGCTGAACTGAACCACAATGCTACTTTTAATATGAGATACAAACCTGCAGTAAACATATTTGAAGTAGGGTTTAATTTGGGATTTTGTTTTTTTAAATATATATATAAATATATATAACTAATAGCCCGCTATTTTGCAATATTTTAGATTTGAAAGATATAAGCGTATGGAAAAGCTGGCGATAAATCTAGACCAAGCTTTTTGAACTAGAAAGTAATGTAATGCTCCAAGATTTCAAAAGACGCTGGGGAGCAAGTGTTCAAGTTTCTTTTTAAGAACATAACTGCGCTTGCGAGTCTTCAATCATTACCCAGATGGCCAGTTGTCGTTTCTACTACGATTAGAGCAGCGTCTTATTGGAATATTATTCGATAGTGGTTGGAGAAGCTGAGATACTAACGTGTTCTCAGATTAATGGCGATGCTCAGATCAGCTTAGAAACAGCCCTGGCTACCCTCTCACTATAACCAATAACTATAGAATAAGGAAGCTGGAACCTGGATCGACTTTCTTACCTTTGGTGGTCGATCCAATGTCGCCCCAGCGAATATTAGAAAAGACGACGTGAGTGTCCGGATGCTGCGACTGAATGTTGGACGGGCTGCCCTGACCGCCGCCACAGGGTCCATTGGCTCCTGAATCCAGCCATGCCATCTGTTGCACTGGGTCGTTCCAGATACTCATTGCAAGGACCACTGAGATATGCAGAGTCAGCAAAGGATCACGGCTGGGGAAGAAGTTCCAGACTCCAGGTTCCGCGATGAGGAGAAAATCCAACACCGACAACCTTCAGAAGCGCGAGATTTCATAGGGATAGACACTCACTTCCACGCCCCAAGGCTTCGCCCATACCAGCTAGGCCACCCGTCGCCCCTTCCGACCCACAGTTCGAAATCGTCCCACCGCCGCCAATCTGCCGTCCATTCTGGATATAAGTGCGCGTCACCTGCGACAGCCTCCCCCCGCTGGCCGAAAACTGCGTAATAGCCGTGAACGGCTTGCTCGTGTCAACCGTCTTACCGGGCCCCCAGTAGTCGCGCTGCCCGCTAGCGTACGGATTATACCCGCAGCCGGCCTTGTCGCAGTTGTCACCCTTGCACGGATGCGGCGTCATGGCCGTCGCCATCGAGTTGGACTCGAGGATGTCCATCTCGCTGCAGCAGTATCCTTGGCACTGGGCGTCACAGTAGCCGTTGCCGGCCCCGGCGCCGCCCCTGCCGTCGGGCTCCATCTCTGATAGGTAAAAGGCGCCATTCTCTCCACATGGCAGGGCCGAGAGGTCAACATCCACAGACAGTTCCTGGTCGAGGAGTTTCATCATTGCGTATTTGCCGTCCTCGCCCAGGAGGTAAACACGCGGGGAGGCGGCGTTGAGCGCTCCAGAGTCTGTTTTGACGTAGTGGTGCATTGTCAAGGCGTCTCCCGAGGTAGAAACGCCCATGGCAGCGTAGTCGGCCGCCGTTCTAGAGCCGGCAGTGCCGCGGGCGAATTTCGAGTCGCGGTCGAGCACCACGGAGGTGTTTTGCTGCACGCAGCCTCCCGAGGTTGTGCATTTCCATGTCGGTAGCAGCGGATGTTCCTCAGTTTGGCCGACGGCTTCGCCCAGCAGCAGCGAAGCTACCAAGCCGATAAGCGGGAGTTTGAGAGACATTTTTTTTAAGACTCGGTGGAAACCAGGAACTGGAATGCGGCAGCCAAGACCATGTAAAGAGCCAAGGCAAGGGAGAGAGAGCCAAGAAAACGCAAAGTGGAGATAAACCTTTGCTTTTGTATCTATTCAGTAGCGATATGCGTCAAATAGGTTATTAGAAAGATTACTTATTATATATCCCCGCTCTGGCATATTTAGGCGTTCAATATGTCGCCCGTCCGTCAACCGATATTCATCAATGGGACCATTTTAGGATATTTGGGGTCTGCGGGGAGATTGCCCCGTGATGCCCCGTTGGAGAATCACAGCCAGCCAATCCTATCTATATGAGATCCCGCGGAATGTCCATATGTACAGTATTGCCTGATGCAGTGTGTGCCCGCCTCTTCTGATGAATAGTTAAGCGCACCTATGACTCCCGCTGATGACTGAGTAGAGTCCATGTCGTAGAAGATTGTCACCCCAGTCCACATACCATCTTTCGCCTGTCTGTCGGGTCCCTGCTCCTTGTCAGGTTAGTATTATGTCGGTCTTGGGGGTTGCTACCCTGCAAGGTACGGGGCCAAGGTCTCCCCAATCACAACGAAAAAGGAGCTATCGCCCGAGGGAAGAGGGCGTTCCCTGGACCGACCTACTTTCTTCACTGTAGCGTCTTGGTGAAGCCCTATTTCCTTCTTACTATCTGCCAACGAGTGGATCAATCATTTTGGGATAGTGGGGAACACGGTTGTGTCTCTGGCAGCCCAGTTTGAAGAGGCGGAGATGCTCAATGTTACAATCCTAAACATCACCAGGCACAACCTGACTTTACCGTTCCAACTACCAGTCCGCTCTTTTCAGCCAAATTTCGTTCTTCTCAACAATGACTTTGACACGGGCAGCCCCCTCTGGATTTGAAACTTCGACGCTATGGTCCTCAACATATCCGGTATCGGGAAACTCAGAACCCGAAATAATAACACGAGAGGACTTGCTGAAGACGAAGAAGAATGGTGAATCAGATGGGTAAGTCGTTATTCTTATCGATTTATAACGGACTGATTATGAGGCAAGTCTTTCGCACATTGAATATAGCAATGTATCTGTTTCTCCCGATGCATTCGACGACAACGCAACTCAGGCAACGCAAAGGACTCCAACAATTGCGCTGTCTCCATTTTCCATTGCGCCATCTATCCACATTGGTCACGCCTCGGAGATAAGTACCAGCAAGCTGAATAGAACATCAGTCCTGACGTGGCATCCCTCCCCAGGAAGGGAAGATTTTCGAAACCCATGCTGAATGAGTGCGGCTATGCCTTCCTCGCTAAAGCCTCGATAATTTTGTTGAGTGATAAGCAGGTAGGCTTCGGCACATGGCATTGTCGGCTCATTCGCAATGTTCTCCGGCCACAAAATGGAGGTGTCCCATCGGAATTCTTGGGCGTTCGACTCGTCTGTAAGGTGGAGAGGTATTGTCGTCTGTAGAAGGTCCGGTGGTGTAGCTCCATCGGGCTCGGAGAGAATGAACACCTCTGGCTGCTGTTGAGTATCATCTTGGATGGCCAAATATGAAATAAATGTTAGCAGGCACTCCTTCGAGTTCTCCTCATTACGTACCTAAATGTCGATTGCGAGCAGTTGTCATTAGTGACTGGGGACAATTCTCTCCGCTGTCCGTCCACGAGAACTGAGAAATGGCCGAAGTGAATTGAGTGCTTCGATCTCGGTATTGACTCAGCTCAGCTTCCAAAGCTTGCACCCGCTGCTGAAGCAACGTAGCATGTCGTTCGGCCTCACCAAGTTTCTTTTCTAGCTCGGCAATGTAGTCTCGACGACGAGCCCGGTGGCGGCGTTGATTGTTACGAACCCTTTCGAGTGTGTGCTGTCGCGTGACCCGCTGGCGCGACGAGCGGGTCTCTAGTTCGCCCAAGGTGTTGCTGGGGTTCGCATCCATGTTGATGTGTCGCAGTGGTTTATGGCGGGAAGGAACCCTCGATATGTCACCCTTTCGATGTCGATCGTTTGATGCAATCTCGCCTTGACCTACGGTGACATATCAAGTTAGTAATCAATAAATTCCAATGGCGCTGCTACCTGGCGGAATTCCGTTTGGGGGCCGGGCCTGCCCTGCCCAGCCATTGGCCACAGAGGTAGAGCGCCGGTCCGCCTGGCTTGGGAGTGGGTGTCACCAAACGATATGTCACCGGTGCTTTAATATCGTGATGTGGATGTCGGAGACTACGCGACGATTCACACGCACACTCAACAAATAATGGTGCAGTAACTTCGAAATTTCTGCAGTATATAAGCCTTGATATGATCTAGGAAAATGTGTATATATAACATATAACGAGTGTCTAAGAACTTGCAAAATAGATAAGCCCTTGTTGTCCGAGCTCATCTGTTCAGTGCCCTATCTCCTCGTCATAGCATAGTTTCGTCTTCAAGTGTTCTCCTTTTGGACCGGTCCAATGTCAACCACACCAATACTAGACGCCATCGTCATTGGGGCCGGCTATTCAGGTAACGTCCTTTCGGACCACCTCCTCTCCTGGATGAAGGCTTAACCATGTTCAGGCTTGTGCGCCCTCATCAGGCTGCGACAGGCGTTTCCCCAGATGACGGTCGAAGTGTACGAACAAGCCGATGATGTTGGGGGAACCTGGGCAAAAAATACTTACCCAGGACTGAGTTGCGATATCCCCTCACTGGTATGTTCCACTCCAAGCTGCCTGCTTAGACACGCCTGGATGGCAATAGTAACAATGAAGACCAGGTCTACTCTCTTTCCTTTGCTCCGGATTTCGACTGGTCGTCTACTTATGCTTCACAGAGCGAAATACTGTCATACATCCACCACGTAGCGTCCACACACGACTGTTTGAAGAATATTCACCTGGGACAAAAGTGCATCTCCGCCTGGTGGCTCGAGGATGAATACATCTGGAGAGTGGATTTTGCGGACTCTAGAGATGGTCAAACATACGCAAGATATTGCCGGTTCCTTATCACTGGAACAGGTTTCTGCGATATCCCGAAAGGCACCGAAGATGTGCAAGGAATTGAAAACTTTGGTGGTAAAGTTTTTCACAGCGCCGATTGGGATCATGAATATGCCTTCGAGGACAAAAATGTCCTAGTAATAGGCAACGGGAGCTCGGCCAACCAGTTCGTCCCATGGCTGGTAAATCACGGTAAAGTAAAGAGCCTTGTCCAAGTTGCCCGGAGTGCACATTGGGTTGCGCCAAAAAGAAACTCTCCTTTCAGCGAAATCCAGAAATGGTGCGTCACACAATAGCAATCCCATGGATACCCTTTCAAGTCAAGCTCCACTAACAAAACTCAACTCCTTACCAAGGGCTCTGCGAAATGTTCCCTTTGCCCGAAAATTTTGGAGATACTGCTTAGCGATAAAACTCGACCTCGCTTTCACCATTTTCAAAAAGGGCCTCATTGGGAGTAGTCTTCGGCGCGTGGTTCAACGATCCGTCGCCGATTATATGCGACGCTCCGCACCTTCGAAATACCACGACGTTCTCATTCCCGACTTTGACCTCGGTGCAAAGAGGCCAGTCCTCGATCACGGCTATCTACTTGCGCTCCATGACCCAAGGGTTAAGCTAATCAAGTCACGATTGATTTCAATATCAAGTCCATCCCAAGTCAGCATTGGGGAAGACGGCTCCTACCCCATTGACGTGATCGTCCTCGGCAATGGCTTTCGGAGTCAAGAACTCCTGATGCCTATGGAAATCATCGGTATGGGGGATAATGAACTTCCCAAGTTGTGGCATTCGGGTGTAAATTATGCAGCCGCTCACATGGGGTCGGTTTATACTCTTACCAAGGCCTTACTAGTTTGCTAACCCCCAGCTTTCAGCGTATCTGTTTCGGGATTTCCGAACCTTTTCATCCTCACTGGCCCAAACACTTTGCCGTCTGGACACTCCACGCTAATAAGCATCGAATCGTCTGTCGAGTATATAATCCGCCTACTACGCCATGTAACCAAGACTCCGGGGGAGAGAGTGAGACTCAGCGTGAAGCCCAGCGCTCAGGCATCGTACAACGACTGGGTTCAGAAGATGCTTTCCAATCTGGTATACACTGCTGATGCTCCTAACTGGTATATTGACAGATATACTGGAAGGAACACTCTGGTATGGCCTGGGAGCCAATTCGAATTTTGGTGGTCAAGGTGTTTTAGGCGTATTCGCTGGGATGATTTCGAGGTCGAAAGAAAGAAGAATTGATCCTTGGAAATTGTGTTTTCGATCGGTGCATCTCTATAGAAAATGCACATTCTCTGACAGTTTTCAATAGCCAGTACACATTTTTTTTTCTTTCCCCTAGGATGAATTTACTCTCTCACTTCATACATCCACGTGTGTTGTAGAGGGCAGGAACCTCGGGGTGTATTAAGATCTTCAACGATCCTCAATTGTAAATCGGACGTGTAGCTCGCCCTGTGACCGATCTTTTAAAGGCTTCCATGAGTTGGGTTTGTCCTTCTCTCACAACACTTCCAAATTGCTGGCACGCCCGCTGTTACCAAACCCATAGAGCTAGGCGAGTCCGGGGGTGTGATACATTTGATGGTATCTTTAACTCCATGTATTGGGTGAGCCAGATCCATCTGTATACGAGGTCATGATGTTAGCGTTAGCAGGGAATTGTAGGCCAGGCTTGGAACGTACCGAGTTTGCCACGTTCTTGAACAATAATCAGTTGCTACTAGGCTTCAAACTCAAGGACACTATTCACAAGCTAGCGATTTGCATGTCGATAACATGCTGCGACGAATGGTCCATGGTGTTCCCTGAGACCAAAGGCCGACGCAGTTGGATGTGCTGTCGTCTACATTACTTGTCTAACAAGCTCGGATGCGTGGCCAGAAGGCGGGTGCTTGAGTTTTTTTTTTTTTTTTTTTTTTTTTTTTTTTTTTTCGCGTCCAGGAGTGGTCCTTCTAATGCCATAAAACTCGTCGAACTTTCACGATTCGTATTTTTTTACTCACATCCTTTGAGGTTAACCGGTGGTGCCTCATTGCTTCGTGTATTTGATGTTTATGCTGTCTGGCTAGTATATGTGATAGCCTACATGTGTCGTGCTGGGATGTCGTCGTTTCAGTCTAGGGTGGTTTTAATATTCTTCTTCTCGGTCTATCTTGCTGCTCAATTTAAAGTTCATTAAGCATTTTAAGAGCCTGCGACGTGGGTCCCGCTCCTGAACAGGAGCAACAGTTACATCCGCTAAAGAGTAGTATCATCTTAGCTCACCCCTGCAGCCCACCCTCTGGCAGGATCGGGCGTTGGGTAAAGTCGCGACAAAGTAAAGTAGTAGGTTACATGCGAGCCCTTAGACATGACTTACATAGCTTCTGTTAAAGCCGGTCTTTGTGCCAGAGCCCGGAAGTTCGCCCGGGTGGGGTGGATCCATCCCCGCCGGTCGAGATCAAGGAGGGACGGACCATATCCGGCATCGACCAGTCTATCGCTGTCAGGATATTATTATTGTACCTGTGCCCCTCAGCACAAAGTAGCCCGTTTAGAATCTAACCCCCTCCCCACTAGTATGCTGCCCATCTCCGGAGTAACTAACGGGCAGACACGCGATAAAACCCGGCCTTCCGCTGGTAGGATATGTTCTTTGGTCGCCGTGGCCGACTCCTGTCCCTTGCCCGCGAGGTAGGCACCCGCCGCCGATCATCTACCGTCGGAACTCGACCTTTCCCAGTTCTATGGCGCCAAGGCCACGATCCCCGTTCGTATTCCGATAAATGGATCCCAGTCTCGACGGGAACCGCATCGATGTGAATGGGACCGTGCGCGCATCAGGTGATGGAGCGAATTTTCACTCGCTCCGCCACTCCGCCAGATAAATGGTTCTCCCCCAGCATCCGTGCTCGGCCATACCGCTTTCCGAATAAGGGGACCCTCGCGACTATCTTCAGGGGAAAGGAGAGGGCGAAGCTGAGACAGACGAGTTCGTCCGCCGCCTCCTCGACCCCCGTCACGCCTCTCGCCTCGAACCATAGTGTCTGGTTATCTAGAGCGAAGTAGTAGATACGCCCGTGCAGTAGCCACACCGACTCCTCCGCTGCGTCAATGAAGACAGACGTGTCCAGGAAGTGGATGCTGTCAGGCCACTGGGGATTCGGGCCACGGCAGTCCATTCCTCCGGACACCAAGCAGGTGTTCGTAATGTAGGCAAAGGTGGTAGAGTTCTCCGTATCCTTTAACAACGAAACCCATCTGGTGCTTCCACTGACCGGAATCTTGAAACCCCGTTCGACTTTGGCCTCATGCAGCCATAGTAGTGTGCAGTACTGGCCGGTGGGGTCAATTCCCGTCGATCGAAGGGCGTGTAATACCAAGCAGATGAGAGCATGCATCAGCTCGTGCAGGCTGCTGGGAAGAACGGAGACGAACCATTCACGGAGGGAGACGCGGATGTTGTGTAATGTCTCGACAGCGCTATATTCATCCCTCAGCCTCGTCCATGACGCCACATCGTCCCTATCTGTCAAGGACGCCGCGACTCCCGGTAGCAAATCCGCCACTACTCGCCTCAGCGGAACACGCTGGGCGATGGTTGTACAGAAGCTAACCCTCAGGCCATAATGGTAGTTCAGATGTTCAATCAACAACCCTTGCTGGAATCTCGGGGTAGCATGCTGCGCCCAGAAGAGGATCCGGTCTTTGACGACCTCGGCGGGTCTCTTCTCCTGTACACCAACCGCTTGGAAGGCCACGCCGTCGGGCCCTCCTTGCATCCCCAGCTGCCTTTGAGCGAGCCTCCAGTATGACTTGTGCGCCGTAATCCAGCTCAATTGGTGTCGCCTGTCCGAAGCTGCCCAGCATTCATTCTCAACGTTTGGGCAGGAAGTATGCTCAGTGATGAGATCCCCGACGAGAATTTCAACTCCTGGTTCCAGCCTAGGGCTTTCGTTGG